GGTCAGCAAATATTCCAAGAGGGAACAGTGTGGGAAGGGAGGCTTGTAATTGCTCTATAAAGCTTGCGGGCAGAAGCTACAGGCAAAAACAAGTGAATTTTGGCCTCGACGTACCGTATCTGGGCTCGAGCTGGCGGCCGAGGAGGGCCTCGGCTTCCGTTCCTCCTGATCATCAGGAGAAGAAACGTCGCCGCCCTGCAGCGACATTGTATTTGTGCGTAAGCGCAGGGCGCCTTTGAGTGCGGTGGTTGTATATGTCAGTTTATGTTGCTCGTGGTTTGGAGCAGTTCAGCTCGTGGCCACCAGCACCGAATGAGGTGACGACTGCTCGTGTGACGTCGAACCTAGGGCAAGGGGAAAGGAGGTTTCTTGTCTGCTCAGCCGTCGACTCTCTCGTATACTAAGGATGGTAAGCAAGGAGCGTGCCGCGCAGCGTCGCAATTACGGCCAGAACAGGAACAAAATTATTGAGAATGCGGAAAAGTAGTTACAGAGTGGAAGTCAGAAGCAGGGAGTAATAAAGAAGGCGGTGGTGAGTTGGCAAACGGGCACTGGTCTCCTCCCCCCTGGTTTCTTAGCGGGAGGTGGAACATTGAAGACCGAGGAGATACTTGGTGGAGTTTGGCGGTTAGTTGGGGGAATGTGTGCAATGGCTCGTGGCGGCTGGCTTGAATGTTTCTGGGCATTGAATGCGCAAGCTTGCTAGCCCAGGAACAGGCACCTGCTAGTTGGGAGCGAGATAGGGGCTCTGGACGCCTCAATGGCCAGCTGGCAGATACAGCACCAGCAACATTGAACCCAACGCTACCAGAAGCCTGGTCTGCTCTAAGCAACCAGCACCCGGCAACCAACCCTCAAGTTAGGCGTGCATGCGGTCTGGTGCTCAAGTGGGCATGGAGGCAGACAGGCCCACCTGGACTGGGGAGCTCTGGCCGCTGACACCGACCCTCGACCCTTCGAATCGCAGCGTCAGACTGGGTCTTGGATGGGGCTCCGGGTCCAAGTCAGGTTTCAGAGGTCGGCTGGTGGGCCCACCTGTGGAAGACCCATAAACATTCAATGTTCGGATTGACACGCAAAAAGCATGGCATCCATTCATCAGAAAGGCGGGCAGAGAAGCGAGGTTGATACTACGTACAAAGATGGCAATGTTAGCGCCCAGGATTGTTCTGCTATGAACCTTGAATTTCAATGTTGCTTTCCAAGTGCTCCAGTATGCAATCTGTGCTTCGTGCCCTGTGCTCGTATCGCGTGTCAACCACATTGTTCGCCCCCGCCAGGGGCTTTCGCTTCAAAGGCTCAAAAGGTGCTTATATTGGCATTCACTGATCAAGTGGTTTGTTGGTCCTGCTACCACATGCCTCTGCGGAAGCCTGAATACTGGCGAGGAGCAACATCATTGATGCTTCCCACTCTGCTTTGCCCGCATTGTCAGGGGAACCGTCCACGAGAAAACTCTATATTCCCCAGGTGCGGAGAGGCAGATATCCCAAGGAGCGCCGCTTAGCCGCACATTTACCATGTACGACGACGTCTAGTACCAATGTATGTACAAGTTGCGAGGCATGGGCCGTCAAAGCCAACTCAACGTGTCATTTTTAGCATGACAGCTCGATCTTTGTAGTATTCCGCTTCCAAAGGCAGATTTGGCGGGGTCTCTCTCCTCTCCAAGCTCCAGACTATGCTGCTGCTCAGTTGCACCTGCCGCGTTGACTCCAGCCATCTGGCACCAGACTGGTGATGGTGGCGGTGTCGTCAAGGACCACATTTCAATACGGGAGTATTCCATAGAGCGTGGTTGATCCGCCATATGATGAGTGCTCCAAAGGAAATACAATCCTAATTCAAGTTTAAACTGCATCAACCATGTTGTGGGTGGCCATGCGCATGTGCGCCAGACATGCATCCATCCTGCAGGCCCTTTGGAATGTAACCGTAACCATAGCCTCAAATCCGGCGTGCTGATTGGCTGCCGCAATGTCACCACTTGTCCGTTTTTCTTTGCTTCACCAGGAGCGTGAAAGAGGGTCTGGCAAGGGCACCGTGCTCATTGTAAGGAACAGGTTCGCCATTTGCACGCCAAGCCTGGCCGAGCGCCGTTGGAATTATTGATTGTGCACACATGGCAACCCACATGTCACCATAGTACGGACTGGCATGTTCTGACGACCTGTACATATGTTCATGGCATCATTGGAAGTCTTATGTCATGGATGCGACTAGCCACAATGGGAAGGAAAAAGTATTGAACCAGATCAGGTACTCGGTTATCGCGCTTCATACTATAATATACTACAGTATATTAATGTTTATGTCTTGGCGGGTAAATATATTTTATCAGACTGTATTCCTCTTCCTCTATCGTCCTTGTCTAAATCCTCATCTAGTGCCTTTGACTCATCTTCATGCTTCATTGATGTTTCTTCTGCAATAACAGCACAAATTTCTGGGGGAACCTCGCTATCTGAACTCTCATGCAAAGTTCATCTCTTTCCTCTTTTAGCTTAAATGAGAGAATTCTAAAATGTGTGTTTTCTGACTTTTGTCACACGTCCAAGATGACAACAAAGGCATCGGCCACAAAGATCACACAACAACAAAGGAAGTATCATGAAAACCCGAGCGGACCTTGGCGAGGTTTGCCTCAGGCACTAGGGCTCACCGAATTCATGCATTTATAGAGACCTCTGACCCTCTAAGTCTTCCTAGGAAACCAAGGACCTTTGATCCCGCATAGTTGCTTATTGAAATGATATTGAACCCAACCTTCCAACCCCAGTTGACCCGCCCTTGTCACAGTTCTCCAAGTCAGGATCTGGGGCAATAGCAATCAAGCCCTTTTCAAGCGCTACTTCAATGTTTTGGAAACAGACCGTTTAGTGGTGAGAAACATCTCATCAATGGGCCCCTTACCAAAGACAAGGCCCATGTTATCCTCGGCTCTCCAAGGATAAAGGTGAGCGGCCCTAGGCAAACCTGGGGCCAGCCACTCTCGTTTGATTGGTTCCCAAACACGTAGTGTTTATCAGACTTCATTGCTTCTGGGCAGTATGCTTTAATCATTTATTCTCTCATCTTCGATTGTTGAGAAGGATTGCGCTTTCTAGTACCGGCATCCCTGATGTTCAGACCAGCCCTCGATAGAATGAGAAGTGGAAATGTCCGAGCCCTGCCTAGTTTTTTTTGCTCCAAATTTTCTTCCGCTGAGTTTGACCAGTGGTATAGGTTTGAAGTGGTTTTATTTTCTTGTCCAACTCTTTCGCAGAGCAAGATAATCATATCGCATGGAAGCGAGTTCAGCTTGTGAATCCGAAAACGATGGCGCGGTGTGTTATTTTGACGAGGTGCTATAATAGACAACAATTTATTAGTAAATACTTGATGTGCAGGATTTCGAGGTAGCCTTACAGTGGGAGGTAAAAAGTATTTAGTCACGTCAGGTACCCGGCTCTCGCGCTTCCTATTACGATGTACCGTAGATATATATGCATTATATTATAATATTAATGTGTGCTACTCAGTGGTTAAGCATATTCTGCCACAGATTATATATGTACCTAGGTACCTACTGAAAAGCTTAAGATTGCGAGGATAAACCTCAGACTCCCTGATGTGTGTGTTCAAAAGTTTCTGACATGAAAAAGTCCAGATGTCAACTGCATGTGGTATCCAATGCCATCCGTCACTGTACTTTGTAAGTGGGAGGAGTCTTGTCATTTGCACGGCAGCTAAGAGAGAAGGAGCGCGCGGAGTAGTAAAAGAATTTGACGCGTCAACTTGAACGGGAGGTGTTAGCAACATTTACTGTACTGCTGTCACGTGTTGCACGTGCACATATGGTCAATATCAGCTGTAGCTGGCCTCGATGGCCCCAGATAGTTTGCAGAATCAAGACCTTTCATATCATTCTGCGTAATAACTGCTTTATTTATACCATGTACCTAGCTAGGAACTGAAGCAAGAGACCGGTTGAACGTCGTTCATGGGATGACGGTGCTGCTTACCAAAGATGTCAATCGGTACGCGCCTCTACTTGGACATTCTTGGCCCTCAAATGTCAACCGTCTGCATCTGGTTCAAAATGTTCAATTGCAAGTAGTTTGTTCCGCAAGCTGGACTCATGCATGCAGCCAGTAAAAGTGCACCAGGTATTTAAGGCTCAAAGTCAAGCGCTCCCAAAACTACCTTGTACTACCTGGTGGGTAGTAGCTGCCTCAAGTGTTCAACGTCGCCCGCGACAGCCTACCAGGTATGGAGTACACCGGTACTTACCAAGTACTAGGTACTAGCGTGCCCCCAAGCAAACATCCATGATCGGACCAAGTTGACGCCCACCACCAGCCGCAAGACTCGGACGCCTATTACGCAGAGGCCCACTCTGTTGCTGAACCTGACGTTTTTGACATCCGAACTCCTCCATCTTTTTCACTCCCAACATCACAGCTACTCCTCAACCCCCCGACACACCCTCTGCACCTAGGCGAACCTATATCGAATTGCTGAGGGCCGCGTAGTAGATTGTATCTACTGTTTCTATATCCGCCATATTGTCATTTAACGTTTTGGGGAAGCTAATCTGGGACGTCCTGCACCCGTCCTTGCACCAGCTCTCTAGCTTCATCTACCAGACCAACCGAACGGCCACCCACCAAAAACTAGTCCCGCGTTCGATATCCCTCGTTTCACAAGTTTACCGCGAATATAGTAGCCCTGCTAAAAGGGGCTGTTGGTTTAGCTTCTGGTCCGTTAGACTCCGCTGCCGCGGGCTTCTTGCTCCCCTCACCGAGCAGCTGCCTGACGGGATCAAGTGGCACTTGTCCGTATCACCATCAATATTACACCTCAGACTACGGGTTCTGTTGAGCGAGATATTCGGGGCTGTCCGTTGAAGGGCACTCCGGCCCCTTGCAGAGCAGCATTGTCGCCCAGGCTAATAGCCAAATCGTAGTGGAGGGGGAGCTTGCTTGTGCTTCCGCGGCTCTGCCGCCTCTCTCTTCACCATGGGCAAAATCATCAAGACGATGCAGTCCAAGCACAAAGAGACTTTGGTAAGCTTCTTCCCTTCCATCAACCCGAGTGATTGGACTCGTTCTTGACGCGGCCTCTCTAACCCCACATCTCACAGTCTCCTTGGCTGAAAAACTACGTCGAAACAGCCTCCGCCATAGATTTGCCGTCCTTGCCGAACCATCTGTCGACATTCCCATCGAGATGGCCATTCGGACGTGGAGATTTGTATCACTGGATACCGCTTCTCAACCGATTTGATAGCATTTTGGAGCATTTCAACAAAACTTATGCCCTGAACGAGGGTCCACAGTCTCGAGATTTCGCCGCCGACGTCCTCCTCAACCGTGCAAAAGATTCGGCATTCAGCAGCGAGAAACAGTGGACATATGAGGAGCTTCAAGAGCTTGGTTTCTCGGCCGATGGTGACAGGGTGCTGATAGAGGCTGTCTTGCTATTCACTCGCATGCTCCTGGAGCATTGCGGCAACCGCAGCATCTATGCGAGCAGCCCGCATCTCAACGACCTTCTTAACACTACCGCATTGTCTGTTCTCATTTCAACATTGGAGGTGGGCTCCGAGTTAGCTCAGCGGTATCAGGCTTCCGTCAAAAGGATCGGCAATGCTTCCAGGCAGATAAGTGCAGCACTGTTAGCAAACCATTACAACATCGACATCGAGCGAGTCCAACAAATTGCGCTGCCGTTTGTCAAGACTCCCATAGTAAGCCTAGCTGACCCTGCGTCATCCATAACCCCAGTCTCGACCAAGGGAAAGGAAAAGGCACACGGGAGCAGTAGCAGAAACTCGACTCCGACCCATGCTAACGACCTGGTTGCAATTGCTACCTGTGACGATGCAATGTGGCAGGGATGGGGCGACGTGAAAGTGCTGTACTATCCACAAGACAGCAATGTCGGCGTTGACGTGTCAAATGACGCCGGCCGAACGTCACTCCCCTCAACACCGACCCCCCTACGCCGCAGCCATACCGTTGGTAGCCAGCAGAACACTCCCCGAGCCCGAAATATCGGTACCGATGACTCATCTCCTATTATCCCGCGAACTCCAGCTGTTTCGGAGGAACATGCCATCCCAGGTCAAAAGTCATTTGATTTGCCCAAGTCTGTGGTTTCGACTACATCTATCTATGACCTTGTTAAGCGATGCCCCGATGACATGCCGTCATCTGCAAAATATGAGCTTTTTCACCGAGTCCGAGTTGCAAAGGCACTCACTGAGTCGCTCGAGTCGCGTCAGAAAATACTCGCGATCCGGTTACTTGCGATTACCAATCTGGCCTACATCCATACCGAATCAAACTTTGTTGACAAGGTTCTTCGTCACGATATTGACGAGACCAGAAGATACCAGCTTGTCTACCAACTTGCGGAGCTGATACACCCCTCGGCTGATGGACATTCAAAAATACCGCTATGGCTTCAGACGTTTGCCCTGGCTCTCCTGGAGGCTGTGTCAGGATTCCATGCCAGATGCCAAGATGTTCTGTCTGCCTTGAACGCCAATGTCAACCACGGAATCTTGCTCTACGTCATTAGAAAGGCTGTAGCGGGCATGCAGGTTGATGAGGCGACCGACATCGGTGACCAGGCCAGCGAAGCAGACGACTGGCGTAACAATCTCTTTTCTTTGACCTTGCATCTGTCCATGGCCACCCGCGTTGGAAGTGAAATGGTTTCGGCCGGTCTTATGGATATCCTGGTTGAGATTCTCCACATCCGGTCCCAAGTGGCTCAACGACACCATTCGATGGTGTTGGCGTTTCTAGATGGCCTTATTTGGACGTATCAAAATGCATTCACTGCCTTCTTCAATGCTAGCGGCCTAGGCGCCGTTGCACAACTGCTAGTAGACGCTGTTACAGAGGCCCAGAATTCGCTAAAATCATCTAAAGGTGTCAAACCCGACCAACAGTCTGTGGTGGTCGACTATGAGATCCCTTACTACCAGCAGCAGACGCTAAAATGGCTTCTCAAATTTGTCCATCACATCATGTCAAATTCTTATAGTTATGGTGGCAATACTGAACGCCTGCTAAGAAATCTAGCAGAAAACTCTGACCTGCTTCACAGTCTGCGAGAAATCATGGCTAATAAGCAGAGCTTTGGATCGGTGGTGTGGACTAATTCAGTCACAATTCTAAGTGATTTCATCAATAATGACCCAACCAGCTTTGCCGCCATATCTGAGTCCGGCATGATCAAAACATACCTCGAGGCAATTACTGGTCAGCCAGTGCCGGAGCAGCAACAAGGTGGGGAGTCGAAGCAGGCTGAACAACACCAAGAAGACCAAGGTGATGCCGAGTCTCCGGATTCGTCTGCTGCCGCCGCTTCAATTGCAGACGAAGATGACCGGCCGCATCCTCCCTCAGACGATGATATTCGCCGCACAAGGCGCAACAAACCTGCCGAGGGTATTTTGGCCTCTTCAGAGGCGATCAATATTGTTCCTCAGGTCCTGAATTCTATCTGCCTGAACAATATGGGCATGAAGCTGGTTGTCGCCTCGCGAGCTTTTGACAGCTATCTTGAAATTTTTGAGAGCTCTCAGCATGTATCGTGCATGGAAGCAGACAGCGACTTGGCGGGCAACGTCGGCGCCAACTTTGATGAGCTTGCCCGTCACCATCCACCCTTGCGAACGTCCATCTCCAATGCTGTCATCGACATGGTTGCCAGAGTACGATGGCTGGGAATTGAGAGAGGAATGGAGTCGGACTGGGGTGCCAGGCTGTACGTCACCACTGCAGAGGGAACTGTAGTCACTGTTCACCCGAACGAACACTTCATGAAAGCACCAACGGTAGAGTCTGCCCCTGAGCGACAGGGTGCTACCACCGAAGGAGCAGACGTGGACATGTCTGACGCAGCTTCCACCAACGAGACTATCACCGAGAAGAACAAGAAACCTCAAAAACTGGCCCCCGCTCAATCACTTACACCATACATTCATGGTCTGGCTAATTTTTTGACCGGCTATTTGTCTAATACACTGCTCAAGGTGAACTTTGTGAGAAAGGGTGGCATTGAGCTCCTTCTCGACTTGTGCGAGTCACCAAGTCTCGACGCATCATTTGGTGATTCATCTGCCTCCAGAGTTCTCAATCAGGTCATCGCCCAATTAGTTGAGCACTCCCCTGTTCGGGGTCTGCCCTCCCTATTGCGCCGCGCGCAGTCAAACATTGATGTGTTGAAACCTCTTGCAGCCAAGACTGAAGCTCTCCCTCCGTACTTTGGCGCTTTCCTTGCTACGGATTTGCATGTCTGGAGCGATGATCCCGAGCAATCGAAAGTTGTTCTACAAGCAACGCAAAAGATCAAGGCACTGTTGAACGCTCAAAATTTGATTAAAATCATTTCCGACTGTTTCACCACGTCGAGGTCCAACGCCCTGCAGTTCTACCCCGTGAACATTTATGATTACTATTTGAAGCTCGTAAAGTCTATCGGACCCTTGTTGCGAGGTATTTTGGCCGAGGAAGCAGGCGAGCTCTCCGTTGTACCACAGCATTGGTCGTTGCGCCGTCAGGGTTTTCTCGGCGTGACCAACACAAGTGAGGGGCGTGATGCTGCGGGGAGCGACGAAACCTCAATCCCAGATGTGCTCAACGATGCTGCCAGAAGCTGGCCCTCTGCTGATGGCACTGACACTTCTGCACCCGTTGAACCTACGGAGCAAGAGCGCTCTAGCGCCCGGTTCATGAACTACGAGATCTTGCACACGCTTTTGCATCCCATGATCCCCACCTCCTTCCCCTTGTTTCAATCTCTAGGCAAAGCCCTCTTGCCTAGGAGAGAGCCAAACCACCTTGATCCATTCCCTCGTCCTAGACAGTTGGAGATTGCGATGGCCTTGGCGGACACTGTCTTATCGCATCTTGGCCCGTCAGTCGCCCAGGCTGAGCCTACATCTAAAGACTTCCATTACTGGATTATTATGCTTCACACCATTCATGAAATGCTAATCGACCACCCTTCACCTCGACAAAGCGACAGATCCAATGTGCAAATTATCATGCCAGTTCTCCTTGCATTCAAAGAACAAGGTGGCCTCGACGTGCTGAATTCTATACTCAGGATCTTGGCATCTTCTGTGAAGGCGGGGCCAGACAGCAACATAGACGAAACGTCAAAAGTCAAGGTTGCCGCATTTGGACTTAAGAAAGTCCTTGATCTTTACTACATCCTGGTGAACGGAAAGTACTTGTCGGAAAGCAGCAACCACTTCAATCTTCATCGCCAGGCCGATCGGTCACAGAATATTCCAAACGTAGCCCAGCAGATTGTGGTTGAGTTTCGCGCAGCAATTCTGCCTGCCATCATGGAGCTTTGGACGTCCAACTTCGTCGAAAAGGTTCCCGATGCCACGGTGAAGAGACTCCTGGATATTCTCAAGATTGTGTGTGCGGCTGAGCACGAACCCCAAGCTATCCCCAAAGATGCCAAGGCGCCCTTGATGCTTTTCAAATACACTGATGCGAGATTTAACTGGGCATCTGTTCAAAGCGTGGTGAAAGAGGTCATAGACACGGGCTTTGAGGAAGATCTTGTTCACGAAGCAGTCTATAGAGCCAATGGGAACACTGCACCCGTTATCGAATATTGCCGCGCTCATACAGACGGTCTCGCAGGGCCACGAAATCCCATTCCTCCTGAGGACGCAGACATTTCGGCTCTACAACAAGAATCATCAGCAGTCCAAGAAGATCAATCGAATACAGTTACTGCCCCTGACTCCGACCAGATGATCTTAGATGCTCTTCCCGATATATCTGCTGATGACATGGTCGAATATGTCGATCGGCATATCGGCAATATTCAGGCTGATAATGATAATTCATCAGAAGCCACGGGTGTAACGTCATCCAATCACAGAGATGACACGACCGACAAAATCCCTACTATGAATTTTGTTGTAAATTTCAACGTGGTCAAGGACGAACTGGACAACATGCGTTCCAAGATCCGCGCACAATTGATTGACCAATGTCTGGACGTGATTCGAACCCATCCCGAGACGGCCATTGAAGTATCAGATTTGGTATCTACCACCATTTTGCGACGGCAGAATCAGGAAGCCCAGGAAGAGGTTGCCTCCACGCTCACATTTGCTCTTTCATCTTTATCTCTGGACGAGGATGAGAAGCGGCGAAATGGCAAATGTATTGCAGCCTACGCTCACCTCTTGGCTCTGTTGCTCCAGGACGAGAATTTCTTTGAGCACAATAAGGAAAATCTCGCTGATAAGGTAGACGAGTATGTTGGCTTCTTGAAAGTCCCACTTTCGTCGTCCACCGACGAATTGCCGCCTTGGATTCCTTATATTTTGCTTGTTCTGGAGGCTCTTCTCTGCCACGATGAACGACCAGTCCCGGTGCAATGGAAGCCGCCAAAGTCTCTAGAAGACCCCGTTTCTGAGCCTGTCATTCGATTAGGCCTGCCACTGGTTGGTGATGAGAATTGTAACAAAATTCTGGAATCTCTACTTAACTTGCTGCCTCGTATTGGCAAGGAGGAGATTCTGGCAACTGCAGTGCTGAGGGTGCTTTTGATCCTGACTCGGAAACGACGCCTCGCAAAGGTCGTAGGCGAGAAGAAGAACCTGCAGCGATTATTCCTAATGGCCAAGCAACTCTCTGGCTCCGGCTCCGAGCGTCTGAAGCAAACAAGGCTTACTGCACACATCATCACCATCTTAAGGCACATCATTGAAGACGAGGATATAATCAAACAGATCATGCGCGCAGAGATACAAGCGGACTTTCCCAATTTAATTAGGAACCAACGGGGCCACCCTGATGTATCATCTTTTCTCCGAGCCATGGCACCTGTTGCCCTTCGCGCTCCGGATCTGTTTGTGGAAGTGACAAACGAGGTGCTTCGATTTCAAAGATGGATGGCTCCATCCGGGGATTCGAACCGATCGCAGGCTTTGGTTTGGAAAGACCAGCAATCCGACTCCAAAACTGAAGAGGAGAAGCCAACCGCAGATGGATCTTCGAGCGATACCGTAAAACCCTCAACAGAGCTTGCCGACAAAGAAATGGCTGACGTCCCAAAGGCACACCATGACATTAAGCGACCGGTCGTAGAGAATCCCGATGGAGTCATTCATTTCTTGCTGTGCGAGTTAGTCAACTATCGCGAAGTAGATGACAAGGAACCTTCTGCGCCTTCTGACCTCAACACGGAGGTTACTGGAACGGCAAACTTGCGAGATCCTAGCCCCAAGGATATTTCAGCAGCTGACGGAAAGGATAAAAAACAATCGAAACCTTTGTTCAAGGCAGAAGAGCATCCTATATTTGTTTACAGATGTTTTCTGCTGAACTGTTTGGCAGAACTCCTGCAGAGCTACACACGAACCAAGGTCGAATTTATCAACTTCAAGCGTAGCGCCCCACCCTTGTCGACTACAACCCCAATTAAGCCACGAACAAGCATCTTGAACTATCTGATTTACGATTTACTGTGCCAAGGGAACCTCAACGGTACCACTGACACCATTGTTTCGAAGAAGAAGGCAGCGACATCGTCGCTGACTCAAAAGGTTCTGGTGGCCCTCGTGTCTAAGACCAGTGAAAAGGCTGCAGACCGTAGAGCCGACAAATTTGTTTACGATGACGAACCTGACTTGCTGTTTGTCCGAAAATTTGTTCTAGACACAATATTGAAAGCTTACGAGAAGGCACCGCTCACTGATGAGCCTCTTGAAACCCGATATTCCCGGATGCAGTGCTTGGCTGAACTCATGAACCACATGATTGGTGAGAGGGATAGGGACCAGAATCCAAATTCACGAGGCAGCGACAGTCTTCAGTCTCGCTCACAGGCGCAGCTCCGCCGATTAATGTACGAAAAGGGCTACGTCGACAAGCTCACGTCGTCAATCGCCGAAATTAGCCTCAGCTATCCGGGCGTAAAGCGGGCTATCAAGTATATCCTCCGTGTTCTGCGTGTTCTAACCAGCACCGCAAAGGAACTGAGCCAATCAAGTATTTTACCTGCAGATCCTGCTGGTGACCACAGTGACGAGGAATTCGCATCATCTTCATCACTGTCTGATGTGGACGACGATGATAGAGAAGAGACTCCGGACCTGTATCGTAATTCCGCACTAGGAATGCTGGAACCTCGGGGAGAAGATGACGAGTCCGATGAAGGTGATGAAGACGACGATGAGGACATGTATGGCGATGAATATGACGACGACGAGATGGACTACGGTGAGAATGATATTACCGATGGCGAGGATGACATTAGTGATGATGACGAAGAACTTGGTGGCATGGGAGAAATTGAGGGTCTCCCTGGTGAGCCAGGCGTGGTCGAGGTCATCATGGATGAAGATGAAGATGACGAAGAAGACAGCGACGATGAAGAGGATGACGACATGGACTCTGCTGATATGGAAGATGTGGAAGACCGGGTAGAGATAGTTGACGAGGATGGGAACCCTCTTGAGGAGGATGGAGACTCTGGTTGGGAAAGCGAAAGCGATGTTGAGGAGGATGATGACCCGGACCAAGATGCTCTGGATTATGACGCAGAGGTCCAAGAAGAAGGAGAAGCTCATATGCATGGCATGGCCCCAGGCGATTTGCTTGACAATATGGCTCGGGCTATTATGGGGGATGATGGAGGGTATGATCCGGATCTAGGTTTGGACGACCATTATCTCGACGATGAGCATGAAGATGGTGGTATGCTGAGTCCCCCCTCCCCATTTCCTTTTGAAGCAAACCCAAGGGCGAAAATACAGCTGCTAATAAAATGCACAACCATAGAAGATGAGGACGAGGATGAAGATATTGATGACGAGGAGTACATCTATGACGAGGACTATCCAGGTAAACTTGTGAAAAGCTGTTTATGGCGATTCAGTAGCATGGTATTTATACTAATCGTGGCTAACCTTAGATGACCAACTGCCCCCAATGCCATCGTTGGGGTGGGATGCTGTCAACCCTGACATGGATGACCGACATCGTAATATGCTTCTCGTTGATGGCCACAGACGACCCGTATTGGCTCGAATGGACAACCGCAGTTCCTTTCCCGGCCGTTTCCTCGGTGGATCTCATCGTGATCAACTGGGTAAGCTCTTGATCTAAATGCTTCCATCACAACCCTTGCTAACTCTGCAGTAGGAGAGTTCCGCAGCTACTTTACGTCACGAAACCACAGATCTACGGGGGCACAATCTAACGCGGAGGATGGTCTCAATCCCCTCCTGCGTCGCAGCGATCAAGCAAACGAAGGCCTGCCTCGGCCTGGCCAAACGCACGCTTTAGATTTAAGAATTCCGCCTGGTTTGCTCGGCGCCGGTCGCCACTCCATGGATGGTCCCATGGGCTTGTTGGGAGAACTCATGGAATTTTTGCCAATGATGAGCCAAAGCGGAAATGGCCAACAGGCTTTTCATTTCCACATCACTGGACCTGGCGCACCTCGCGAATTTAGAGATCTTGGCCCAGCACGGTGGGTTAGGACTGATAATCGGCGCGACGCAACAGCCCAGGAGCCTCACCAAGCAGTTTCCTTCACCGCAGAATCAACCTTGGACCGCTACCAGGAGGAGGCCAGGATGGTTTTTGGGGTCAACCACACCACTGAAGCGTTTAAGCTTATCAACATTATCACCGCACAGCTTACTCCCGCTGCAATGGAGCTTGAGAAGAAGATCAAGGCCGAGGAAGCAGAGCATCAAAGACGTGCAGATGAGGAACGAAAGAAGAGGGAGGAAGAAGAACGTCTTACCCAGGAAGCGAAAGCGGCGGAAGAGAAGGCTGCCAGAGAAAAGGAGGCAAAAGAACGTGAAGAACAGGAACGACTTGCGCGGGAACGCTTGGCCACTGCAGAAACCACAGAAAACGAGCAACCAGATCGTTCCAGCGAAGAAGCGATGGAAGGTATCGAGACATCTGGACCATCAAGTGAGCCTCAGTCCGCAGTAGAGCCAGGGTCTACGTCCGCTGCCGCTGAACAACCCCGTGTTATGACTACTATCAGGGGTGAAGAGGTTGACGTTACGGAGCTGGGCATTGATCCTGAGTATCTGGCCGCCTTACCTGAAGAATTCAGAGAAGAGGTGATTGCTCAGACTGTCAGTGAGCGGCGATCTCAAGCTCGCGAGGAGGCCGCAGCTGGAGAGTCAACAGACGTATTCCAAGAATTCCTTGACGCTCTTCCTGACGAACTCCGCCAGGAAATTGCCCAGCAAGAACGACAGGAAGAACGCAGGCGAAATCGAGAAGAGGCTCGTCGCCAAGCAACTGTTCCATCCGGACAGCCGCCTCCCGCTGAAATGGACGCAGCTAGTATTTTGCTCACCTTTCCACCTGCTCTTCGCCAACAAGTTCTCATGGACCAAGGCGAAGACATAATGGACCAGCTCACACCGGAGATGGCTGCCCAGGCGAGAGCCTTGAGTCAGCACCACCCCCCAATGCCTCAGCATCAAGGCGTACGATCTATCGTCACCCCAGGACAAGGACCTCCTCAAGCTGCTGCCCGGGACAACAGCGAAGGTAAAGCTCAACGCCGAGCTGTAGTGCAGATACTGGACAAATCTGGGGTGGCGACTCTTTTGCGCTTGATGTTCATCGCCCAGCAAGGTTCCATCCGAAACTACTTGTTCAGCGTCTTTGCTGATGTCTGCGAAAATCGCCAAAACCGACTCGAGGTGGTAAGCACGATCCTTCAGATTCTTCAAGAAGGCAGCACAGATATGAACGCGGTTGAACGAAGCTTTGGGCAGCTATCGATAAAGGCAAGGAAGCACAAGGAGCGTGAAACCGACCAGAAAACACCTCAGAGTCTTAAGAAAACACTGACAAACTTGGGAACCACCGCCACACAAGTTCAACAGACCAACTCGGAAACCTCGCCGCTCTTGATTGTGCAGCAGTGCTTGGACCTTCTGGTGGACCTGTGCACGAGGAGTCAACACATACCATGGTTATTCTTGACCGAGCACGAAGTCGTAGGGTCTACTCTTAAGAGGGCATTGAGCCGAAAAGGCAAGATTAAGGACTCTAAGGCTCACAAGTACGCAATCAACTCTCTCTTGACTTTGCTGGATCGTGAGATTGTCATTGAGAGCTCTGTTGTGATGACACATCTCGCCGATTTGCTAAATCGTGTTACTTTGCCACTTCTTAGCCTCGACCGCAAACGCAAAGATACCACAGAGGAGGTCAGAAAGGAAGCTCCTGTCGCTACTGAAGGAGAACAGCGGTCTGCCTCGGCTGAACAACAACCACCTGAAACGGGTACCTCTACTGAACCTCCCGCAGGGCAAATACCAACTTCTGAACAAAATGCCGACGCTGCGGAGGGAGAGCCTCATCAACAGAAGAAAGAACCTGGATCGAAGAAACCGAGACAATTGCAGCCACCAGTCATTCCACCACAGAATCTCACTCTTGTTGTGAAAATATTCGTTGCTAGAGAGTGCAGCTCCAAGACATTTCAGAACACCATCTCCACCATCAAGAACTTGTCGGCTATCCCGGGCGCAAAGGCTGTTTTCGGACAGGAGCTCGTGAAACAAGCCCGTCTCTTGAGTGAAAATATCGTCTCAGACCTAGACGACCTTCTTCCCCATATCGAACAGGCCACTTCTGGTACTGAAATCCAAGGCGTTGCACTTGCCAAGTTTTCTCCAGGGGCGTCTGAGCAAAACAAGCTACTCCGCGTTCTAACTGCATTGGATCATCTGTTCGATGGCCGCAAGAAAGGTGGTGATGGCGAGACGGAGGAGTCTAAAGAGCATGACAAGCAGCACCTCGTCACTTCTCTATATCACAACTCTACATTCTCTGCCATGTGGGAGAAGCTCAGTGCCTGCCTCAAGGCGATTCGAGAACGAGAGAACATGCTGAATGTCGCTACAATTTTACTCCCACTGATTGAATCCCTTATGGTTGTATGCAAGAACACGACGGCAAGCGATGATTTGTCCCAGAGCCAGGCGAGCAAAGGCATGGTTCTTTCTAGTCCACCACCAGAAGCCCGGACCGCCAGTTTGTTCTTTGCCTTTACGGAAGATCATCGACGCATTCTGAACGAACTGGTGCGCAATAACCCAAAACTCATGTCTGGAACCTTTGCGCTCTTGGTTAAGAACCCCAAGGTTTTGGAGTTTGACAATAAACGGAACTACTTCAATCGCAGTGTTCACTCGCGAAGTAGCCAAAATAGTCGCCCATCCTATCCTCCCCTGCAACTATCAGTCCGTCGCGATCACGTATTCCATGATTCCTTTCGATCACTCTATTTCAAGTCGGGTGACGAAATGAAATTCGGCAAACTTAACATTCGCTTCCATGGAGAGGAAGGCGTTGACGCGGGTGGTGTCACACGTGAGTGGTTCCAGGTGCTCGCTCGACAAATGTTTGACCCCAACTACGCGCTCTTCACGCCTGTGTCGTCAGATCGTACTACTTTCCACCCCAACAAGCTCAGTGGAATCAACCCGGAACATCTAATGTTCTTCAAGTTTATTGGGCGCATCATCGGCAAGGCCCTTTACGAAGGTCGCCTGCTTGATTGTTTCTTCAGCCGAGCAGTTTACAAGCGAATCTTGGGTAAATCAGTATCGGTGAAGGATATGGAGTCATTTGATCCTGACTATTACAAGTCACTCTGCTGGATGCTGGACAATGACATTACGGACATCATCACAGAGACATTCTCGGTTGAGGACGACGAGTTTGGCGTTACGAATGTTTTTGATCTTGTTCCCAATGGCCGAGACGTTGCTGTCACTGAGGACAACAAGCACGAATATGTACGACTGGTGGTTGAACATAAACTCCTTTCATCTGTCAAGGAACAGATGGAGAAATTTTTGCAAGGTAGGATCTCTCGAGGCCCTTATGGATTTTTTTTTCTTCTTTCTTCTCTAATAACGTTAATTCATTTCAGGCTTCCATGATATCATTCCTGCTGAGTTGATCTCCATTTTTAACGAGCAAGAACTTGAGCTGCTCATCTCGGGTCTTCCCGATATTGACATTGATGACTGGAAGAGTAATTCGGAATATCAGAATTACACACCATCATCTCAACAGATTCAATGGTTTTGGCGAGCTGTTAGGTCCTTTGATAAAGAGGAACGCGCCAAGCTGCTCCAGTTTGTGACCGGTACCAGCAAAGTCCCCCTCAACGGATTCAAGGAACTTGAAGGCATGAACGGCATCAGTCGTTTCAACATTCATCGAGATTATGGTGACAAGGATCGATTACCGTCATCTCACACTTGCTTCAATCGTAAGTATCCACTAGCAATTTTGCAATTGTCTGGAAATTTTTGCGGCTTGTGTAAGCTGACTCGTGCTACAGAACTTGATCTCCCAGAGTACGAAAGCTATGACATGTTGCGAGCTCAGCTTCACAAAGCCATTACCCAAGGCAGCGAGTATTTCGGATTTGCATAGAAAATGCATATGATGATGCAACAACATGATAAGTAAGAAACGCCGCAGCAGCATAGCGTGGTCAGACCATATAACGGCGCCATGGTGTTGGAAGTGTGAATCAGCGGGTCCTGGCCGTATGGATATACAATTCGCTGGCCTTGTACCTTTCCCTTTTGGGGTTCCGTTGGTTTCATTTTCGAGTAGTGCATATTGTTTGGAGAGTGGCTGGTGAGCGCGCGGCAAAGTGCCCTTTAGTTGGTTGGACTCTCTCCTTTATGGAGAGAGCCGCTACGCAAAGTATCTGGATTGGTCAGACTAGGGAGAAGTGCAGGTCTCACTGGAATGGGCATTCAGAGATTAATGACACATGAAGGGGAGCAAAAGCGTGTAGAGTATGGAAATTCGCAATTAGAGTAAATATGACTTGACAGGACTTGAGATCCATGGGCTGCGCGGGGATGTGACAAAGAAGAATGTGATGTGATGATATTGGCCAGCGCCTGGGCTAGTGACGGTTGACAGGTTAACCATGTACGAGGATCTTTGCAGTCAGTACAGATCAGTATCATCACAGTGACAGATTCAAGGTACGATTATACGCGGACACAGGATTGGAACAGGAGTTAATTTGAACATGGCATCAAGAATGCATTTTGATAAGTCTGAAAATGCTCTCTAATACATCCGTGATCAATTGGTGAGGGCTGGGACTTTCGAAACCACGCGAAACCCCGCTAGCCCACGGGATATTGATTGTAAAAAACCTTCACTCCCAAATGCATGCATGCAAATTCCCCCATAGGAACCAAGGTAAATTTTTCCACTTTTTGATTTTGTCATTATACGAAACGCAACGCCAGAGCCATATCAACCCGTTTTTACTTGCGCATAGAAGAGGCGCGGCGCTTACGGGCATCGGCCTTGTGGGCCTTGGCCTCTGCGACACGCTTGGCGAGGATCTGGGCGTATTCGTTCTGTGGAGAGGCATTGGTTAGTTGTAGTCTTTACAACGGCGCCGGGTTGGGAAAAGAACTTACGGCCTCGTCCTTGACCTTCTCGGCCTGGCGGCGCTTGAGCGCGGCGCGATGGCGCTTGTGCTGGAGACGCTGGGGAGTGACCAGTCTCTGGATCTTGGGCGCCTTGGTGTAAGGCTTCTTGCCCTCACCCTTGGGCTGGACCTCGCGGCGGATGACGTACTTGCGAACCTGTTATCCGGAGGGGCGTTTCATCAGTCTCTATTCACACAAGTTTTGTTGTACTCTGGTTCCGGTGGGCATAAGCTGAGGGGAGAAGAACAAAAGACGGTGGAGAATTTGTTCATGGACACAAAAAAAACGGCAATTTTTGTTTCCCCGTTTCTTTCTATCCTCCTCAGAGCATCATACCCACGGACTTGTTCATCTCACACTCTACCCGGACTGCCATAACCAACGCCGCAGCTCCGAGTAGGCGATGACCGAGTATGGATTGTAGGAGGTGTAACATACATCGTCATCCTTGGTGAGGCCAAAGAACTTGCGGATCTTGGTGGCACGCTTGGGACCCAGGCGCTTGGGGTGGACGACGTCGGTCAGGCCGGGGATGTCGCCGTCACCCTGCTTGACGATGCTGAGGGCCAGGACGGACAGATCCATGCCGACGATGCAGCCACGGACCGACTTTCGCTTGCGCTCGCCGGTGCGGCGAGGGCGGTAGCAGGAGTGGCCGTCGGAGAGCAAGAGGCGGACACGGCCGGGGTGCATGACACCCTGCTTCATGGGGAAACCCTGCTTGTCGTTTCCTCCGGTGATGCGGAAGATGTAGCCCTTGAACTCGTCGCCGACAGAGTCGCCAGCAACTTCGGCGCCCATCTGTTTCATCTGGTTAGCTCAAAAAGCTCGGTTTGATTGCATCAAGACTCCGACTGAGGCCGTCTCCCCCATTTCGAGTTGTCCAGCATCTCTCGGACAGTCGATGTAGAGGGAGCAGCATCGGGTTTTGGTCGAGGGGCGGGACGGTTCGGGACTCGGACGTACGCGCTTCTCCATGAAGACGGCCAGCTTGCGCTCATCGTCAATGTCGATGAGCTTCTGGCTGCCATTGGCAGGGTAGGAAATGTTCAACTGTGCAGAAACGTGTTAGCCAACGGTTTCCTGTTTTTTTTTTCTTTGGTCTATCCAAAGATTCGACTCTGCGCGACGATAATGGTTTCTCTCGACACGTGCAAGGTGTGGACATGTTCAAATGCTAGTGTGATATGCCGGTATTTCCCATTGATCGTCGGCGACGTCGTTTCTTTTGCTGTTACAGCTGAGAATGCAGATTCGTACCTTCATCTTGCCAGTTGTGGATGGTGCAAGTTGACTTGACCTGGCGCTTGTGAAGTCGGTGATGGATGCAGAGGGATGGAAGAGCAGAAAAATTAATGGACGAATTCGAGAAAGTGTGTGCCGCTAGGGTTCCCTCTTCTGTGTGTGGGAAAATGGGAAACGGCCAATGATAATTCAAGAGCGGGGCTCGGTTGAAGCGGTTCTCTGCCACAGTCACTAGCCATGAGAAGCGGTTTGCGCCACATTCGATGTTCCTTTCTGCCCCACCTCGCAACTGTCGTTGCACTTTGGCACCCAAGGATGAGTCCTCGTTTGGTCTTGGTCGGTTGTATTGACAATGAAGCAACATTAAGCTCAATTTGTAGTTCGTAAATACCTTGTCCGTTAAAATGGAAGCATGTGCCTAGGTAGGTAGTTATATACAGAGATGTTCCCTTCTCCCCGCCCCCATTTTCTCTTCGTAAGTCAACCCGTTGACGTCCCCAACGGCGGTGGTGCTCCAATCCCAATACATATATGTTCCGTCTTCTCACGCGCGAAGCTCTTCGCACCTCCCAAGTCAAACGACCAGGCACTTCATGACATTCCCTACTCCCATCCAATACACCACCCCAAGAGCCCATCAAGCCTTTCCAATCACAAACATAAACAAGAACAAGAGAAGACCCAAACCCACATCGCCGCGCTCTTCCAAATAGAGAAAATTCCACCAATAATGTCAGCAAAGCTTCACCCCCCATCGAAACCATCACAGCCAAAGTCCAATCCTCTACCCCCTCTCATCCAGACCCCTTCTGGCCTCGCCCTTCTCGAACTTCAGGGCACCATCAACCTGCCCCAGTCCAAGGACGGCCAAGCACTCAGCGGCATCGAAATCGGCAGGATCGACTTTCCGGACTTCGTACCCGACGCCGAGGGTTCAGCGTGGATGAAGCGCGTCCACATGTACGTCGGCCAGCACCAGCGTCTGACGGGGGAGGTGAAGAAGCTGCCCAATGCCATTGCCGTGATAAGTCGGCGCGAGAACAGGGTGCTAGAGAACTCGGCGGGGACGTACCTGGAGGAAGGGGAGAACCTGGAGGTAGTCGAGATTGTCAAGTACAAGATTATGTTTTCAACCCGGCCCGAGCCCGTGGGGGCGACGAATGCGTCTTAGACGGCACGTTGGATTTGCGACCAAACAGCGGAGTCTGTCTTCTTTCTATATACGATTATATGGCATTTATTCTAGGGCAGGTCCGCGTCTGGGCCCCGTGGTGTTTGCAACATGGCGGCCAACTCTTGCACCCTCTTGACGGCCGGTCCCCTCAACACCTCGTCGGGGGCCTCTGAAATAAACACCAGTGCTATCATTAACGCCGCGTCAAGTCGCAAAAGGGTCTCTTCCTCCGCCGTGACCCGCGGCAGCGGCACAACTTCCGAATACGCCTCCAGAAACTCGCTCCCAAGCTTCTCCAGCTCCATGATTCTGTATAAATCCACGGCCGTTGGACCGACCAGGCAGTTGGTCCAGTCTAGAACGGCCACTACCCGACCACGTCTCACGCGGAGATTGACGTCCCGGAGATCCATGTGTAAATGGCGCGGAGGAAACCGTCGCAGTTTCTCGGCAATCCCCTGCAGGACGTGTCTTTCCGGAATCCAGCTCTTGGAGGCGGGTTCGTGTTTCAAGAATTGCTGAAATCGCCGGACCATGCGATTGACCAAGGTTGTGAAAACATCACCGTCTTCCATGGCTACGGGTCGAGTATCCCAATCTTCTGGCACGTGGGAGGTGTGTATTAGGGCGGCCACACGGCCCATCTCCGCGGGCGATGCTTGAGTTCCGTCATCTTCGATGAACTCGCTCAGCATGGCGGGAAAGCCATTGATTTCGAGGAGTTCGAATGCCCGAGGTACGGGGACCGGGCCGCCGTGTAAGAGTCTGTAGATGTCTAGCTCTTGGGCGAGGAGCTCTCTGGCGTCATTGCTTGGGTCATTGACGTTTTGAAAGACTTTGTGCTGGGGGATGCGGAGAGCTACAGGACCGTAGTGTGGTGACTGCGCCTTGTAGACGTGGAATTCGAGGCCCTCGGCGACGGGCTCGACATCTGTCAGCTGGGCGGCGGTGACGAAGGGGTGTGCTGAGGCGCGCGCGGGGTTCATTGTAACTTGTCGAGGCGTTGTGCTAGTACTACCAAGTTGCTGAAGCAATGGGATCCTTTTTTATATCGGCGCTACTTTCTCCTTATTATATTGTGTTGGCATTGTATACGCAGTTGTGCTGCAAGTATCGTGCGAGTGATGGAGGAGATAGAGTTGGACGCAAAGAGAATGCGCCGCCATAACGACTTGGTGCGTCACCATCCACAGCCGTAGGACATAAATGCCATCAATATCCATTCCATCCCATCCATGGCATATTTCGACAAGCACCACGATTATAATTCATTGATTCGATGTTTCAATTTATTTATTTTTTTATTTTTTTTTTTACCTTTTTTAATTCATTTTTTCCCCTTTTTAACTTGCTTCTAGAGGTCTCGCCCTCCCTAAGCCCTCCTTGCCATAATAATCCATCGGATACACACTCCCCTTGTCCCACTCCTCCTTTACCCCCAGCGCAACCAAGGCCTCATATGGTGTCAGCAACGGCCGTGGAAACGCATACCCCCAGTCAATACTCAACCGTGGACAAGCCACCTGCACCCAGCACTCAACGTCACTCATCATGGCCAGTTTCCCCGGGAAAATCTCACTCAGCAGCAGATTCACCCACGGTATGCCCTTCTCCTTGAGCCTCTTCTCAATAAGAGCCATGGTATGTGGATTTCCCTGTCTACCCAACGAACCCAATATAAGCCCCCACCGTTTGGCCGTTCTCGCCGTGTGAATCGCACTCCGCCGAAGAGACTGCATCTCATCGTGGCCGTACGTCTCACGCGTAAGCTTCCTCGAGTACGGATCGTACCTGTACGCCGGTATCGAAGGATTGTGGATCATGATGCTCTCCAAGTGGAAGCGGCCATCTCCAAGGTACAGAATCATGTCGACAGCATCTTCGTCCTTGAGCCGGGGGGATGTGCAGCCCAGGATTTCACCTTTGCTGAGGGGCGCGATTTGCGGGACGAGCACCTTGAAGCCTGCTGCTTCCAGATTGCTCCGTACGCCGTGGATGGTGGCGTTGAACTGAATGGTGCCCACGACGGCCATGGTCTTACCCGTAGCAAAGTTGCGCTCCAGGGAAGCCAGCAGGTGCGCCGTGTCGATGCTGATGTCGACGAAGACGTAGAGCGTCTTGATTTTGGTCACGTCGACGGGGATGAGACAACTGTGCGCATAGTGTACCAGCAAATCGCACCCCAGGGCTCGAGCCGTGTAATCGTCTATGCAGCATGCGCCGTAGGTGACATCCCCCATGATGAGGGTCTCGATGCCAGGACAAAACTGCGTGAGAATGTCCGAGATGGTGGTGGCGAAGAGCAGGAGGCCTTCGGGCATCTGGAGGGCCACCTTCTTGGCTCCAGAGGTTCGAATCCTGTGGATGGTCTTGGGGATTTCAAAGCTGTAGTTGGCCGGGAGCAGGGCAATGGCTTCCTTGAGATTTGGGTCATCGAGGATATCCTTGGGGACTCTGTTCAAAAGACGGGGTGCTCGTCTTGGCTTGGCGGCTGGTGAAATTGCGTTAAGACTGATTGTTATTCATGTAGCGTCTGCTGGTGACAAACCACGAACCTTGAATGGCGCCGCTTTCGCCGTCGGCGCTTGTCGTCCCATTCTTTGCTGCTGCCTCCGCGGCTGCCCTTCTGCCTACGAATCGTTTCTTGGGCTGCTTGGTGGTGGATTGAGGAGCGTCGTCGCTCGTGGGCTCGGGTTGATGAGCCTGGGTGAGTTGGGCTTCTTCAATGTCTGCGGCGATGCCGAGGTCGACTTGCGCCCGGTCGTCTTCCATGGGGCACAGAATTCTGCGGCTGTTGGGAAATTTTCTGCGTATACCCTCCGTCAATGTCCAATATCGCCAAAATTGGCGTGTTTATCATCCACGCACAGGTTTGCCAACTCTGTGTGGCCACCTGAGGTGAAGGTGTGAGTTTTTTGGTTCCGCTTTTACGATTGGTCGGAGTGTCAGTTGCCCAACTTAGTGGTGATCAAAGTCGTGGCTGCTCTTGCTCTCCCGACCCGTATGTAAATCTTGTGCGTGGCATTTCTGAGCAACGAGATGTTTCAAAATATAAATTCATGACAGCTTACTCTTAATAATATAGTTCAGTATGAGCATAGCAAACAAAAACACACAACCAGCACAAATATATTATAACCAACCCATCGTCCCCACGCCACCTACGACGACGGGCCCCTGCCCTTCTTCTCTTCATGATCAGAGACCAGACTAAACCTGTATTTAGCCTGCAACACATACGGATCACCGCCGGGCTCATAAATCTGCTTCTTGCCACGCATCCACTCCGGGTTGTTGATGCCGTCGATGTAATCCTGGACCTCGAGCACGACACATCCATACTTGGGAATGGTGCGAGGGAACTTGTCCTTGTTGCCGCCCGTGACGCCCTGCGTCTTCTTGAGGGCCATGGTGCCGTTCTGCCCGTTGCATGAGTATATCTGAAAGGCGTCCTGGTCAGTGAAGACATCGAGCTGGATGCCAGACCAGGGGGATGACAGGGTGGTGACGGGGCCTTGCTTGCGCCAGTCGTAGGGGCCTATGGCGCAGCGGTTGTTGATGAAGCAGTTATCTGCGACATTGTCAGCATGAACTAATAACGCTTGTCGTGTTCGTTTCATCAATCTCACCATAGCCAGTGCAGTTGAAGCCGCAGTTGTTCACCATGCCCTCGTCCCCGAACGAGGCTCCAATCTGCTTGGGCTCACTCCAGAAGTCATTCACGCCGCCCTTCTTGTTTGGCAACAACTCGCCTGTCGGGATGAGGATATTGTCCACGCCCACACGGAAACCGGCATACGGCATATGCAGCGTATGATTGAACACCTTGCTCGTTTGGTTGTTCGCAAAGCCATCCAGGTTCCAGTACGTGTGGCTGCTCAGCATAATGGGCGTCTTCTTAGTCGTCGCCTCGGCGACCATCTTTAAATCCCAGTCTCGTCCGTTCAGACTGTACGTTACGACAGTCACAACCTCTCCGGGAAATCCTTCCTTACCATCGGGATCAACCAGGGAAAAGGTGACGCTGTGGTTGGAGTGCGAAACAACGGTGAAGTTACGCCAATCCCAGCCATCCGGGCCGCCGTGGAGAGTATCGACACCGTCGGGGTGGCCCTTGGTGGGATTCTCATTCGCCTTGACGTGATACTTCTTCCCGTCGATCTCAAAGGTGCTGTTCTTGATGCGGTTGGCATAGCGGCCGGGAACGCCGCCAAAGTGAGGGTGCTGCTTGTCAATGCCGTAGTAGGAAGCATTGTCGAAGCCAGCAACGATGTCGCGCTCAATTCCGTACTGGTCCTTGACCATGAAATTGGAAACAGAGGCTCCGTAGGCAACAAAGGCGGCAGAGATGCCGTCGCCATAGATCCAGTACTTGCCGTCCTTGTCAGGCTTTGGCTCGTTGTTGTTGGTGTTGTCGTTTGCGTCGGCGACGCATGTTGACGGCAGCACCGCGAGCGCAGCGAATGCCAAGAACTGCAAAGTCCACTTCATGGCAGCGGCTTCCTGGGCTGAGAGTCAAATCCAATTGATTTATCAAGACTTCGTCACTATCTCAGCAGCTCTTCGCGCGGCAGAAAGATGGCCGGTCTGATTCAGATGCGCGTGTCTCGCAATGCTCTGGATCTGGAAACACAACAAAAACAAGAGACTAAAATGTCCCACTCAAGGACTTGCACAAGTGGTTGCACAAACAGCTAATTAAAACACTGAGACAATTGGATGAATTGGTGGCCCAACCGGTGTTTATAAAATGCTCAGTGCAACGCTGCTGACAGACGCATCCCCCATCCCACGATGATCTTCAATGCAGACACTCTGTACGGAGGCAGCCACAGCTTTTTCCCCCTCACGAATCAACAACAGCATGTCCCGTGCTGCTGGTCAATTCGTCCTCCCATCTCCTCTTTTTGCTTCCCTCCACAAGATTAGAACGCTCAGCATCGTGCTTTCCCCCCCTCATGCAACCCTCACTGCAGGTAAGTATCACGCATCCGGACAACCAACCCGAAGGAGACGCTGTTCATGCCTAGGGTCAGGCTGGGCCCTTTAATGTTGGGTCAGGAGTACGTAGCAACGCCGATCATCTTGTCAAAAAGTTGGCACTTGGGGAAACTACAAGTCAAAAGCCCATCTCCGCATCATGTCACCCGTCTAGAGTACGTAGTAAGTGTCGATATTCCAAGCAAGCAAGGAGTGTTGGGCCATTGGAAATAATGAGATGCAGTGAGACCTGTCCGCACCCATCAGCGTTCAATTCATCCCCAGACTTTCCAACAACGGGCATGTTTCTCTCCACTACAAAGTACGGGGTACGGGATGCATGCAATAATAGACCCAGGACATGGATAGATGGGGCTGCCAGATCCTTCCTTGGCCGTCGGGTGGCTGGGGAGTTCCAGAGCCAGGACTGTCATTCTGTGCCAGCATTCACCCTGCCTTTGCGATGCCCTTCATCCGCAGCTGCACGGCCAACACCTTGTCCATTGATGAATGACAGCTCATGTCATCAGTGCACATGCACTGCAGCCAGCCAAGTTACCCGAGTAATTCTAGGCCCCAGCGCCTCGCATGCCAGCCTGTCTCTGTGCCAGTCGCAAGCCGCACGTGCCACGCATGCTTCAGGGTTGCAGTGAACACGGAGCAGGGCATCTGTTTGTACAGAGTACTCAGCACACGCAACTGATCTGCGCGGCGCGTCCAACTACGCCACCAACGAAACCAACTGTCGGGGTACTACTCCGTACTGCGTACGACTTCAATCTTGACCTTGCCATGCTGCAGTACCCAAATAGGCCCGAAAACACCACACAATTCCATGGACCAGATGACCGGCACTCCGCACGCCCGCCCTGTCGACACCAATAGCATCGTTAATGGCTGGGACCTGCAAGTGCGAACCAGTCCACTGAGCAACCTGCTTCAGTACCTACCTACTAAGTACCTAGCTTAGACTCTAAGCAGGCTCTTGCTCACGCAGTTTATACGAACCCGAGGGGACATGCATGACATAACACATTAATGTAGCTTCAACATGCGCTTTATGCACTTGCACAATTAATAAGCGTCCGTTTCATCTCACTCATCCTTCATCGTCATAGCCAGCCATTTATTCCAGGGGACATCTTTCTACTTCAAACGGCACAACTGCTGCAGCCGCTACTCCAAATATTCACGTATTGAGACTCAAATTCTAATGCAAATAACCGTGAAATTGCTACCTTCTCCCACAAAACTGATATCAAATATCACACAACAAAGCTGCTCTCCGCCGCATTTATACACATACGCAACAAGGGCGGCACTCTGCCACCTTGCATTGTGCCATATGTTCTGGCCCCTCCTTGCGTTTTGTCTATTATACTGGCCGCAGGCACAAAAAAAAAACTACATAGATATGTATATATCTGCCGCAAACAACGTCACTTTCAACGCAAACATACTACTATGCGTCAATCAAGTTCTCCTCCCTCTGTTGCTGGTCCTTTGCCGCCACATCCTCTCGAGCCTTGCCCTTTGACTTGGCATCTTTCTGTGCACGCTGGTAGAACTCGTTCAACACCTTGGCCGGGATTCGGTTCAGGAGGTCCTTGGGGTAGATACGCAGCAAGCTCCATGCAAGATCCAACGACTCGAAAATGGTGCGTGACTCGTAGGCTCCTTGACTGATAAACTGACGCTCAAACTTTTCCAAGAACTCCAGAGACAGCTTATCTTCGGCAGACAATGCTTCTTCACCAACAACAGCCTTCATGGCAGCAGCATCACGGCCAATGGCATACTTGGCATACAGCTGATTGGACACATCACCGTGATCACGGCGGGTCATGCCCTCACCAATAGCCGACTTCATCAGACGAGACAGCGACGGGAGCACGTTAATAGGCGGGTAAATACCACGGTTGTACAAAGGACGGTCAACGAAAATCTGGCCCTCGGTAATATATCCCGTCAAATCAGGAATAGGGTGAGTAATATCGTCGTTGGGCATGGTCAAAATAGGAATCTGAGTAATGGAGCCATTACGTCCCTCAACACGGCCGGCACGTTCGTAAATGGTGGATAAATCAGTGTACATGTAACCGGGGAAACCACGTCGTCCCGGAACTTCTTCTCGAGCGGCTGAAACCTCACGGAGGGCATCACAGTATGCAGATAAATCCGTCAAGATAACGAGGACGTGCTTCTCAAGCTGATAGGCGTAATATTCGGCTGTCGTAAGAGCAAGACGAGGTGTAATAATACGTTCAATACTAAAAGACGAAACGTATTAGTAAACACATTTCGAGATAAAGCACGCGGCAGTTAAATATCAATCAAACCTACGTAGGATCGTTCGCAAGGTTAAGGAACAAAGTAGTGCGTTCCAAGCTGCCATTCTCCTCGAAATCGCGTGTGAAAAATCGAGCGGTTTCCAAGTTAACACCCATTGCACCGAAAACAATGGAGAAATTTTCTTCATGAGCATCGTGAACGCCCTTGTTAGTCACGCCATGCTGTTTTACCAGACCAGCTTGTCGACAGATCTGAGCAGCAATTTCGTTGTGTGGCAGACCGGATGCGGAGAAGATAGGAATCTTTTGACCTCGGGCAATCGAGTTCATCGTGTCAATGGCAGAGATACCGGTAGAGATCATTTCTTCGGGATATTCCTAACGACTGTTAGCACTTGACTCCTGTCGAAGGTAGAATATAGGATGTACATACTCTCGAGTATGGGTTGATGGGGCTTCCGTTAATGTCGAGGTACTCTTCGGCCAAGACCTTGGGTCCCTTATCAATGGCACGTCCGGAGCCGTCAAAGATACGACCAAGCATATCCTCAGAGACACCAAGCTTCAAGCTCTGGCCAGTGAACTCAACTCGGGTCTACGGAGAGCTGTTAGCCATCATGGATATTCGCCGCATGAAGAAAGTTCATCAGCCTACCTTCTTAACATCAACACCAGAAGTACCCTCGAAAACCTATCAAATCGCGTCAGCTATCATCAAAGGCGGACCATCCTTTGTGTGTCACGGTACCTGCACGACAGCTCGATCACCTAACCAAAAGGTCGTTAGCAAAACTATCATTGCAGCAACATGTGAATACAAACCTCGAGCCTCCAAAACCTGACCAGATCGTACAGATCCATCAGGAAGTGTCAGCGACACAATCTCGTTATATCTCGGGAATTTGACCTAATGACGCCATTGTCAGTATGCACGGCCGGCTCTCCAGCTTGTTTGGTCCTCCTACATTCTCAAGAATGACCAGCGGACCGTTGACACCGCCAACAGTGTTGTATCGGATTCGCGGCACGACCGAGTACGACGACGACTCGCGAGGGTCCCCCATGGTGATGACGGCAAGCAGCTATGGCGAAGTCCAGTGGGGGTGCGGCAGGATAAAGGCGTCAGCCTAGGGTACACAGAGGACGAAACAAAAAGCCGACTGGGCCAATGTTTGATGACAACGGCTCTCCTTGGAAGAGGGGACGAGTTGTTGCGGTTGAGATGAGGTCTGAGCTTGGATGGAAAGCGATTTGGTTAGGAACCCATGAAACTGTGACAAGACGAGGTTGGAGGAGGTTGAGCTTGCTTGGCATAGAGTGGAGCATCCGCAGCGACCTGAAGCCAGCACAGGACTCACGCCCACTGAGGATTGGCTTGAAAGCGGGCCGACCTGCTTCTCAAGTTGCTGGCCTGCCAGAGAGTTCCACACACAGACGCTGGTGACATCACATGACTGGCTGCTTGGTAAATTCCCCAGAAACTGCCCCTCCAGATTAAGCATTCGATGCCACAATCTCCGGTGGTGCAGGCGTGAGACCTTGGGGTTGATATTGCGACTAGTTGCGGAGGAAAATGCGACAAAGAGCTTTTTCCAGAGAAATATATCACACAATCCTCAGGTCCTCCTCACATTATGTGTAGCCTTTGAAAGCCTGTGCATAAGCAATAAGTGAATCATACGGGCCACCACGTCGGACTGTATTTTAAGTTCGAGTTCAGATAAACTAAACACCATGAGATCACACAATGTGTCTTCCGGTATGGGCATGCCTCCAAAGTTCAAGCCTTGGCAGCCTCGGCCGCAGCTCTAGCCCTCGCCCCCAGCACCGCTTTTCCAACAGTACTACCATTCGACTTACCCAACTCCGTCGAAATCCACGACCCAATATCAGTCATGGCATCCAGGTCAATACCAGTATCCATGCCTAGTGTCTCCATAAAGTAAACCATGTTCTCCGTGGAGACGTTACCAGTCGCACCAGGGCTATAAGGACAGCCACCAAGTCCACCTACACTGCTGTCAAACGTTCTAATACCGTGCTCCAACGATACCGCAGTGTTGACTAATGCCTGGCCATACGTGTCGTGAAAGTGCATGGCGATGTCCTCAGTGCGAATGCCCGCAGCAGACATGCACCTTAGCAAGGCGCTGGTGCGAGGCGCAGTACCCATACCGGTAGTATCGCCCAGGGAAATTTCATCGGCTCCCGACTCGAGAAGATCTGTGGCGATTTCGGCAACCTTGTGAGGGTCAACGTCGAATCCTTCAAACGGGCACCCCAAAACAACAGAGATATATGCCCGAACTCGAAGACCTAGAGCCTTGGAGTCCTGGATGACAGCCTTGAATCGCTCCAAGGACGTCTGGATGTCGCAGTTGAGGTTCTTTTGTGAGAAGCTCTCGGTGGCTGCCGCAAATACGGCGACTTCCATTGCAGGCTTAGGTTCGCCGTTGCTATCGGCTCGAGGGTCAAGTTGAGTGGAGAAGGTTTCGGGGTTGGCTTTCAGAATGTCGGCACAGTTTTGGAGCCCCTTGGTGTTGGGGGCCAGGAAGGAATATGTCATGGGAACAGGTGCTTGTACTTTGTTCTGAAGCAGGTGCTCAAGAATTTCACTCGAATTTGCCATCTATGCCGCGGCACTGTTAGCATAATCACAATGCGGGCCCTTCGTAATCCCCAAAGCCTCAATTCCTCATCCCTCCTACAACAAGGATCAACACACCTGAGGAACCCATTTCGGCGAGACAAAAGACCCGGCCTCAATCGTAGAAACACCAGTCCTGGCTAATCGCTCGATCAGATCGATCTTGGTAGCAAGTGGAATTGTCTTCTTCTCATTTTGTAATCCGTCGCGAGGACCAACCTCGACAAGCTTGACCTTGGTATTCGATGTAGCCTGTTGGCCGTTGGCTGTCGCAAAGTTCCGTCGCAGCTGAAATTGGGACCGTCTGCAGGCCCTACAAACTGCTGATCGGATGAGAGTCATGCTGGCGGCTAAAGGAAGGATGAGGAGACGTGAGGAGAGCAGGCTCGTCGGCCGTCTTGGACTTTCACCAGGTGTTCGCGTAGCGTCGGCTTCCACCCCGGCCCGGCAATCAGCCGACCGGAATGAAGCCACCCCCGCGTCAAACCGGCCTCGTTAGCCACGGGGACTAGGCGTATCATTTAGAGCTTCACCATGGTATAGTAGACATCTTACATTTCGAATCTACAGAGGTTTTATGACATTAAAGCAACTGGATTGGCTTATAAGTTTATGAAGAAAAATAAACCCTTCAAGGGGCTAGGGTATGAGTCCAGAATTACAACAGTGGCCACTGGCGCTTAATCATTCCTTTCGTGCAACACTGTCTAGTACTCGGCCTCAAGCTCCTCCTCACCCATTGAGTCGGCAGCAACCTCCTCGTAATCACGCTCCAGAGCAGCCAAATCCTCACGGGCCTCAGAGAATTCACCTTCTTCCATACCCTCACCAACGTACCAGTGCACGAAAGCACGCTTGGAGTGCATCAAATCAAATTTCATAGACAAAGAGCTCCAGGCTTCAGCAATGGCAGTGGTGTTGGATAGCATGCAGCTATATCATATTAGCAACCCTTGTCATAATTTTGGTGAGTGCATGACTGATCAGTGAATGACTTACACGGCGCGGTTGACCTTGGCCAAGTCACCGTTAGGAACGTTCTCAGGAGCCTGGTAGCAGATACCAAGTTTGAAACCAGTAGGGCACCAGTCTACGAACTGAATTGTGCGCTTGGTCTTAAGAGAGGCAACAGCGGCGTGGGTGTCGTTGGGGACAACGTCACCGCGGTAAAGCAGGCAGGTAGCCATATACTTGCCGTGGCGGGGATCACACTTGACCATCTGGTTGTTGGGCTCAAAGCAGGACATGGTGATCTCCTGCACGGAGTTGGCCTCGTGAGCAGCCTTGGCAGCCGAGATGACAGGGGCATAGGCGACCAGAGGGAAGTGAATTCTGGGGTAAGGCACCAAGTTGGTCTGGAACTCGTTCAAATCGACGTTGAGGGAACCATCAAAACGAAGAGAGGCGGTGATTGAAGAAACGACTACAAAAAAATTCAAAAAGAATCAGCGTTGTCCCACGTCCAAGGTCAACAGAGAGTCTGTCATCAAGCTTACCCTGGGCAATCAGGCGGTTCAGGTTCTCGTAGTTGGGGCGCTCTAGGCCCAGGTTGCGGCGGCAAATATCGTAGATGGCCTCGTTGTCGACCATGAAAGAGCAATCGGAGTGCTCAAGGGTGGTGTGGGTGGTGAGAATCGAATTGTATGGCTCAACAACCGAGGTGGCAGTCTGGGGAGCTGGGTAAACGCAGAACTCGAGCTTGCTCTTCTTGCCATAGTCGACAGATAGACGCTCCATCAAAAGAGCACCGAAACCAGAACCGGTACCACCGCCAAAGGAGTGGAAAACAAGGAATCCCTGAAGACCAACACAGTTATCGGCGACGCGGCGGATCTTGTCGAGGACACCCTCAATGAGCTCCTTGCCAACGGTGTAGTGGCCACGGGCGTAGTTGTTGGAAGCATCCTCCTTGCCAGTGATCATCATTTCGGGGTGGAAAAGATTGCGGTAAGCACCGGTGCGGACTTCATCGACGACATTGGGCTCGAGATCGCAGTAGATGGCGCGAGGGACGTACTTGCCCTGACCTAGATTGAGCAAGTGTTAGCTGTTGAACATGGCTCAGGGGCTAGCTTCAAGATGACAAAAAAAGGGGAGAGGCCGTACCAGTCTCGGAGAAGAAAGTGCTGAAGCCCTGATCCGGGTCCTGAGCCTTGCGCTCCTCGGTGAGATAGCCATCGGGCTGTCAAACAGTTGTGGACGTTAGCCATGTCGTTCGGGTGTGGGTGGAGATTTGTCAACAACAGCGAACAGCGATTTACCTGGATACCGTGCTCGAGGCAGTAGAGCTGCAGCCAAATTCATGTTAGCAAAATTATCATGGATCAAGGGATGAGAATCATTAGTCAAGCATACCTCCCAGCAAGAATTGGCGATTTGACAGCCAGCCTGGCCGACTATGCTCGCAGTGTTAGCGTCTCCAAACAGCTCGGGGCAACGATGCGGTGAGCAGCGACGCGTGTGGGAAGGCCAGAGGAGGGGCAGCAAAGCTCCTTACCGTTGATGCTGATAACCTCACGCATGGTGACGAATTACAACAACACAAGTTTGGGTAGAAGGGTATGTATGAAAAGGACGAAGGAAGATAGTGAGAAGGGTCGAAGCCGAGACGGGGCTCTTTTTTTCTTCTCTGGTCGACGGGATCGGGTGCGTGTGAGGTTGAGAGAAGTCTCGGTGCGTGACGGGCGAAGGAAAATAGGTGGGGGAAATTTGGGTGACCAGGGGCGAGGGGGCGAGGGAGATGCGTTGCTGTCCAGGGATTTGTTGATTTCTTGGTCGTGGCTCGAAGAGGTAAGCGCGTCTCTGAGGTCCCTGCCAACCGTCTCAACTCAACCGACTCTAGGTACCTCCTGTAGGTACGTACTGCGCCATACCCGAGTGTCAGCCGGTGTCTCTGGGGCTGCGGCGTCCCTGACACTGGGCGTCGCTCACCGCTCCAGGCTGAGCAGTACACCACTCAAAGTGCAGTCCCAGAGAGACAAACCACGAGGTACTCCGTACACCATGCTGCCTCTGCTTTGGCATCAATGTTGGCTGATATCGACTGCTCGAGTGGCTCCAGATGCTTCTGGGATGGCCTGTGGATGGCTGCAATTCGAAAACCGGGCCCGCAAGTCCCCTGCCCAGATGGCGCTATGGCGAACTCTGTGCACTGTTTACTTATTGCTTCATTTGAGGAGAATCCACCTTGTTCACACGCCCGCCACGCTACCCAAGGCCAAAGCAACCACGCCCAATTTGTTTCGACGGGTACTAATATCTGCAGTACGAAACACCAGACCGGGACACGCTTCCTACTCTTCCGGCCAGACCCATGACGAGGACCCCAACCTTGGATCGCATTGCCGTGGTGAACGGCTTGATCATCCCATCCTCCCACACAGGCAGCCACTCTTGTTGGGGCCCGAAAGGCAACTAATTAAACATCCGACCAGATCCCAAGCACGCCAGGCTGATGGAAAACACAATACACTGACGGCCGTAACCCTGAATTTCGATGCCAATTCGTGCACGCTCAAGTTCATCGATTAGGAAGCAAAAAAAAAACCTTCCATCCCAGAGTCTCGTTAACAGCGTGGTCATTTGCGGAACACCAGACAGTACTATCAGTTAAGCCGTCCCGTCGCTGCACATGCAACCAAATATTGGCCTTGATATGTCGCAGCTTGACTCGAGGCCAGTCTGAAGCCTGAGGCTTTGCTCGAGGTGGTTGACCAATGGGGAGCTCTGCTCGTAAAACCAACACAACCTCCTGGAGTCCTGAAGTTTGAACCACCGCGATAATGCCTCCCACGTCAAGTCCCCTGAAGGCATTGGTCTATATAATCCTCCTCCTCTGCACCTTTGTCAAGTGTGTCGTCGGAAATGTCGAAAAAATTATATTCATCGGCCCTCCCCCCTCCGCCATGGGCAGCAGCAACCACCCTGCACTATCATCACTCAACATCAACACCCTGACGCAGGATGAACTATCCGTCCGAACAAATTTGGATCGCATTTTTGCATCCAAGCAGACGGGTTTTCAGGGACAGCCGTCCTGGATTCTGCTCACAAACCTGACTGAGAATCAGAGATATGAGTTGAGAGTCTGCTGGTCAGCATTGGTAAGTACAATCAATCACCCAGAGCTCATCTCTATTTCGTATTATGAATAGCTGTATTAGCCCTGGCCCAGTCTCATGCTCGATCAGGAACCAACTCGCTTCGACATGGAAGCCTACACCCTAGATACTGTCCTAGAGAATGACAAGCTCCTCCAGTCTCTGAATGCCTACGCGGCATTCAGGCCAAAGATCCAGACAACGAAGCAGTCTACTATAATTCCAAATAGCTCTTCGCTTCTCATCGAAATTCACTCCGCGGCTGATTATTTCACCGACAACGCGGAGCTTATGGCCAACCCTCCACCCGTTCTGGTCGATCTCATCCTAGACCCGTTCCTTCTCAACGTCCTTCCCAAGTCGCTGTTGCCCACGGTAGGCTATCTAAGTCTCCTCGGCGTTGTGACCTGGTTTGTAGCGCGATGGGTCGCATCTAGCCTCCAGTCTGTAGCTGATTCGATGGAAACCCCATCCAAGAAACAGAATTGAAGGGGCTTCATTTTTCAGACACTAGGTCAGACAAGGATTCAGCGACGAGAGGACTGCCTCAGTTTGTTTCTTTCTTACATGCGTTCCCGTGTATAAGGGAACTTGAGTCATGAAACCGAATGCGTAATTCTAGATACAAAAAAAATCACATCCATGCAAAAAAACCCCGTCGTAACTCGTTTCCCGTCTACCGATGCTAGGTCCAAAAGAGATGCCGGCTTCATACTGTCCGAAAATTTGTTATTATGTGCTTCCGTTCCAATGACAAACTGTGGTGCCATGAACACTCCTCTTGTTCGAGCGGTTAATAATGGCCGCTCTGATATTGCTGATGCCCTTGGTAGGACTGGTTGCCACTAGAATATTGCTGGTTGTAGCCACCACCCTGGTGTTGAGGTTGACCATATCCCTGCTGCTGCTGCTGCTGCTGCTGCTGACCACCATAGCCATGTTGCCCACCAGAATAACCCCCCTGGCCGCCATGCTGACCTCCGTATTGTACACCGGAACTGCTCGAATTGCTGTTGTAGTTTTGGCCGTAGGGAGGCTGGTTATGCTGCTGCTGCTGCTGGCCGGGAAATGAAGCGCCTTGGTAGGTGTCATGAGGAGGCGCCTGACTCTGGTAATTCGATTGCTGGTTTGGAGAGTGGCCTTGAGGAGGCGGCGGTGGAGGGGGATACGATTGCGACCCATGGGATTGATGGCCCTGCGACTGGTGGCCCTGAGAGCCCTGGCTGTGGTGTTGTTGGTTCGGCGTCGAAGATGTGTTGGACGGGGGCTTGGGAGCCGATGAGGAATGAGTGCTCCCAGGCGGGTGGTAGGTAGGCGCGTCACCGCCAGCGTAGGATCCAGCCCCGGTGTTGGAATATCCGTAGTTTTGGTTCTATTTACCCCCCGCGCCCCAGCTCCATGTTAGCACACCAGCGCAAATATACTTGGTTTCCCATAAGCATTGCAAAAGAAAGACTTACGCCTGAGGACTCCTTGCCGCCAAACATGTGAGCTACGCCGCCGAATACGGCGCCAGCAATGCCGCTCTGGTGGCTGGGCTTGCTGGAATTCTGGCCGCCGTGATAGTTCTGCGGCGGCTCCGGCTTGTCTGACGACGAGAACAAGTTTGACGCAAGCTGCCCGGCTAGCTTCCCGGCTATGCCGCTGCTTCCACCGCCGTGGCCGCCGCTACTCCCGCCGAGAAACTGGCTCGCCAAGCCTCCTATGCCGCTGCCGCCGCCCGATGATTGCTTCTTGCCGCCAAGAAGGGCATTCATAGCCATGGTCTGTCATGCATAACAGTAGAGCTCTGTCAGCATTGCTCTGTGGATGAGCAAGCAATGGTGGGATGGGAAGTGGTTACTTACACCAAGACCTCGATCGCCGGACGGACCATCTACGCCTCTGGTTCCGTCCGCCATTATCGGCTCCATGGTACCGTCGGGATGTTTGACCGTCTGCGACCCATCGGGATGGGTGATGAGCTCGGGCGGCGGCGTGCCGTAGGGATGGTCAACAGCCTGTCCAGGTGTGGTGCCGGTCTTTGCGGCCTGGGTGGGAATCTCCCATTGCGACACGCCCGTGGCGAGTTGCACGTAGTAGTATTTTTTGCTGGCGCCGTCCCATTGCGCGATCCAGCCGGGCGGAAGTTGAGGAGGTGCAAACGAGGGACCCTCGTTGCTCGGTGAAGTTGGGCCAGCCATGGGCCCTTTTTTTGACGATGGCCGTCCGGTTTTCGTTGGAGATGCGAGGGATGACGATGAGGGGGAGGGGCAGGGAGGTTGGAGAGGAATACAAGTGATATGGCGGAGGAAGGGGGGTGGGAGGTGGGAGGTGGGCGGATTCGGAGTCCCAAGCAGAGGGGAATGAAGAGGAAATTGGACCCGGGCGAAACGGCGCAAGCAGTTCTGCTTGGTGTTGTTGCGGAGAGTTGTACTTGGTAGAGTCTGGTTGGGAATTGGGTGGGGGGGCAGGCTGCTGGGTTGAAGGCTAATATGGCGACGCAGATTGACCAGACTCGACATGCAGCATTGAAGCACTTGAGCCCTTGGGCCTGGCAGTGAGCGCCTGGCCTGGTGTGTGAGTGCCGTCGACGGTCCAGTCTGCTCAAGTGGTCGACCCCGTATCCCGTGTAGGGGCTCGCACGCGCTTGAACTCTGGTCGGACTTGGCTGCAATCATGGAACGCAGGTGGCAATCATAATGAGTTTGGGCTCTGTTCTATCGCTGGTTGGAGGGGCTTCGATGGGCTTCGAGAGGGTCGAGGCTCTGAGCATCCGCAAGCCTGCACTACATGCAACTCGGCCTGCTGGTTGTCGCCTATTGCCCTCTGCAAGAATCCCAGAGAAGTGCTGGCGCTGTATTCCATTGTCTTTTCTTGTCGTGTCTGTCGTCCTCGCCGTGGCCGTTCCGTTCACTGTTCTGGACTCGGCAATCCCTCTCCCAGCATTGAGGTCCATTGTTGAGGTCCAAGGCGGCGGGCGGGGCTGGCTGGCTTCAGCCAAAACTGGAGTCGCCAATTGGCGGCCTCGCTGACCAGTGATTTCCATGTTCACAGTTCGACTGTCCCTCCATTACAACTCCATGTCCGTGTCCATCTCGGTCCATTAAACCCGCCATATCGTGGACTGAGAGATGCATGGCCAGTGACTAACAATCGACGTTTCGCCCAAATGGCCTCGGACTGCCTACACGTGTCCAAGTGCCTAGCGTCCGGGGAGGGCCGGGTCAAACTCGTGTGACCATCTAGGTACCTAGGGTAAGTAGTACTACTTTGGGAGCTTTGTCAGTTTCATTGGGCATGCAGCAATATGGGGTTGACCTCGAATATCTAGGCATGTTTCGTGGCATCTACAGTCTACAGCGTACAACATCTTCAGAAGCTTCATTCGGGAACTGGATGAAACGGTAGCATCTGCCGCCTTCAAATCAAGTTTATTTACCATGTATCGGAACTCAACTCAACTCTACCAACAATGCACGTCTTTACGCCCACCAATAAGCAGGCATATGCTCTAAACGACCTCCTCAAACCACAACCCCCTGTTACGACGCTCGACCTGCGAGGCCAAACTCTTGAACTCTTCAATGCTCTTGGCGCTCGACGGGAGTATCCCGTGTTTACTTGGCACGGCAAGATCCTCCGCTGCCAACCGGCTTGGGTGTACTTGCAGCTGCGGCAGTAGACACCGGTGTGGGTGAAGGAGTGCTAGCAGGAGGAGCACTGGGGTTTCCAGCGTTGTTGTTGCTGTTGTTCACCAGCGCCCCAGAGGCAGCCGGAGCGGGAGCAGAAGCGGATCCAGATCCGGATCCGGATCCGGATCCTTTAGTGCCGCAGCTTCCAGCCGGTGGAGCGGGCTTGTCAGATTTCGTATCGAGCTCGGAGCCGGGGTCGGGGAAGACGACGTCCTTGCTCTCTTCGGTTGAGCAGCCATTGCCGATATTGGCAGTAAACATGGCAGGCCGGCTGCTGAAGGGGGTGGTATCACCACGAGCCTTGCGGATCTTGGCGCCGCCTCCAATGGTCACGGCGGCGCAGTTCATGTACATTTCGCGGTTGCCCAGCTGGTTGAACCAAGTCCAGGCAAATAGAGCATCACCGGCGGGTGTGTCAGAAGGCACAGTAAAGCTAAAGGCCGCCCCGTCCTGCAGAGGGCAGCTTCCAACGTACGAGTGGATGACTTTCCACGTCTTTCCGCTGTCAAATGAAAGAGACGCCTGACAGCTGCCTCCGTTGTGGGTAGCAGTGCCGGCGATGGTCATTTTGTAGGACTGACCTGGAGTCCAGGTCGCAACAGACTGGCCCTGAGGAGTGCCAACGAGGCTGTGGTATCCCTTGCAAGGGAAGTTGGAGCCGCTGGCCAAGAGAGGACTCGTCATACTATCGTCCTGCTTCCCCTGCTCGGTGAACTTGTTGAACTTGGAGAGGAAGGGAGGAGGATCCGACATCTGCATGTGAGCTGAGCCATAGGATGCAAATCCAATAATGGCGGCGATGACAGCGGAAGACGTCTTCATGTTGGCTGCTTTTGGGTTGTTTTTTCTCTCTAAAACAGAATGCTTGAGAAGGAGTGTTGAATTTGGATTTGACGAGAAGCCAGCTCGTGGTGCCAAAATGGAAAATGTATAGACAAGAGAAGAGAAGAGAAGAGAAGAGAAGGAAAAGTCTGTCAAAGACTGACGCCCGTATGTTCTGGGAGCTGTGAAGTGCAGGTGGTTGAGATCACGCCTCTTTTTTGGAGGGCTCGGCCGGCCTTTTATATTGCCCCTGATATCTATCTCAAAGGGGGCTGTGGCAATGAATGCTGTGAACCATCTGGTCTTGCAAAACGGTCAGTCAGGGGGCAAGCCGTTAACGAAACACGGACACCCAACTCAACGCCATTGACTATTCACACCCACAACAGACAATGAACATAGTATTGTGGGACGTAACGTGAGGGGACTATTGTTCTCCTCCCACGCCCCTCGTCGTGCCGAATCACCCGCGATAATCGTCGCGCACCGACCGCAGCAGTTTGGGCATCTGAGGTCTTGGAGGAGGCGAGGCGTTTGAGTATCCGCGCAATACTGGCCCATGAGCTGCTCCAGGAGCTCATCGATGGAAAGACGATCGACAGGCATAGCGCCAGGGGTCGTGCGGCGTGTTGGCATGTTGTGGATCATTGTACTACATCCAGCGTCTGTTGAAGAAAACACCTCGTCCCCTCCTTGTTGCTCTTGTATAAGCCACAAGTCGAGCGGTCATGATCCAGCCAATATCCATACCCGGACTCGTCAGGGCTCTCACCCACGGAGGCCCATCAGACAACATTTGCATGCCGGGATCCGGTGACGACGCCAGATGGCCGCTTAATGGTCCAGGTTTCCCTATTTCTGAAATCAACCTCTATCCAAGCCAGACAAGGCCCAAAAGGAGGTGTTTGGCAATTCCGTGCAAGCAACACCACGACGTGCATGCGTTGGGTCTCCGTCCAACGGCAGGCTAGAAACACTGGGCCAGGCACCGCCCACGTTGAACAAGTTCGGATGTGTTGCATTTTTGCCGGCCGCCTGGTGTGTAAAAAAGTCTAATTGGTCAAGTGGCGCAAAGCAGGGGCAAGCTTTGGCAACAGACCAACGCGCCTTCTTCCAATCCGATCTCCGTCGTCCAAGGTCGCTGAATCGCGGAACAGTTCAAGGTCACAGCGGTGGCTTGCGCCTCCCAGTCAGCCAGGCCCAAAATGCTTGGCGCAAACGCCTGTGCCAATGTTTTGGCCAATGTTTGGGGATGTCAGCTGGTCTCCAGGCGGACTCCTCGCCATCCAATCAACTGTCCCGCCCCGCCTCTCTTTGCCGCCGCTAACCCGTCGTCTGCCGCCATCAATTGACGCTTGAAACGCCAGCCAGCCAACCGCCAACCGCCAACCGCCAACCGCCAACCAGCGATCAGGAACCAGGAACCAGGAACCACTAAATCGTTTCCCTCCGTCTTTTCGTCCCTTCGTCCCATGATCCCTTGATCCCGTCATCCATGTCCCTGTGCCACGATCTAGCACCTATGGATCGAATTGAATACTAAGTAGTGGGATCAGTCCTTGATTGAAGCTATCCAGCGGGATGGGTTAGCCCCTTTTTATGGATATCATAGATCATCGACTGAGTCATTTAATCAGGGAGTTATCTGTATTGAAAATAGCGGCTTCAAGGCCGTGGCGCGAGCCTTCGTGAGGCTTTTCGGCGATACCGGTGCAGCGTAGGCTTTTTCCGTTGACACTACATTGTCTTGCCGAATCCGCTGCATCTCTGTCATCTTGATATCCGAGGAAGACTGCTAAAATACAGCAGACACCCACCGTCGCACTTTTAAATGCCTCCCATATATCTGCTGAAGCGGTCGGTTCGAGGCCACACTTTATGTGTGTGCTTGTCCTTACATAATGCCAACCCAACTCCTAACAAGTAGATACAATGCCCTAAAGGCACGTCCTTTACCTCGGACCGCCGCCATTATCTGGTGCTCCGGACTCCAATACGCATTGTCCATCTACAATATGGCCTGGCCGGGGGCTGGACGGCAACGTAACCTTTCTACACGTTACCTGCTTCACATTCGACTTGTGCCTATGCGTATGCTTGAGAGTTGCGGAGCCTCAGAGCTTGATGCGACTTTTCTCTCTTGAGTGTACAACTACTGTCTACCGGTCCAGGGTCCAGCTATCCGATATCAATCCCTTACTCTGTGGCCCACTTACCACGTCCATCAAACAGCTATCCTAGCTTGACCCAACTGCTGCAGAAGCCAATATCCCCATGTTCACATGCAGGGTCGTTGGCGCATGGGCGTTCAACTCCCAACCTTCCCCCGATAAGATGTACTTCTGGTACAAAAACAATAGTTGATTGGGCGGTAAGCTGTTCATGTAATCCCCCTGCCCTACTCCCCACAGCCCAATGTCCGAGACCAAAGCCCCGTCCCGTCATAGAGGCACAAACAAGGGAACGAGGAGTCGCCATTGCCGTTGTTTGTGATGAGAAGGGACACGCTGCCGCCTTTAGAAGAAAAGCCGCCACGAAGCTCCCAAACCACAGATACATCAGATAAGAAACTGCTCTACCCAAAAGTAGGCAGGGATATTATCCGCGCCCTGCTATGGCGTATACCAATGCTCCATATCGCAACCAAATGATAGGATTCATCGAGGAAAGCCTCCATCACATGCAATCCAGAGTTGAGATAAAAGATGAAAATAGTGTTGCCTGGATTGTGATAAACATTCCCTAAACTGCTTGTGTTGCTGTTGCATATAGCTGGTGCGACATTTAACGAGTTCCGTTATATCATGTCGCAAGTTGTTAGATGAATCAGCCGATACTCTCGCAATGGCCAACAGAATAATCCTGTAAAAATAGACCATAACTTGTGATAGCTCTTAACCTAGTCGGCTCATGCCTGTCGGTAATCTCGGCTGACGATTCCTTCCCTCATCACTAAAGTGATAGTGGAACCATACTACACATAGCCGTGGTAGCCTCTGACTAGGAAAAGGTCGGCCAGCAGCGCCACGCCACGCCACGCGTTAAAACATCGAAAATGGGCAATCTGGAAGAAGTCATCACTGACTTGGTCCACTGGGCTGCCCTGGACCGTATGCAGGCTGGTTGTACTGCACGCTGGGGCTCATGCCATACACTGGCTGGCCCTGTTGGGAGCCTTGATGCATCATGACAGGTGCAGTTGGGCGTCCTGGGCTGGGATAGCCACTACCGCCTGGACCTGGCTGCGGTGGCCCAGTTGGCGGCATGTACTGTGGATGGCCGCCATGGTACATCATCTGAGGAGCCGCAACCATTCCTTGGGGATGGATGAACTGGGGCTGCATGATCATGGGGCCTGCCATCTGGCTTTGTTGGTGTGGCACGTAATGAGGATTGTTGGAGAAGCTGCGGTATTGTCCCATTTGCGGGTTGCCAGGGCCCATGAAAACCGGCTGTTGATATGGGACTTGGCCAGGATACGCAACTGGAAGCTGACCCATACGCGGAGAGGCAAACGACTGAGCTGAGTTAGAGGGCATCATCCGATGATCCTCAGTACCGTATGGCGGAATGGGCACCGGACCATGCTGTGGTGCGTGCATTTGCATAGGTGCCATATGTGGTGACTGTCGAGTTCCCAAGCCATGGGCACCATGCTGAAGGTGGAATGGAAGCTGGTGCTGGTGTGGCATCTGAGGAACAACATGTGTGGGATTTGGGGTCGCGGCCGAGGGGCCGTTGAACGGCTGTCGGTCAAAGTGTTCCGTGTATGTGAGATGCATGGTCGATTCGGGCTTTTCATCGTCCTTTAACTGTCGCCACGTTGGTAAGGTGTCGAATGATGGACGTAATCCGCCATTGTCGTCCCAGTTACGGCCGGCGGGAGGTGCCACAGTTCTGATGTGTGACAGAATCAAGCACTTGCTCACATCCACCTTCTTCGTTTTACGGCGGATGACGGGTGTTTGTGGTGCTGTGGGAACAGGACTTTCAGCGACATGGTTGACCGAGGTCCGTGGGCTAGAGCCAGCACTGGCATGGCTATTGGGATTGAAGGTAGCAGCAAAGGGACTAGGCCGGAATTCATGGCTGTTGGGATTCAACTTGGCGCCCATCTGACCAGGAGCCCCGCTTAGTCGCCTGTTAAAGCCAGAATCGACATTGCCAGATGGGCCTGTAGGGGGAGCACGCATTTCATGGCCGAGATTATGTGACGTAGTGACAGGTGGCTGCGAATATCTTTGCTGCTCGACATTGCGAAGCCTTTGAGCAAGGTTCCCGGTCTGCTGTTGAGGACCTCGGTTGCTCCGGAAAGGTTGGGCATGGAACGGCTGCTGTGAATATTGGCGAGGTGCAGTATGCCTGCTACCGTTGCCAGCTGGTCCAGATGCCTGTGGTACCACAGCACTTCGTGACGAACGACCATCACTTGTATTAGCAGAAGTGTTGGTGTCAGGAGTCTTGGCCGTTACGGAGTCCTTGACGGGCTGGGCCTTGTCCTTGCTACCAGAATCCGCCTTGGTCTTGGCCATATCCTCCGCATTTTTCATGGCCTTTGCCTGTATTTCCTTTTGCTTTGCAGGGTCTTTTGCAATAATCGAAACAAGGTCTTTGGGGACCGGGGTTGACAATTTGAAACTAATAGAGAAATTCTTCAGTTCGTTCAACTTGACTTCCTTATCAGCTCGGGCCTTGTGGCTCCGAACCTTCTCTAAATTGTCGCGCTCTCGGGACGCAAAGCTCCTGAAAGAGTTCAAGACGTCATGCTCAACAGTAGCTGTAGCGCTTGGGGTCTGTTCTTTTGGCTGGGAGGACGCATTTCGGGAGGATGAAGTAGAAGACGGACCGGTAGTGGTCACCTTCTCTGTAGTTTTTGATTCGGGTGTCTGAGATTCGGCAGGAAGGTTCAGAACAGGGGAAGGCTTGGACTCGGTAGGCGTTTCTTCCGTAGTCTTGGGCGTAGACGCCTTCGGAGGCTCTGCTTTTACAGGAACGCCATTCTTAATCCCCTCTGAGGCTTGTGGCCGTGTTTGCTCCGTCGAAGCGGCCTGTCTCTTGACAGGAGCTTTGAGTTGTGATGAAATAATAGCCGGGTCAACAGGTGCGCCTTTCACGGTCGACTGAGATGTAGGTGCTCGTTTTGCAGGAGGCGTGTACCTGTTTTCTCGGCCACCCCCAGATAAAGGAGGAAAGTCCTGGCGGAGAACACCACTGTACCTATAGTAGATGTAGTCAGTAATCCGCCTGTGTCTTGATGCAGTAACAGAGCTTCGAACATACTTGTCTTCTTCGTTTTGGGCCCCAGCACCGGTACCACCAGCATAGTCCATTACGCGCTCCTCAGCAACATGGGCAGTTGTTGCAACGCTACGCTCGATTTCTTTGGCCTTCTTGTCGGCAGCGGCCACTCTCTCACGGAATTGGGGGTGGGTCTTGTTAATGGCCGTAGTGTATAAGCTCTCATCGTAATCAGTTCGTAGGCCAAACAGCTTCTCGTTTGCTGCAAACTGGTCCCAGTGTCCACTAGCGGCCGTAGCTTCCAGACTGCCATCCACACCATCAGCCGCATCAGGAATCCATGGCTGCAATGTGCGTTCGTTTCCAAGGCGGCTGTTGGAGATAGCTGTGTCTGTGCGAAAGTTTGATCGATTTCCTATTCGTTCATACCCTAGGTCAGTATCTGCTGGTAGACGAAATATGGTATATGCAGCATACCATTTTGCCCGCGGCCATCGGCCCTGGCGGCACCACCTCCGCTCGACGCGCCCTCTTTCTTGGGGACAGGCATTTCGAAAAAGAAGAATGAAACGCTCCAATCGCTAATACAACTTCAGTGCTGGTCAACGTAGGCGGTCTCGGTGTAGCATCCAACGAAATTCTCCAGCTCGTCCCTGGAAGGAGAGTAATCTTGCACTGCTCGATCCCGAGCGTATGGCTTGGAGGGCTGATTAGGATACGCTCTACTTAGATAAAAGGTTAGATGTCGGCACGCAGAAGTAAAAACGATGGAGACGTGGCAATTAATATAGCGAAATCGCAGGGGGGCTAGAAGAACCGCTGGAGTGCCATGTTCATCGCACCTTGCACGTCGGAGTTGACCGCACATGGACGTTACCACACAGCGGCATCTATGCATATAGACGACCAAGGAGTGAGACAATGAACATGAAAACAATCTACACGAACCTCGGGATGATGATGAGGAATCTTTGTGTCACGGGAAGTCGGGGTCCAGGATGAAGTTTTGGCTAACGTCTCAACCAGAAACGACCAAAAACCGGTCTGCTATCGACGACTCTCCCCGCTTCTATTATAGGAAAAATTAGCAAAGAGTGATTCAAAAGCGCTCGGGCTGATTGTCGTTTTTTGGTAGACTCAAAGGCCTCGTCGTGGCTGGGAATAAAGAAAGCAAGTGAACAATGTTGGTCAAGTAGGCGCAGCGCCAGGACGGGGGGAAAGGAGCGGCGGAAAGAGGAGGTCGTGTGGCTTACCTAGGGGGAAAGCGAAAGGCAGTAAGGTAGGAGGAAGGGTCTCCGGAGTGCCGTCCAGCTCGACGGTGCTATGACTGCCACACAATGGGCAAGGAGAACATGGAAAGATGGAAAATTGAAGCCGAGAAAGGGAGAAGTTCTCTGGCCTGTGGAGGTTGGTGATGAGGCTTTGTTTTCCCCTACCCTGTCACACTTGCCCAAACTACAATGAGGCGTTGGTGGGCCGCAAGCCGATACTTAAGTAAGTGGGCAGCCATGCTCAGGAAATGGGCACGCGGGTGGAGGCAGGAGGTACTCCGCTAGGAAAGTCCCTAGGCAGGTACTTGGGTACCTTGGGTAGGCATTTAGCATTTCAGTAGTACTAGCATAGTCCAGAGTATGTGCAGCCTAGCACAGCCAACCAGGCATGAGACACAGTGTCCTGTGCCCTGACCACGACGCCTACACTGTACCACTGGACAGGTCTGGTACAAGCAATGTTCAGTCAAGTCCGATGTCCCGAGGGGGGGCTCGTAGTAGTGCTTCTTGCGCGGGAATAACGACTGAACAATAGGGACCTGCCTTTAAACAGAGTCTCGCACTGTTGGCACAATACGGGGCCTTTGTCACAGTATGTCCGGGCATGCGTGTATGTGCCTTTGAACTCTCAATGAACCATTAATGAACTCTCGAACAAACATCAAATATTACAGCACCACATGACCAGACGCCCAGCTCAGTAACTTAGGTACGTAACTGGTGTTTGATACATGGGCACTTATTGTTGGGATTCTGTGAGGTACTTCTTCACGACCCAACTGCTGGTGGAATTCCAACCAACAGCCCGGGCTACGGAGTTCTGGTTCAATGTACTTAGAAAATGGTGGCATCCTAGTGGCAGGACATGACAGCCCCAGAAGCCTGAAGCGTCCTTGCATGCAATATATTGTGACACCAGACAATGTGGATGCTGGTGTGAACGGTTGCCCCCGGCTCGAAACACGTCGGCATGCATGCAGGCGCATCCATTCTGATGTGTACCATTCAAGCGTGAACATTCAGGATCACCACGACACCGAAGAGCATGTTGGAACGCTACGTGAACAAAGGGGATTTCTACTACAGATATTCACAAATACGGCAGCCCCGGCCCACCCATTCTAGACGACTTTAAATCTGTTGGTACAAGCTCTTTTCGCCGTTGTAATACTCCTGTTATACCTGAAGACCAATCTCCTCAGCATACGGCAGCACAAACAAGTCACCGACAGTGGAAACTGTGGCCTTGCCATCCAGGAGAGACTTGGCAGCCTGCGGCACAATGGACGTTAGTTTCTCGCCCTAACAGCATTGTATAGTATAGTGTGATACAAGAACAGGCCGTAACTTACAGTCTTCAGTTTATCAGCAGTAACGCCATCAATTCCCTTGGCGAGAGCGGCGAGTTCGGAAGCCTTGCCGCTATTGACAAGGCCGGACCCGGCCTGCAAAAGGCTAGGTGAACGCAGCTGAGCCTTCTCCAGAATGTCGAACTTGGCATTGGCAACGGCCTTGGTAATGTCCTCCTTGCTAACGGTGCCGTCAGCAATGCTCTTCAGGGCCTTGGCCGTCTCCTCAGCACCCTTGCGCACAGAGGCAGCGGTGCCGGACAGCTGGACGGTCAAGAGACCAGCATCAGAGTAAGCGAGGTTGGAAGCAGAGACAGAGAGACCAGATGTTCCAGCGGTAGCCTTGGAGAGCAGGCTGAAGCCAGGAGACCACTTGATTGTGGGCTGACCACCAAGCAGAGCAGCCAAAACGGCAATCTCGGGCTTGGAGCCAGAGGCATCGGATCCAGGGAAAGCAATGACCATGGCGTTGCCGCCAGGGTGACTTGTTCGCTGTTCACCACCGTGGTACTTTGAAGCCTCAGCCTTGAGGGTCTGGCCGTTCAGAGATTTGGCAGGCACGTCCTTGAAGAACTGACCGACCCAGTTGGTTAGGGCATCAGTGGAGGCACCATCGGCGACGATGGCAATATTAGGTTTAGAGTACACGACATCGGCGTAGCTAGCAATGTACTCCTCGTTGAGATACTTCTGGACGGGTGATAGGGACGAGGGATAGACTGAAGCACCAAGGCCATTGTGGAAGGCAACCGCGTGAGCGTTGTCCAAGGCAAGAGCAGCAACGTTAGCGTTGAGTGCGGCCTGCTTGAGGTGGAGAACCCGCTCGACATCTTCGTGGAACTCATGAGCTATAGTTGGTGTTAGCCTGTATCGCATTGAGAATCAATTCGCGGCTACCGATGTCTCACTGGTGTACTTGGTCATGGAGACCACTTCGGCGAGGAGTTCGGCAAAGTAAGGTAGATCCTCGCGGAGGAAGCTGGCCTCAAGGACGAGAGCCTCTCTGGTATGAGAGGCATTCAATTGGCCGCCAAGAAGTTCGGATTCACGAGTGATACGGAGCGCAGATCGTCGTTGGGTGTTCTGATGGCACAAGCAAGTTAGCTCGGGTGTCATTTTTGAGCGTAGGTATCAGGTCGTTGCGGGAAGACATGCCTTGAAGGCGAACTCCTCAAGACCGACAGTCAAGCCGGGTAGTGGCTGGTATCGCGTACCAGCCTTGGCAACAATGGCCAGTTTGGTAGTCGGACCATGAGCATCCCTTGAAGCAACCTTCAACCCGGACACATCCGTCGTCTCGAAGGCTCCCGTCGCGGCAGCGGCAGCGAACCCACGGCGCTGCAAGGACTGGACGCTGCAGGGCCGACGGACGGCCTGCTGCGCGCTTTTGGCGAGAGACGATCTCGAGATCATTGTCGAGGGTGAGGGCGCAGGCAATTGGATATCCTTCGGCCGTCGTGGTGCAGCAATTGGATCTCAAAAAGAAGTGCCTCGTTCGTTCAACGAACCAGCTCCCGTCTAATTTTCGGCCTCGGGGATTGATTGGGAATCACGTGATTGGATGATCAACTCTAGGCCTGCCACTGGTTGCCAGCTTCATGCGGGTACCTTCAAACCAAGTAGCACTACGGAGTACCAGGCATATTCCGATAGTAGTGGAGTATCATGTCTACTCCGTACTTTGGCCTTCAAAGTTCCGACCACGTGAAGGAAGTCGAAGGTACCTAAAGTGGCTATAAGTAGGTGCTGGATTGAACCCTTGGCACAGTAAACCACAATAAAACCAATATCAATGGCAATCTGGTTTATTGCTCGCATGACAACTTAACTCGAGTGCTCCAACCCTAGTGCCATGTCCTACACAAATTTTGGATGTACTACTTAATAACCTAAATTGCATCGTCGGGAATCAACGTGTATAGCATCTCGACATGGTTTTCAAAATCCACGTGTTCTTACGTCAACTTCCAGTTGCATCTTACAGGCTCCAGCCCGGTACAGTATTATTTTTGCCGGTGGTGAATGAAGTTTTGATTCAGCGACATGAACCCAAGGCCAGGATGGCTACCCTATAGAAACATGTGACTGGCTTGCCTTGATGAGAGCTAAGCCCTGCCTTGCCCCTGGAGTTACTGGTGGTGCTATTTGTTCGTTGTGTCCTCATAATTGGTGATGAATATAAATCAGCTTACTCCGATGGTTGGACGATGCGTACCTGTTGGTTGGGTTAACTGGCGTAGCGTTTCTTGAGTTGTCTGGAAGTTCTGGAGACTACCACTAGTAACGGAGTATGTACTTACATATTTCGATACGGAGTAGCTTGTTAGAAGTTCTCCTGCGGACAAGATATGATGTGAAATACGCAATTGAAGTGGTGGCCACCTTCACGTAGATTTCGCTAAATTTGGTTGAATTACAACTTTGTAGAGCAGCTGCAACTGCGACGGGTCGCGATACAGAGTATTGGGGTTGAATGAGGGTCTGGCTGCTTGCAGCCTTCGATGCATGTCCGACGCCACAGCCTAGACGCTCAGCCACATCAAGTTACTCTGTCCTCCGTCCGGAGTACTTGCGCAGTAACAGGTTGGTTCCATTCACCACCTGGGAAAAATTGGCAAATCCGCAACCCGTCAATTGACTGTTTTTTCTTTACGAAACCCTCCGCACCTCAACATTCATTACCTTTCATCTACTTGTGTCACAAGCGAAATCCAACGGCACCAAAGTTGGTCGGCACCCTTTTTTCTTTTAAATTACATATTGCAGTTCAATGCCGTACAGGTAGTCATAGTGGTAGCTCTAGAGATTGTGAGAGCATCTCTAGGAGCAGAGCAATGCTTGTCGTTAGTCTTCGCTGAGCTCCAGCCGTGCGTCGTCAAATGGGCTGTCGCGGGACAAGGCTGACATGTTCACAAACAGACCAAACATGCCGCAGAGCTTTGTGCTCTCCTAGTCAACGATCTTTTTGGCGAACTCCCATCCGTAGGTTCTTCCTCAACCCACTTCGGGTTTTGCGGTGTTGTGCTTGTCGCGGGGCTGACTTTTCTTCGCTTCTCCCAACAGCGCCTTTTGGTCGCGCTCTTCACCAAGGGCCGATGCACACTTTCACAGCTCGTTCAACATGTATCGCTCGGACCACGGCATCTTCGGAACGGCCTGGGTGTTTTGATTCAACAGAATCTCCTCTACCACTACACTGACCCTGATACGGGAGGAACCAGCTATGAAGCCAACTCGGATGCCTGCTACAACCTCGTGCGATCCGGTAAAATACTGGAGGTCATCAACAGTCAGTATGGCACAGCCGAGAGAGACCTTGTCCAAACCCTCATGCAACTGGGCTATGCTAGAGTAGCGGACCTTACACATGCGTTTACGTCTCGAGCTCCCAAAACCAATGGACATACGAACGGATCACATGAGTCATCATCTGGCCTCATAGAGTCTAAGAACCATCTGAACTCGGCACTGTCACGGTTAATACAGGCAGAAATACTGGAAACCGTTCGCCCCGATTCATTTCGCAATCCTGCTGAGGTGTATCGCGAAATTGAAGCTGATGTTACGAAGACAGCTCCCGGGGAAAAGGCGAGCAAGAACAAAATAGAACAGCATATGCAGATTGTGGAGCGGTTCAAGACATTCCGTGACCAGAGCAAGGCCCTCAAACGGCAGCTAGATCAGACTTCCGGACCTTCTACAAAGAGAAGGAGGCTACAAAATGGCTCAAGGCATTCAGATCCTTTTGATGATGATATCGAGTTGAATGTACGTCTAACTCGACTGCAAAATCTTTTGCTTCTTCCTTTTTTTTTTTAAAAAAAAAAATTCATATAGCACGAGAGTTACTAATGCCATATCTACCAGCCCAATGTTGTGGTTCGAGTCAATCATGAAAAGTGCTTGGTTGAGCTTCGCAACCAAAGACTTGCCGATTTCGCGGCAGATATGCTTGGCGAGACTACAGGCCATGTTTACCGGTCCCTGCTAGATTTACTGACAGCAAAGGTCTCCAGATGTCGAGCAGATCCTTTGGTTGGTGAAGAGAACAAAGGACCACAGCCCAGCGTCACCACATTGCAAATATACGAAAATTTGAGCGATGAAGTCAAGGTTCTCGGCGGTATTGGAAAGGCTCCAAAAGATAAGATAGATTTTGATAGTGCCGAGAAGATAAGATCGGGACCTTATTCCTATGACAGCGATTCGGATGAGGAAGACGAGCCAGAGGTCAAGGCTGCTCCTGTCCCTCGCGGACGTTTGGCTAGAGCTGCAGCTGCAGCTGCGGCCGCGGCCGCAGCCTCAGCCAAAGAAAGCGAAGACGAGGGATCTGAGGACGATATTGATGTCCAGGGGGGCCATACACATACCAACGGCGACAGGTCAACCAAGGTCAAATTCGAGGATGGGGCTATAGCTAAAGACAGTCGTCTGGACCAGATGCGCCAACATCTTCTGTTACTGGCCGAGAGCAAGCATCGTTTTGTACGTCACTGTGGAACTCAGGGCCGGGGCCAGTGGACCGTGGACTTTGAGTTGTTGATGGACCGGCTCCGTGAGTCTGAGCTTGACGCATACATTGAGCAGTCGTTCGGACGTCATGGCCTTCGTTTGACACGAATTCTGCGGGAGAAGGGGAAACTTGACGAGAAAATGCTCCCGTCAGCTGCCCTCATGAAGAAAGGTGACGTCCAAGGGAAAATGCTAGCGATGCAAATGGCAGGGTTGGTGGATGTTCAGGAAGTGCCGAAGGACAATAGCAGACTGGCCAACCGAACTTTGTTCTTCTGGTTTTTCGACGGCGAACGAGTTCAGTCGCAATTGTTGGATGATGTCTACAAGGGTATGTTACGGTGCCTGCAAACATTGGATGTGGAGCGGCATAAGGAGCGCAACATTCTCACGTTTGTGGAGCGAAAGGACGTCAAGGGCAAAGAGGAAGAAGTGATGACTGCGGAGCATTATAACAAATATAACCGACATTTGGAAGGCCAGCAGAAACTGCTCGGCCAGGTGATGCGGCTGGACGACATGGTTGCAGTGTTTAGAGATTATTGAGGATACCAGCGGGCGGGCGACGCTTGACGTTGTTACACCACGACCACTACCCCTAGACGGATGGATATATATACTATATACTATCCCTTTTGAGGAGGCTATATTTTATGTAACATGTATGCCAATTTAACCTTGTTGTGGAGAATAATTTGAGGGCATTGTCTGATGATTGTTGTTTGGGGTCGTGGTTGGTTTGTAGCCAGGCATGCCTACATGCATCGCGCCATTTCCGTGTGATCTTGCGAGGAATAGTTGTAGCACATTGTCACACAGAACCACAGTCGCTTCCTTCCTCAGCAATTAATCCTTCCTTCCTCAACAGGTCGGTTTCGAGCAACAAAAACAAAACACAGTCATGGCTGGCTACTTCTATACATATCATCAATGATATTAATAGTGCTATAATGAGGCAGAGCCATTTATCTTGTCATACCCTCAGTGTGAGCCTAAAAGTGGTGGTCATAACTCGTAGATTGCCGAGGAGGAGAGGACATGGACATTTGATACTAGAGTGACGAATTGTCCGGTGTGCCATGCACGCAATTGCGCCGTGCATTTCAGTGTTGCTACCAGAACATTGAACCAGACGGTACTTCGCGTCTCTGGCGCAACCACCGACCATTAACATGTGACCAATGCAGTGGACGTAGCGCTGACTGGTCCCCTCGCCCGGCCACCCGGCCACCCGGCCACAGGTACCTAGCGCACTAGTAGGGTCAATAGCACCTGAACTCAGGAACATTGAACTGTCAAAAGTCGGCTCAAGGGGCCCAATGTTCCCCACGTTCAGCGAGGAAGCTGGCAAAAGCACTGACCCCAACCATCCGCTGTCGCCAGCTCCCGATCTCGGGAACCACACGCCAGGGCACGCCTACGCCATTCAAAAAATTTCCCCATCCGTCATCAGCCCATTTCCCCCAGAGACGACGTTTTTTTCTCTCACTCCTCATTGCTTTCAGTTCATTGTGACAACTCCAACCGCCAGATCGGCCAGCGGGAGACCCTTCGCATTCCCATCGCCCCGAACCGCCTCACAATGTCTCCCCCGACTGGAAATGCAGGCCTCGAAAAGGAGTCTAACTTGGCCAGACTCCTTGGCTCAGGTACACCATTCGCCAATTGCAAGCTCCGAAGTCCTCAACCTACTGGAGTACCCGAGGCTTTGTGAGCTTACCCAGGGTCTGATGCATGTGTACTGACCGGTTGCAGGCTCCGCTGGTATCGCCGAGTTGGCAATTTTTCACCCCGTACGGCAAAATCTGGACTCTTGGCAACCAGACGGTGGTTGTTGAGACATGCTGACATGATTTGCCCAGGTTGATACGATTGCGAAGCGATTAATGAGCAACCAGACACGAGTAAGGAGAATTCTGACACAAGATGCTGCGCACCTCTGCATATCACATACACTGGGGATAAGAAACTTGCCACGGACCAGCTGACAATGCGATTTCTCACAACCCCCAGGTTACCGGTGCGAGCCAATTGAACCAGGTTATTTTCAAGGACAAGGCTAGCGCTCCTTTGGGTCGAAAGTTCATCTCGCTGTTCCCAGGTCTCGGTTACGCAGCCGGTTACAAGGTCCTTCAAAGAATTTACAAGTATGGCGGTCAGCCTGTTGCACGCGACTATTTGGCCAAACACTATGGAAAGGACTTTGAGTCGGCTTTTGGCAAAAAGACTGGCAAGGCCATCATGCACTCTACTGCTGGCAGGTGAGCGGACCCCCCGTCGCCGTCTCCCAGGTTGCTCGATGGGGTTTGCCATGGAAAAAGGTAAAGAAACAACAGGAACTAATCATGTTTGTGCTGCAGTCTAATTGGTATCGGTGAAATCGTCCTTTTACCTCTCGACGTCCTCAAGATCAAGCGCCAGACAAACCCCGAGGCTTTCAAGGGCCGTGGTGTCCTCAAGATTGTTGCTGACGAAGGGTTTGGGCTATACCGTGGTTGGGGATGGACGGCTGCCCGTAATGCGCCTGGTTCATTCGCGGTATGTTAAGTCCTGGGTCACCTTTATTTGCGCCACCCGGCTCGTAGACTGATGATGCGCCTTTCGCAGCTTTTTGGCGGTTCTGCTTTTGCCAAGGAATACATGTTCCATCTCCAAGATTACAACAAGGCTACGTGGTTCCAAAACTTTGTTGCTTCAATTGCCGGCGCTTCAGCTTCACTTGTTGTCTCTGCTCCTCTCGATGTCATCAAGACTCGAATCCAGAACCGCAACTTTGACAATCCGGAGAGTGGATTCCGCATCTTGGCCAACATGGCTCGCAAAGAAGGTTTCTCGAGCTTCTTCAAGGGCCTGGTTCCCAAGGTAAATGAATGGTCCCTTCGATGCCTGCGTCATATGAACTCCTCTGGCTCTCTACCAAACCGTTAACGATTGCTGACATCTCTATCAGCTTCTCATGACCGGTCCCAAGCTCGTCTTCTCTTTCTGGCTTGCTCAGACACTCATCCCCGCCTTCGATGTTGCCTTCTCCAAGAAGTAATAGGCCAAATGCCACTCCTGCTATTTTACAATCTGGAAATGCTTTGTAATGGGAATGGATTTTTTCTGACGTTTATGTATATACACATATTTTTTTGTGGATGTGAGTTGGATGGGCCGGAAAAATAAGCTTGTTTGGCATTTGATGACGGTAGACTACTGCTCTTGGCTATTTGCAAATAGATGGAGCGAGGGTTCGACGAGTCGGAATTACGAATGTGGATAGATAACTCAGCTCCAAAATCATGGCCTATTGAGATGATCAAGACCTATGTAACACTCACCAGAGACCATTTCAATGTCCGTGGCACGTTTGTAATTGAAACATCTGGGGCGAACATTACCGCCCCGAGCTCATCAAGCAAGGCGACTGAAACTTGCCTGTTTTCGGGCAGCTTATCGTCTCTGTTTTTTCTGCTTCATATGCTTTCCATAAAGCTGACCGTCTGGTCTATGTGGAGGTTTTCCAACACTACACGGCCTGCTTCGTGTTCTAAGCATGCAATCCAGCCGTAAACTTTTTGGTCCAAAGTGCTTAGTCTCTTGCCTCATAAACTTGCGACAAGTATGCTGCGTCCCCGAATGTCTTGGGAGCAAAGCCAGGCTTCGGACAACCATTCATCATGCTTTTGTTCTTGCGAACATGGAGTGGGCCACACCGCAATTCCTCTTAGAGGACAGTCACTTGACGGCATCTAGAATGTTCTTGAGGCCATGGTTTTATGTGACAGTGCCTCTGGGTAAACATTGCTACAGTGCAGCCGAGGGGAGACGATTCCGTGACCGCAGAGTGTCTCATGCACTGGAGACAGAGCCTACACAACACCATTGTAAACAAAGGACAACGCGGCGTCCACGTTGCACAACTCACGTCATCGAGCCGCTAAAGAACTCAAAGCGCACGTACACCTAGGACTAACATGTACAAGACGGAGAGCACAATGGACGATATCGCCCGCGTATCGAGCTCTTGCCTCTCCGCGACTCCATGCCGACAAGCTCCAGCCCAAAGACCATCCGTCGTCCACGTCACGCATAGCTGCAGCTTCGTAGCGAATGGGCGCGCGACAACTATGGACATGTATGCACAAGGACCACACACTTTTTGCGTATCCTCTCACAAAAGGAAAAAAAAAAGATAAAAGATCTGAAATGTACCTTCCAGCCCAGGTCGTATGGAGTGTTACACGCGTGGCTTGGACAATGGCCCCTCGTTCCCGCCCGTTGCCCCCCGCAACAGTCAGTGCTCCAACGTAAACATGGCGCCCGCCTTGCAGCCCAATGGCTGGGCGGGCTACTGAGCCGTCGTCAACAATCCGGGGCCCTTCAAAGCTATCAATTTGCCGCTCCTTCCTCCCCGGTCTGCCCAAGTCTGTCTCCATCCTCTGATTACCGATTTGCGAACCAAGACAGGATTATGAAGAGACGATCTTGACACTTTTTGACTTTACATCTTGCGAGTCCTGTTTTTTGTTTTGTTTTGATTACATTACACGATACCAATTTTGTATAGCTTGGTGGACATAATTCGATCCCAAAAAGAGTAAGCGGCTGCTGTCCGCATTCCTCGTCAGTCCACATCGCATTCCTCAACAAAACATCACGGAACAAAGGGTCTCTTGAAGCAGAGGACCCGGTATTCCTCGAAGATGTCACTGTCAGATTGGGACTCGACTTCGTCCCGAGATGGAGAGAGATACCTAAAACACCAACATTCTGCTTCTTCGGACCACGGCGCGCGAGCTCTCGTTCCTATGTGCGTAATTGTAGCGTTTTTCTCTTTCAAACCCATCCCACTTCCTTCTCTTTCGTGCTTCTTTACTTTTTTCCTTCTATCCGGATAAAACTTACCCCATTTTTTTCTAAAAAAAATTCCATGTTCATCTCGGCGACGCGAGACTAACACCCAGCAGGTGGGATAGCTCAGATCCTGAACGAGCTCCGCCGCCTCTACCACTGAACCCCCAGTCGCCCGTCTTGACTTCGCGTGCCGGCACATCGAGCGCCATTCAATCTGCGCATGCTGCCTTGAACGAGAGGGCGCGGGAAAACAGTGCCGTTGTCAGGCGCGGCGACGGATCACCAGAGAGAGCCCTCGTCAAGGGCGCTTCACATCGCCGTTTGCAGTCGCTACAGCCTGGTTCTGTACGAGACTTGAGCTTGATGATTGAAGGAAACTGGAGCAAACAAGACCTCAGACCCTCAACACCTACAACACCGCGGGAATTACCGCCCGAGCCGAGGTCTGACGGAGACTCTGCCAATTCAACCCCGATTCCGGGACCCAGCTTGACGCCTATTTTGAGGCCGACGGCCAGACGGCTTCCCCAGCAGAGCATACTGGGCGAGAATACGCCACCCCAGAGCTCGACTATGCTGGCTCTGCAAAACATGGGCAGCAAATCTGCTTCAAGAGAGGCAGAGTCTGCTCTGTCTAACATCACAAACGGCTCCACGCCTAAGCAACCTCCCTATTCCGATGATGTATCCGCTCAACTTCTTACGCTCACAAACATTGCGACATCTCTGCAGAAGGAGATGTCGGCTTTGAGTCGGCGAAGTCGGGACAATGCTACTGATTTACTAAGCTTGAAGGAGGCGACCAAGTCCAGAGATGAGGACGTCAGGAAGAGCCTCAGAGAGCTTGTGGGCAACATTAACGAGCAGTCCAGTCGGATCACCTCCTTCAATGGTCCGTATCTTGATAACAAGCCCTTTGGCTCACCTCCCACGCATTCACGAGCGTTTCAACTTCCCCGGATACCATCACCAAAGAGCTTTGCTGAATCGATTGACCGTGGCTCCATCAGCACACCTTCTTTGTCCGGAGTAGACACATCTGCTTCACTCATACTTTTGGAGAAAATTTGGAATGGGCTCGGCACTAAAGAAGGACAAGAGTCACTGGTTGGCTTGCTTACCCAGTTGTCCCAGAAACTTTCTGGGCTAGCTACCTCTGCCAAGGTCGACGAGCTGGCAGAGTACATTCGTTCGCAATCAGAGAATGCTGTTGTACTTGGAAGCGCAACCGGAAGCGGAGGTTTGGGCAATCAAGACATGGAACTGGAAAGGGGTGGGCTTGTGACCCAACGAGTCGACCGACTTCTCTTCAACGGAGAAAACAGAAGATCCTCGGCACCTTCTGGGCGTGGCGCGGAGCTTGTAAATGAAGAACTTATGAACATCATCCGGTCCGTCAAAGACAGTGTCACCCAGGGCGGTGGTTTAACTGCAGAGGTTAAAGCTCTAGTGCGCGAACTCAGGGGTGAGGTTCTTGGCATGGGGCGAGAACTAGGCAAGAGATTGGAGAAGGTCGGAAGTAAAGGAATTGAAGAGGCTGAGGCTCCTAGCAAAGACGAGGTTTCCAGAGTCATTGATGAAGGCTTGGAGCAGATGAAGGAACAGCTCAACAACGTCTTGCGAGAACATCGACGCCAGTCTGCCCAGACACAGTCTTCACAAAAGACGGTGGTTGATTATAAGGAAATCTACAATGCTATGCGAGCTGCGTTGCGTGATAACGAAGCCTCTACCGACGAGACACCCGACTTGAGCCGAGAAGACGTTATCGAGGCAGTCAGAGACGCTTGGGAAAATTACAAGCCTGAGATTGAAGTGCAACAGCTCGGTCTTGAACGGGATGAAGTCTTGGCTTGCCTCAAAGAAGGCCTTCAAGAGTATGCTCCCCGGGATGAGCGACCTGAGGCTGCAACTAGAGAAGAAGTATTCAAGGCTGTTGTGGAGGGACTCAAGCACTTTGCTCCTCCACAGGTTGAAACCCCAGCCTCCCTGTCACGAGACGAAATCATTGACGCTGTTCGTGATTGCCTTGAGGAATTCGAGTTCCCCGTCGCCGCATCCGCTGTTGGCACCGAGTTGTCGCACCGCGATGTCGTTGACGCCGTGCGCGAAGGCCTCAGTGGTCTTGATCTTCCTCGAAATGATGCTCTTATGGCGGTTCCTAGCAACAATGATGAAATTGCCTCCCGTCTTCAGGACATCATGGAGTATATGAAACTTGAATTTAAGGCCGCCTCCGAGTCACATCGTGATGTCGTTCAACAAGCCGTGCGCGAGGGCCTCAGCGAGCTCGATCTTCCTCGTGGTGATGCTCTTATGGCAGTCCCTGCCAATACTGATGAAATTGTCTCTCGCCTTCAGGACATGACGGAATACATGAAGCTTGAGTTTAAAGCTGTCTCTGAGGAGGCCAAGGACAATGTGGCCGCGAATGGACGAGACACTGAGCAAGTTCTTGACGCCACCAAGGATGGACTTGAAAATCTTCGCATCGCCATTGAAAGCTACGTCGACAGGGTTTCTGGTGTCGCTGGCCACGAAGAGTTTATGGACAACATGTCAAGAACCATGGAGGAGTTCAAGGAGGAAGTTTCCAGGGCTGTATCCATGGCCAACGACAGCTCCCGTGAGGAGCTCCAAGCACACCTGGAGGGGTTGCGCGAAGTTGTCAACTCTTCTATGGTTCCCGCATCCAGCCCTACTGTTCCTAGTGTCAATAATCAGGAAGTCCTTGAGGCTCTTCATAATGGATTGACTAGCCTTCGACAAGAAATCTTGCGGCCTCGACCTGAGACAGGCGACATCTTGGATGCCATCCAAGATGGCCTGAACGATCTCCGCGCGGCCCTTGAAAGAGTTATCAACAAACCTGTGGACTTGACTGCCAACGACGAGGTTCTGGATGCGCTCAAGTCCGGTTTGGATGGCGTTAGGTCAGATATTGAGACCCTCCGTGACAGCAGCAACGAAAGAGCTGTTGCGGCTGTTGCGACTGCTACAGAAGAAGACACCAGTCGAGCAATTATTCCCGCCGACATGGTGAAGCAAGACGACATTAAGAATCTCGAAGTCCTCATCACTCAGCTCAGGATCAAAGTTGAGGCAATGGAGCCAGAGACGGAGACTGTTCAGCGGGATGATTTGGCTCGCCTGGAAGATATGCTTCGTAGCGTTCAGGAGGGTGTCAATGAAATCTCGACTCGAGAGCCACCCGCTGCTGCCGAGCCCGCTAAAGAAGTGCATGAGGCCACTGACACTAACAATAGTGATGCTGCTTCCAAGGACGATGTCCAGGCTATTGAGACTATTCTCCGGAACACCAAGGCCAGTCTGGACGATCTCGTTGAGGGTGAACAGGCGGTCCGTAAGGAGCACCTCGATGCCATCGAGGCTCTGGTCCTGGAGACGCGCGAGACCATGACGTCCATGACCGAGCAGCTAGCCACCATTTCACAGAAGGAGGATCTCAATGCGTTGGAAACTCTTGTTACACAACTTAGCCTTGGTCTCGAAGAAATAAAGGAAAGAAGCGACAAGGCACCGTCCTCCGATGAAGAGATGGCCACCAAGACTGGTCTTGAGGCTGTCGAAGCTGTTGTTCTGGAGATCAAGACAGCACTTGATGGCTTGACGGCGACTGATTTTGCCAGCATCTCCAACAAGGAAGACGTGTCCAACTTGGAGACGATCTTGAAGGAGGCCAAAGAGAAGATCGAGGCACATACCGAATCGAATACCAAGGCACTTGATGACCGTCAAGCTGAGATCGTTGGTGTTGCCGATCGCGTCACGGCGGTCAAAACCTTGTTGGAAGAGTTCCAGGAAGCTATCAAGAGTAAATTGGATGATGGGTCATCGGGAATTGATGCTGTCACAAAGTTGCTCGAAGGCATGGGAGAAAAAATCGACAAGAACGAAAACGTCGGCGCCGACCTCAAGGAAATGTTCGAAACGATGAAGACCCAGTTCGAAGAGAACAAGGAAGTTGTTGCTGGTGCCCGGCTGGAGTCCAATGAGAAGCTCCAGGAGGCGGCAGACAGCATTGGTACAAAGATTGACGACAAGATTACGGAGCTGAATGTCAAGTATGATGAGTTCAAGGCCACGTTGAACGAGAAAAGCGAAGCCACCGAGGCCCGGGAAATCGAGACCGAAGCTGCTGTTGTTGGTACCAAGGCTATTGCCGAGGACTTGAAGCTTCTTATTGATACCCTTGGCTCGACTGTCACAGACTCTCTGGAGAAGATGGAAGAAGCATCCAAGACAGTCTTCTCCAAGGTCGAGGATCTCGCCACCCGCACCGAGGAGATTGACACTGAGGGTAAAACAGAACACCAGAAGACTCGTGACCATTTACAACAAGCTGTCGCTGCTGTCGAGAGCTTGCAGGGCGAGGTAAAGGAACACCAACCCGAGATCCTGACAGCTGTGAAAGATATTCTCCTGCTGGTAGGAGAGCACTTTGAACACTCCAAAACGGCATCCACCGAACTTCAGGACAAGATTGCTGAGGCCAAGCCTGTCGAGCAACAAATGCTTCCGCCCCCTGAGAAGTATGATGACTCAGCAGTGCAGGAGAAGCTCAATCTCATTGCAGAACAAAAGTATGACGACTCAGCTGTACAGGAGAAGCTCAATCTCATCGCGGAACAAAAGTATGACGACTCAGCCGTACAGGAGAAGCTCAATCTTATTGCAGAACACAAGTATGACGACTCCGAGATCAAGGAGAGGCTGGATAGACTGGTCGAGCAGCAATATGATGACAGCCCAGTTCATGAGAAGCTTGATAGACTGGTTGAGCAGCGCTACGATGATGGCCCAGTCCATGAGAAGCTTGACAAACTCGTAGATCATAGCACCACGTCAGCCCAAGCATTTGCCCAGCTGGAGACATTGGACAAGGTCCATCAGTCTGTCGTCAATACTGCAGCCGAGATCTCACAGTTCCTGTCTTCCCAGACACAACGAATCGAAAATGACCACGAGGATCGGGAAAAGACTCTTCAGGATACTGTGATTGAATTGGAGCGCAAACTCGCTGAGCGAGAACACATGGAAGCAGCTATTCTTAGCCTCAAGGATGAAGAAGATAGGCTTCGTAACAGTGTTCTCAATCTGCGGACAGAGCAGGAGAGCCTAATTAGACAAAAGACTCGATTGACAGGCGATGTTTCCTCTTTGGAGACAGCCTTGCGTCTGCGCAAGGAGGAGCTGTCAGATATGGAGTACCGCGCAGAGAGACTGGAGAGACGCATTGTGGAGGGCGTCATGGACCACTCTCGGGTACTATTGATGGCCAAGGACAGCAAGGGACGTGACGACATGAACCGGAAACGTGTTAAGAAGCCTGTTGGTGAAGATGGGGAAACTGGCGGTACTAAGTCGAATCGCCCTGCCCTCAGCATGGCTCTGGCCACCAGGCGAAACCTTGGGGTTCCCACACAGAACGGATCCGCGAGACGTATTGCGTCGCTCAGCCAGATGAATAGCAGCTCGCCATCTGGTCTGGTCAAGAGAAGCCAAAGCGTACGCACAGGAGCTGGCAATGCTCTCCGGAAGCGAAGTTGGGGCGGAGGTATGGCAAAGGGGGTTGGCGAAGAAGACAAGGAGAATCTTCGCGTTGGTGAGACCGTAGAGGAACTTGACGAGCCGGATACAGCAGCTTCCTCTCCAGTGGCAAGCACTGTTGCGTATACAGCCGACAATGACTCTGTGCTTGACTCGCTGGTGGACGATGATGGCGAGGGCAGTGATACAGGGACACTGAGAAGAAGCAGCGTTGGCACGACGGTCATGTCAAGCCAGTACACGGAATCGGAGGCAGGGTATAGCGAGTACGATGGGACGGAAAGCGACTGGACGGAGAGTCAAGTTGGGACGGATGTCGGGGCCGAGAACGGGCTGGTTATTTATGAACAGTAGCGGTAAGGATGATGAACAAAATATAGGTGCAATTTGGGGATGCTTTGGCCCTCGGCACTTCTTGATATGATGTATGGATTACATCATATGGATTACACGACAGAGATTGTTAACTTTGAGCGTTCTTGTTTTGCGTTGTTGTGTAGGTATCAATTGATAAGTGGCCAACCTTTTGCGTCTTTTGTGAATAAAGCGTGCGCGTAGGCAACCTATATGATGAAATACTTGTATTATTAACGGCTCGGCCCGGAATAGGGTGAGTGTGCTGCTACTAGTTGGTGAGTTACTCTGTACGGGGCTTTTTGGCCTCATTTCTCGTTGGCGACACCAAGTGCCATCCATGTATTGAGATTTCAATCGAGCCTTTGCCGAGGAGTAGCCTGCTGCATAGGGTGTTTCCTTACGGAGTATACCGAACAGACTTGCTAAAGGAATATCCGGGGTTGAATTTGATGATAGTCGTGTATGTGAGCACTGTGCGGACTGTTGATGGACGAACGCCACTTTGCGCCGTGCCAGAATTTTGGTGGTTGTGGGGATACTAGCATCGACATTCTAGAGCCCACATGCAGGCATAGGCGCAGGCGCAGGCGACCTGCGGCAGTCGAGCTGTGAAACCACCAGACTCAAAAAACCAGGCCTCCCCCCACGCGTCTCGCAGTCGCGTCCGTCCAACGCTCGGCATCACCCGCAATGGAGCAAAATATCCTCTCCACGCCTGAACTCTCGCCCCTCGAGCAGGAAGTCCTCGAGGAATACGAACGGCTGGCCGGCAACATGAAGCAGGTGTGTGGCTCTGCGGTTTTTGCGTCTCTCTCTCCCCCCGGCCCCAGCGTTTCTCGCGGCCCCAGCGTTTCTCGCAGACAGACACGGGTGAAGGAAAGGAAAGGCGGTGGACGGAGAAGCTGACGCCCTGGTGTGTGTAGTTGGCGAGTGTGCTGGACGACCTTGCTTCGAACCCGTCGACGGAAATACTGGATGGGCTGCGGGACCTGGAGCGCAAGACGAGCCTGGCGTTTACGCTGCTCAAGGCGAGCGTGTACAGCATAGTGCTGCAACAGGAGATTGATTGGGGCGGCGGGAGGGAGGAGTGACTTGTTCCCTTGTTTGCGTTTTGCCTGGCTGGCATTCCTGCGAGACGGGATGATAGGGCATGGTTGTGACGGGAAAGGTTAGGTAGGGGAGGACATGGATGCGTGGACAGACTGGCTCGACAGATGGGCCAAATGATGTAAATGATACCCTGGATCATGATGGCGACGCTCTGAATACACTTGCAGCATGTGTCGCGGTGGCTCTCTAGCCATTGCACGACACACGTTTGGTTTAGGGGAATAAATAAATGTACATTTAGTATACACGACATGCACACGCTCGGCTGGAACTCCTCTAGTATACAGCACCCCCGTAATACACCTTTCGCACATCAACCATCTTCTTGCCCCTGCCTATAGCAATCTCCTCGGGATCAGCTTGGCTTGTGAGCGCCTCGTACGTCGCCTTGACCGAGTTCATGGGGTTCTTGGACCGCGGCATGCGGCCGTGTATATCGTGGATGCCCGCGGCGCGGCACATTTCAAAGAGGCGGTGGGGGACACGAAGCCCAAAGCCTACAATAAAAAAGTTTTAGTTCATACTCAACTCTCTTGGGCCAAGAGAACATGGGAGGGAGAGACATACCGGGTGGTCGGGAGAAAAGCTCGACAACCGTCCCGGACACCTTGGCCTTGACGTTGCCGAAAATGGTGCGGTTCTCGTAGCGCCGGATGGGCTTCATGTTGCGAATGGCAAGCAGCTGTGCCGTCTCGGCGGCCAGGCCCGCCTCGGTCGACTTGGCGATGCCGAGACCCAGGCGGCCGTTGCCGTTGCCCGCAATGGCCACGACGGAGGTGCTGCGTACTTTACCCAGACGGGTCTGGTTGGAAACCCATCGCGTGACGAGCACCTTGCGGTAGATGGACTGAATGTCTTTGAGCGTCATGCCCGTGAGCCGCTTGATCTCCTGGTAGTGACCGCCGTCATCCTGGCCCTCGTCCTCGGGATCCGCAGCCGACTTGTACAGACCCTCGACGCCGGGGACCTTGCCCAACTCAGCAGCTTCGGCAGAGTAGGCACGGTTGACTCCAGCGGGACCGTCGGCCAGCAACTCCAAGTTGCTGGGCTCGACTTCGCTCTCGTCCGTCATCGACGATAGCTTGTCCAACTCCTTTTTCCACTCTGCGTCCACTGCCTCGTCGAGCTTCATAGCCTGCGCTCTCGTCAACAGATCCGGCCCCGAAGCATTAGCGTCCGGCTCCTGCTTCCCATCCTCTTCGATGAGATACTTCTTGAGCAGTTCAGGATCATTTTCAAGATCCTTGAGCTCATCCTCGGTCAGGTCTATCAATTCCGTGCCGCTGCTCTCCTTTACCCTCCTCAGGGCGCGGACCATGGCTCTCGTGAGCTGATGACTGGTCTTTGTATCCGTCATTTGTGACATTTTCGAGCCGTACTGGTCTACCCATTCGTTGTGGCTCAGCCACTCCGGCTGCTTGGGAGTGACGTCGACCTTGGGCTTAACATCATATCTCGGATCGAGCACCGTAAAGTCCTCGATGTAGTTCGGTCGGTAAGGGTCGTCGCGCAGACGGCCCTGAATAATCACGTCATCTGTGTTGATGGCTTCCTCTCCGGCCCGAAGAGCCTCCAGCTGCTCGGGGGTGTACTTTTGCTTCAGGAGCTCCAGCTCCTCCTTGGTGTAGTCGGGGAACTTCTCCTGGCGATATTTCGACAGCACAGAGGGGTTCAGAAGCCCCATTTCCTCGGCCTTGACATTCCGGAACCGTGACCGCCGCTTGGAGCGCGGTGCCGAGCTGTGGAATTGCTGGCATTGCACGACTGATGTCGCGGTTGGGGAGCCAGCTCGGGATCGGGTCGAGGCGATACACCTGCCCAGGAGGCTGTGCACCGGGCGTGCCACGCTCATGCCCACGGTCTGTTTGTCCGATACCACCCGGTGTGCAGGCTGGTTAACTGCAGTGTTTGGAGTATGTATATCGTGGACAAGGCGTGTCGTGCTCACTTGAGCTTGAGATTTTTCTGGCCAAAGACAATCCTCAATTGCGCCACCCAATCGGGTTAGTCTCCGAACAGGGGGTAGAGCAAGAGATGCACGTGAGGGTCCACGTGTACCAGCCGGGGTCCATCATCTTGCTTGTGGGCATCTCGTACGAGAACTCACATGCTCAGGGACGAGAGCTGCAGTATGCTCGAATCGCCTGCGATGCCACGTCTTTGCCATGTACACAAAAAGGCAATATATAACTTACCTAGTAATTCACACGCAACTAGTGTCGCTCTTCACACTACGGCTCCTTGTGAAGCACACGTAGTTCCGTGGTGTATCCCATGAAACGGCCGTCTCAGGATAGCCTCCTGTGCTGGGGCCTCGTCGCCGGCCCACCAACATTTGTCAATAATCCCACCATGCCCAGACTTTACTTTCCCCCCCCCCAACCATCCCTCCTTTTGCATTTCATACCTTTGTGATATCGTGATCTGCCCGAGTTTTTGCCAATTACTTCTTGTTCTTATTCTTCTCCCTCTCCTTTTCGCGCCCTTTCCCCAACACTGCGTTGGTCCTTCTCACCGCCGCAAGTCTCCTCTGTGCCAGGCGCACTTACACTTGCGAACTATCCACGGCCAAAGGTTCGCGAAGCCTACGAAACAGCAACAAATCTACAACCCCGCGAATTGGACTCACCCGTCAGACGTTGAAATGGCAAACTTTGACTGGCTCCAGAAGGTCGGCGCCACCAAGGAGGCCGTCGCCGTCCTCAATGATCAGCCGTACCTCTTCGTTGACCTGCTTGTCGTTCTCGTCGGTCTTGGCCTGCAGTGCCTGTTAATTTGGTACATTCACTATGCGACTTTGAAGCCCGAGCAGAAGAAAAAGAAGAAGCCCGCCGGCGATAATGCCAGCGGCGGGGCGGGACGAAAATAAGCACACCATTTATATCGTCAGCAACTCGGATTTTCCCGCCGATTTTTCCAACTTGCTATTCCTTGTTTGGGCAACCAACTGCATATGGTTGACCTCCCCTGGTGGGCTAGGCGTTGATTTGTATCATATTTCATCTTGGGCGGATTTTCTAAACATTACTAATGTGTCGGCGTTGAAATACACCTCTTTCAGTCGCACCCACACTGCATTGCTGGCAAACCTATTACTCGCAGAGCGCTTCTCTGAATTAATATTGCGGTTTTATTATCATGGTTATCTTTTGGCATCGAAAGCTTAAGTGCAATTTTAGAACCACTTTGAAATATACACAATAGCCTTCGTATATCTCTTGTTTAATTCATTCATTCAGGCATCGCGGCCAACTTTGCATTTGTCATTCTATCGCGTCCGATCATACCAGGCACCTCGCTTAGCGTCGTGAAGTCGGTATGTTAGACGTCATCAGGTTCCAAAGGCTGCGTTCGATGCCATTCCGAACAAGGTCTTTCTGATAGGTATCCTCAGAGCTATTCTCCTCGCTCTGAATGTATGAGTCCAGTTTCAATCCTTCGACCTTTCTCCGGAGACTCGGCGATTCTGCGCCCTTCATTCGCTCCAGAGAAGTAGCAATTGTGAACAAGAAATCCTTCCTGGCCGATATATCCTGAAACTGCGGTCAGTTTGATTTCGCTTCCTCCTTGAAAAGACTTGCCTGTAAATAGGGTATATTAAAGACTGCTGGAGCCAACTGGGAGAGCGGTTTACCAGGGCTTCTATTGATGAATTTCATACTCTTGGGGCATCGTTTAATCCCGACCATTATATTTGCTAGGCAGGTCTCCAACATATCTCTAGTATAAGTAGAGTATATCATCTCGCTGGCGATTTTGTGCCGACTTCTCCTTCGTTTTAGCCGTCGGGAAGTTTCACTCTCCGCAATGTCTAGATTCATCCGTTTAATGAAGTCATCAACGGCTCTTTGGTCGTCCAAAGCTAGGCAGTCAAATTCGACATCGCCGCTCATTCTCAAGCCATCCGCCGTCTTCGAACCACGACGAGCTGCACCTCTTGTGGCTTTGGTCACCTTTGTTTTTTCCTTCGCGGGCTTTCCTTTCCCCATGGTCTTTAATAAGTCGATTGAATAAAATACAGACTGAAATCTTGCTACCATTGCGGCATCGGGTACCAAAGCGGATGAAAGGTCTGGATGCTGGATGGACAAGCGTATCCGACTCGGATCTCTGCTCGAGCTGTCAACAGTAACAAGTCGGAGTCCCAAGTAATCAAGAACCTACTCCGATTAGTAAGTAATTGCGTGCATTGTCATCGGAGACTGGGCCCATTCAAACCTCAAATCCAAGCAAAAGGTCTCGAATATGGTTCACCTGGTCTTTTTGTACCCCGAATCCGTCCACTGATATCTCGACGTTGAAATAGCACGAGCCCGTCCTCGCAATCCATAAATTCCCTGTACGAACCAGATCCTCGAGCTCAATGCTTGTTTGCACCCTTCTACAACAGCTGGGTATGTCAATTTTCAAACACCCGGTCACTGTGAGTTTGATGTTTTCTGTCATGTGGGCGATGCTAAAGTCTGGCAGAGAGATGGAACAAAGTGGCATTCTGCCAACAATGCAATGCCCAAAACAGGGGGTCTGTCAGGAAAGCCAGGCATAATTGAGCTTTGATGGTTCAGGTTCGTCAGCAGTTCAAGGGTTCGTAATTCCATTGCGTAGGGGAGGTTCTGACGAGCTGTCTCCTGCTTGGGACTTGCGAGGAAGGAGCGGCCCCAGCTCCCATTGTTCGGCAGATTTTCAGGCAGCCAGGCTGCAAACTCGACAATACCACAAAATAGGCAGGATATCATGTATCGGGGCCTGAAATCATGTTGTCATCATGTCTCATATTGCTTAAGGAGTCTATCCAATGCTCAAACATTTAAAGCAACAAAAGAGGAATCAATGTCATCCCAGAATGGCCTACCTGAGGCCAGAAACAAAAGAGATATCCAAACCGCTAACTCTCGCTTCCTTTCCCTTGTCATCCTGAACTCCTCACGTGCAAGTTTACTTGGCAAACCATGGAAATTTCTTCTTACTCGGCTCTATTGGTCCAGAAGCGCTGCTCTCCAGTTGCAGACTTCGTTGATAGATCTCCTTAAAGACACATATTAATACGGCGTACCACGGGCTCGAAAACATCATCTATAAAGCTTACCTCATCATCTGTGGGCATGCGACACCCCAGGATCAAATCTCGCGCCGTCTCATGCTTGGCCAAAGTGGGGTATGCTGTTCCCTGACTCTTCATGATCGGCAGCAACACCTCTCCCAACACCTCAAATTTCTTCCAATTAATGCGGTCATCATTTGGTCCAACAAAAGTCTTACTGCCTTCTTCAGCTGACACAAGATCACGCCGATGCAGTGGAATGAACGGTATTCGTGGCAGCGGGGAGTTTTCCCACGCCAACCTATAAGCAAAATGGCTCTTCTGCGTTCCCATGAGAATGACCAACCGTGCAAACCGTTTCTGTACATCCGCTGGCACAAGAGCACGAGTTTGTGCCAAGCGATGAATTGCAGTTCCATTGATTCCGGCCAACACGGCGGCTAGGCCGTTGTAGTTGTTGAGCCGCCGCAGTCCCAGCGCAATGTTCATGAACTTTTCCAGCATTTGTGCCCGATGCTTTGCTTTGTCTCGCAGTAAAATCATATTTGCCACCCATTTGGCGATGTGGTTGAAGTGATTAATCATTCTGTTCACATTCTGCAAGCTCTTGCACTTGTCCTTCTGTGCTGCTGACAAGCTGACATGCCGGACAAAATCACGGATTCGTATCGAAGAGAACATTATCCAATCAATACGAGTAAGTTCGTCGGCGAAGTCGTCATCAGAGATGTCCATAAATATGTGATATCGAAATTTATTCATTGGGAGGTGATCTGACGGCTCCAATAATGTGGCTTCTCTTTCATATTCCTCGTATGAATTGAACTGAACTTGGATGCCCGTCCTGCTACCTCTGTCTGTGGAAGGGTTCTCTGAGCCTCCCAAACTATCGGATTCGCCGTTAAATTGTAACGCGTGGATTCCCGCAGATAGTTCGTCCATGTCCTTGGACAGAATTTTGCTCGCAATCTCGTCACTGGAATTGTCCGAATTTGCCCAACCCGTGTCATCATCCTCAATAACGTTAAAATAAAGATTACGTCGCATTTGTTGTGCAGCAATTGCAAATATTGGCTCTGTCGATAAGTGCTTGATAAAATCTTCGAGATTGCGCCGCGTTGTGGGACGAGCAAAATCCCCAGGATACAGTGACACCCATTTCGCTACAACCTCTATAATTCGTAGTTGAGTTGCTGTTCTAGTAAGATAATGCGCCGCTTTATCGTCTCGGGCCTTGTCTAACCGGACGAGGATTGCTGAGAAGAGCTCTCCTGGTGCAGCAAACTTTCGATATAAACAGAGGAATATATCGGAAAAATTGTTGTCCACTCTTGAAAGTCGGGGGGCCAGTAATCGGTCTACCAATTCGTCAAACGTGACGCCTGTAAGCTTCGGTTGCTTTTCGATAATGACATCGTCGTTACGCTGAAGTATAGGAATATCATCTGAGTATCTGCGAGATTCGGAATCGGATTCGTCGATATCGAGAAAAGAGTCGGATCCAGATTTGTCAGTACGAAATCCTATGAAGGCGTTAGTTTGCCCTTGTTTTAGAGACTCACTCATAGCAGGAAAACTGCCGAATCAAAGGTCAGCTTACCTGGTCGGGGACTTCTTGATGCTTGCGTACGGTAGTTTTCGCCGGATTGCTGGTTGGGAAACGTTCGGAGGATGGAGAAGTCTGAGCTCGCTCTACTGTGCTTGCTGTGCTCACTCAGAGGGCGGCCAGCTGATGGATCGGGTGCTTCCAGGTTGGCTGCGGACTGCGCCCGTCTCCTCAAAACCGTTTCATTATTCTCGTCTGAGGGCCAGTGGTGAGCGCAAGCGTATTTTTAAACGGCCGCAAGATACAAGGAACCCACCTCGTCTGTGCGTGACAGCTGCTCGAATCACAGCCTGTAGACATGCCTGAGAAATGTCGGGTCTATCAATCGAAATTTTGTATTGGCCAACACATGACTTGAATAGGTGATAATTTGCCAACTCGTCTGCATTTACCTCCCAGTCGTCCTCTGGGCTATCACATTTACATGCTCCAAGCATAGCGGGCAGGCCCGAGTTGGTAAGAGCGGCTAAGATCACATTACACCATTAGCCCCCCCATACTGTTTTTAAAAACCTATATCACAAGTCATCTTGAGCGAAGCACGGATGTCGCTTACCGACAGTTTGTGGCAGCTGGCGAATGGACTCTTCCGTCGTAACATCGTACAGGATAAGCGCTGCATCCATTCGCGGAACGATCTGGCCGTTTATTTGTTTTGGCCATTGCATTGGCTGGGATGGGTTAAGCTCGAAATGTTCGAGATCCAGCTCGACCAGTGTGACCATGTGGGCAATGGAATCGACTACCTGGCGTGCGCTGGAGGTGTTTGTCACTGGCGGGCGAGACAGACGTAGTACGCGCTGGACAAAAGTTGACTTGCCTACAGCATCGGCGCCGATAATGGCAATGTTGTAACTCTCCATTGCGGAAATGGGGTGGTGTGGCTGCGGAGAAGAGCACAGGCATCAGCACATCATCTCCTTTGAGACACCGAAGGCATTCTCTTGACATCTCACACCCAAACTGCAACCACCCATCCATCCCTGCGTGCTCCGTGGTTGGAGCCGGGGGCTTCAAAGGGATCAGAGAGCTAAAGTGGGGCAACATTGAAGACAGGACGGAATCTATTCTTACCCAGTACTGTGAGGGCCCAATAGTCAAAGATTCTCGACGGGGAGGTGGCCAAGGCTGAGTCTTGTTGTTGTCATCGCTATCGTTGTGTGGCTCGGCCGGGGTGCCCTCGTCGAACGCCTCACGCTCAGCGTGGGCGGTGTTGGCGGGATCGAAGCGCTGAAAGAAAGGGTCGTCGACGATGGAGACGAAGGAGTCGCGGTCACCCGCACCAGCAGTCTCGACGGGGGAGAGAGCACTTGCTGAGCTCGAGATGGCGGTCAGGCCGGTCGAGTTGGAACTTCGAGAGAAGACACTGCTGCTGGCGATTGTCTGGGTCGAGTCTCGCGTAACGGTTTTGGATTGTCGTCGCTTGCTGCTGCGGCTGGTGTTGGTCGTCGTCGGCGTCGTCGTGGACGGGGTCGACCGGGTCGGAGCCGTAGCGTCAGAGGAGCGTTTGGGCAAGGACGCGGGGCTATCGTCAGATGTCCTACGATTCTTCCGACTACTAAAAGTGTTAGAGCTTTTTGAAGTCATCGTATGCAAATGTCGGCTGTCGGTCGCGGCCTATCGGCGCGATGGCGACGAGGTCGGGGACATGAGGTTGGCAAGCAGCCGCAATGTTGCGAGGCACTGTCGGAAACGATGTGTCTGAAGCTCCCAAGTTTCACAGATACAGGTATCCAGCTCGGGAGTACGGAGCAGATGCGTGTGCCAACTGAGGAGTTATTGGACAAGTTGCCGTCCGTGACCATCCGTCGCCCGTTGGGGGAAGACCTCAATAGTCGATGACAGCCACGAACACACTAAGGGCCGGCCTGGACGAGAGCCACTCACTAATATCCACACCCCTTGGAAGGAGATTCGGCGGTTACGTTGTACTCTGTACGCTGTACGCTGTACGCTGCTCACTGATAATGATTCAAATGGAAAACCTGCGAAATTTCTGGTGATGCAGGGAATGATTGATTGGTGGACGGACTGCAAGGTGCAAAGGCACGGGTGCGTAACAAGTACCCCGTACCTTGATAGGCGAAGCACACGCACAGCGTCAGCGTCAGCTCTGGACAGCTTGGAGCTAGATAAAGCTGGCTGCTGCGTTCGAGGCACAAGATGCTAACGCCGCAGCACTCCTCCGTAATCCGTGATAACCAAACGGATTGAGCCGATGGGACTGGATGATGCAGCGGGGCATGGCATGCTCCGTCAGATGCCAGATACGGGTTCTGCTTTTGCCAAAGTTGTCAACATGAGAAGGTAGGTTGAAGTCTCCAGAGCTTGATTGTTTGTTGGATGAGAGTGGCAATGGGGCCCGGATAGGGTCAATGGGCGATTGAGTGCTCTAAAAATGTCCTTTCGCTAGCGACGGTGCGTGCCGTTCCCAAAGAGCCACAGGACCGCGCGTACGAATGGGGCTTTCGGGGCTTCCGGCTCGGTCTCAATCGTCGTCTCCTCGCCTGGTGGGCTGGCTGGCAGGATAATGATGATGCAGTATGTTGGCTGGGCGGGCAGCTGAGAAGAGGTGTGCGGTTGAAGAAGGGAGGAAAGCATCTGGCCCGGGCATAGAGTTAGTAGGCAGGCAATGTTGCTGCATCGCCTCATGCAGGGAAATTATCAAGTGTCAGAATGCGGAAGATCAAGTGCACGTCGCAACTGCCCCAGCAATGGCGCGGCAGTTGCAGTCGTGGCAGACCAACGTTGAACACAAAGGCTTTTTCAACTAGACAAGCATTCAACCCCCCCAACCAGCATCAACCGCCATACGGCGTGCTCAATGGCCAGTCTTCAATGGCCAATGGTCAACCGTGCGGCTCAATTTTCGAGAATTGCCTGCATGTGCATGGGCGTGGTGGCCAGAAGCCTTACGCAGGCCTCCTGGCTCGAGGCAACGAGAACAGCAAGGCTGCGAGAGACTGGGAGATGCCCGCATCACTACCGTTGCTAACCATCAATAAAACGTGTTACGGACCCGTCGAGACGACTCTCGGCGAAAAATAGTGAGTGAAGTTCTTCCCCGTGCGCATTTTCATCACTTTCGTTGTGGTTTTATGACCATGCTGAGAAAAGGGCAGATTGCTATTGGCGGGCCCCTCGATGTTGGTTCTCAGCAACCTCGGATCGTCCAAGTGATGAGTCTCAACGAAAGAATACAATGCTGTAGGCGTAATAAAACACACAGCGGAGCACGGCGCCCGAGTTCGAGGCCCTCTGACCTGGCTGTCAACGCTTTATTTGTATATCTCCGAGTTGATGCCGAATTTCGCAGTCTGAGCATAAGCACGGATGAGGCAGAAGGTGTATGGAGTTCTTTGTTAAAAATTCCTGTTGCCTTCCCCGCCAGCTATAAAAAGATCTTCTACAGAGCCCTTGGGCAGTTTGTGCCCGAGTTCATGCATGAACGAATAGACGTCCGCTCATATGAGCGTGTGGGACTGGCAATTCAATTGCCATCGTTTGGAAGTTCCAAGACTGTTGGCTACACAGGATTCCGCTCATCAGAGCATACAAACCAACAAAAAGGGCTGTTATTGATAGCAGTCGTCTTGGCTGGCGCCATTTTCCACCATGGATTTCGTCTAGAGAAGTCTCTCAAACTTCACCATCCGGCTGTCTTTGGCGAGATGAAGAACCATTTCCACCCAGCTCGAGCCTAATAAAAAGTCGGTCTGTGGTGTCATTTCACGTCATGATCCGCATCGATATGGAACATCCCCACGTCTTGGCCTTCCCGCCAAACTTAACAACCTGACAGCACATGAGCCAACAGCGTCCTTCCATGTCCTCTTGTTAGCTCAGGGTCAGGCCACATGCTGTAATTCTCCCAATTGACCGAGGACCATCTTGCCTCCTGGTGGAGCTATGGTCTCCAACAATACACAGTCTCTCATAGCCAAGTTTATACTGCAGCATCCTCTATGATGGACCTGTCTCGCAGCATCTCGTATATGCGGCTGCCGAGTCTCAACTTGTAATTACCACCACGGCTGTACCTGGTTGTGGCACTCTATACTAAAATGCGCCACAGTATATTAGTGTTCACTTCTTAGTGGGCAAATATATTCTGCCGCAGACTATAATTATCCATAAACCTGGTAAACAGGTGTAGTGGCCCTATACGAGCCCTGCTTCTACGGCCCTCCTATTTTTCCATTCTTGAGTTCTGAAACTTTACTAATACATGTATAGGTGATTGTGTCCAATGCCGCGCGCCTCTTCACATAACAAGCCCGGGAAGACTTTATCAAATCGGCAAATTGAGGAGACCGCAACCCCCAAAGACCGTGATATTCCAAGCGTTGACATTCTTACCAAAACCGGTAACACGAGACCAGTGTAAGAAATACGCGTGCTACAAAAAGAAAAACTAACGCTCGTCTTCGGATTCGAAGTTAGGCCTTGATTCATACCGTTCATGCGCAACATTATTCACAGTTACCCTATAGTCACGACAAGCCAGCCCATCTACCAATTGGGCCGATAGAGAGCCATCCAAGCCTAGAGACTGCAGATATATGTGAGGGAGAACTGGCAAGAAACCTCTTCAAGCCATCGATTGCCCATGTTTGCTGAATATTCTGTTATCGTTAGTCAAGAAAGATAGCCATTCACACCGTGAACATAGCTGCGCCCCGTAAGACTTCGGTGTAAGCCAACTTCTACACCCAGCAACAAATGCAGTCTTTCAAAGTGTGCTGGACCAAGGTCCGGCCCAGGAGTTATGAAATCAATCAACAATCACTTATAAAGGCATTTATCAAGTCGGAAACCCTGAGCCATCGACGCTGCTGCATGCAATATATACTTATGCAGGATCCACAGGCTCAACGGCCGAGTAATTCAGGTGCAACTATCTGCCCCTAGCCCCAAAATCTTTGAACCAAATATAACAAGATATCGAAAATGAATGCACACACATTGCATCTAGGACGCACATCCTATGCCCATATTCACACGAATGGAGCAGAGTGAGATGACTGGAATCATGTATTGGTAGTCCCATTAGCATTGCCATGCCAAAAGAACAGCTTTATGCTGCTACACGTCAGATTTACTCTTCGCTCATAGTCCCGTTGAACGGCTATATCTGATGGGGCGAAACCCTTACGCATCACCTTTTTCACAGACATGGACATCTGCTCTCCCAAGTTAGATATCGCATTTCTGCTATATTCCTACGTCTAGGCATGACAAGCTCTGCATGACTCTCGGAGTTGAATTTGTCACCCGTTTACAATTGGCAATTATATATATAACCTCCTGGTACCATTAGGAAGTACGTGGCGGGCTACAAATACATTGGAATACTTGCCTTCAGCGATCGGGAGAGTGTTTAGAGCTCGTTGCATTATGCGATACTTGGGGATCTCGGCGAGGCCAAACAGCATTTCCCCTCCAAGAGGATGCAGTTCTTTTAGTGATGTTTGAAACTCATCTGTCTTTCAGATCGTCCTTGCTTTTGCATCCATGAGCCAATAGAAGATCTACACGAACCCCACGAGAATATGTCGCTTGCGCAGCGGCCGACCCCTCTAATAAGACTCCGTACCAATGTCTGTGCAAAGAATGGACGCAATACAGCTAGCTGTATATGCCGCTCACCAAGACAAGGACAAAAAGCGAAGGAACATTGCTACTAGTATTCTTCATACTCATGCCGTCTATGAAACACGTCTGAGTCTTTGCTCGGTTGTCGGCGCTCCCCAGGGGTTCTGAGAAGCAACGAGTAAAGAGTAATCATACTCAGTACGGCCAGAAGCTTTGCTCTCTGCACCGAGCGGAAGGTTTCCTAATTCTGTCCCCCAAGGTTAATCGACGTTGTCCATAGGCGACACCGTCATCGCCTGCAGTTCTGAGATTCTCAACGTTTGATTTCGAACCCGCCGTCTTGGTTGAGTCAGGTAAACCATGCAGCGCAAGAGGGTAGATCCTTTTACACCCACCGTTGTCACCGTAATCTACATACACCTGGGACTGGGTCCAATGTACTTAGATGTATGTAGATACATTAATTGAGCCACACCAAAACACTAACTGACCAACAAAAACATGGGGACGGTAGATGTGCCGAGGATGAAGTCTTCTTGTTTTCTTGCGGAGCGTGGTTCGTTCAGGCTCACTGCAACCTGACGTGTGGTTTTTGTTTTGAAGAGATGGTGCACACGTACGATGCCGCCGATCACCATCGGCACCTGCTGTTTTGCGATCAGTTTAAACCAGTTTGCTCTGACCAAAGAAAATGATGCTGGTACCCTTCTTTGTCTCCTCTTCTGTAGCAGTGCAGGCTGCGGCAAAGCACCCCCTTCTTGGTGGCTGCATCCATCCAATGTGTGTGTGGCAGAAGTACGACCAGACAGGCCCTGTTGTTTTTCACGCTTAAGTGACCAGACCAGTTGACCTTATTCGACTCGCGATGCAGCGGGTTGCAGAACCGACCAGCCCTAGACCGGGGAGGTAGCTAGTCGACAAGGTCTAGGGTCCGCACCACATGCAGCGACTGGAGAACGGCTGGGACGACCACATGTTGCCGAACCAGTGGGCACTTCTCCGTTTCCCGTGCGTACCAATGGCTCCTGACCACTGCCTAGGTAGTTTAGTGGCTTGGATGAAGGTTCCAGATGTCCTCTTGCTACCGCCTCGAAACAAGCCGTTTCCTGGGCACTGGCCTTCAAGACATGGCCTGAGCAAACACATTCTTAGTGCCAAAGCAACTTTGGCCCGCAGTGGCTGCGTTGCTTATTACCCGCCCCTCTTGGGTTTATTTGTCGAGGACGTCTTGGTGGAGAGAGGAAGAGTGCGAAGGGAGGCAAGGGTTAAGAAGTAGCCAAACGACGTCCCGCTCGACGTTACGCCCTGCATACAGACAGGATTGGCATGGTCGCCTGATCGCGTGCCATCAGTCCACGCCCACCTGGAACATGGAGTAACAGACCATTCGCAATGGCCATCTCTAGTTCGGAGTAGACCTCATGCCTGAGACCATGCCATTCTTGGCAGCCATCGGCCCCAGTCTGTGTTTTCAGTCGACTCAACTGGATCGTGTCGGCCCTGGAGGCGTCCTTGGTGTCCTTCGCCCGCGAGTGGTGCTAATAAGGGCCATGGATTTTACATTGCAACCTTGGGCCTTTAATACCTTGTACCTCCCGGCTCGGCAGAAAGGATGCACAGTTCTCAGATGGAACATGTCGACAGCGGTCTGGAACTGAACTTTACGACCTGTTTGTTTCCCTGCAGTTCTGCGTTATTTGTACCAGCCTTGAGTCTATAGCAATATCACCAAGACAGTGCGTAGCTCGAGGTGGCATTTAACTTCAGGTAAACCGTAACCTGCAGGGCGGCGACCTCAAGGATCCGGCATCGCAATACCACTCAAAAGGGAAAGACTGAGAGAGTAGTGTTCCTTTCTCGCGTCGATATATATCGCTTTAGGAAGAGACGCCTCTAATACTTGACAATATTCGCAGTGTACGCGACTGATTTGCAAACACGGATTTCGAAGTTTTGACATTTATCTTCTATATCGAACTCTGATTGTTTTCGTCTTCGGTTATGTTCGACCTTCATCCAGGCGTCCAACCCCGGCAACTGCACGGGCTAAACACCAATATGCTGGTCACTATGGTTTACCCAACCGATCACAGGATAGCTGCGAGGTCGAAATATAATGGAATTAAAAGATATTCGAAAACAAGGCCAAGGCTAATTCAGTCTCAACCTGTCGACGCCCAAGAGTTGACGAGAAGACTATTTGTTGTGCTTGCAGAGCAAAAGGCACACTCGGAAAGAAAGCGCCGAACCCGGACTGAGGCTGAACAACTGGCTGCATCTTCGCCTTCTTCCAAGCAGCATAAGAGCAAGGACATTACACCACCAGCAGGTAAACATGGCGACAAATTGGACTCCTCAGCAACATCAAAGCCTGAGACAAAGTCAGCACAACAAGTTGAATGGCCACCGAACGACAAGTTATACCGGCCAAGTTCAAAAAAGTCGGACAGCTCAAGCAAAAAAAGTGGTGGAGAGGAACAAAAGCATTCGCCTAGTTACCATCATGTCCCTCAGGTTGCAGCCTCTCAATTTACCTTGACCACTACGGTTGAACCACGCGCCGAGAAGGGTCCGGTACATACGTTATCCAAAGTCGCCATGAAATTCCATCTCGATGGCCCGAATGGTAGTCGAGAAATAAGAACAAAAAGCTCTACAGCCCCGCCCTGCGAACAAGCTAAGGCGCTGATGAGAGCACAGAGCATGCGGGAGCGACAGTATGAGCGAAATCAAGTCTTTCAACCCTTACCGCCGACTTTCGAAATGGATGCGGTTTCCCATAATTTATTCAATCGCAACTCATTTCATACTGATTCGAGATCAAGAGAATACCAAGATCAAGTGAAGAATTCCAGAAGAAGGAGCACCGGCAGCCTCTTAGGGCGGAATGACGCTCCCCCCATAGATATTTTCGAGTTGGCTGGTGCAGTGTTGTCACCCACTAAGCCTGTCACTACTGGGGCTCCAAGTGAACACAGAGTCGATTGGACCCAAAGCGACGAGGTGAAGGCTATGAAGGCCATTAACATTCCGCAACAGTCACAACCTAAGTTGCGAAGACTAGAATCCAGGTGGATTCTACGGTGTCGTTTGGGAGGCTTCGGACGACAGCCCAAAGATAATAAACTGGTATCCCCTACAGATGAAAAGTCGCCTCAAAATCTGTCATCGAAGTCTCCTATTAGCGTTTTCTTTTCTCGATTTAAACGCTAGTCCTGCTGTTGATATGAAATACTGGGGAGGAGAGAAGCTACGTACCGTTTTGTACGATGGTGATGTGATATGATATGATATGATATGATATCAACCAGCGCTTCCATGTCCGGAATAGCACTGGCTTGGGACGAGACCACGACAAATATAATGCATACTCAAATTTTCATCATTTTCTTTTGGGTCGTGTAGTTGTCATGCATGACAACTAACGTCTCACCGTCTTTCTTGTGCCATCAATTGTTCAATCAACTTAGTGTCTTCCTGGGACACCTGCTGCTGTAGCATTGCTGTAACCTCGTCTTTGTCATCTCGTTTATTGATAAGATGCAAAATCAACTCGGTGTACTCTCGAATACCTTCGCCTGCTTCGCCATCCGCCATCCGAGCTCTTCGTAGGGCCTCCTTCCCATTCTTGATGCCAACGTCATGGTTCCAATTACTTTTCTTTGGCACACCTTGCATAAGTGAGGCTGGTATTCTTTTATCGGGAGCTTCTTGCGGAGGTTGTGTGGCGGCATGGATGTCGAGTAATTGCTGTCTGAGGCCCGGGTACTTGCGAAATAACCGTTGCAGATGCTCTGATGTATCAAGTGCGCGAAAGGGATTGGCGGGGTCTGATAGAGTGACAGGAGAACTACTGATCAGCGGCTCTGGATTTTCAGGTTTTGCAATTAGCTGTGGCTCGGGATCTGGAGGATGGTTCTCTTTGTGGATTTTGTTGCAGGCAACAGAGCAGCTGAGATGAGATTAGAAGTGTATTCCGTGACAAGTATTCAGCTGGAGAAGTGAAGGCTCTTACTACGGCAAGTAGCATCGAGGGCATTTATATTTTGATGCCGCCTTTTCACAAACTCCGCAGATAGTGACGCCTTTTGCGGCTTGTTGAGCAGTTGGCTGCGCATGCAGCTGGGAGCTCTCGTTGGTGCTAGCTTCGGAAGCTGCGTGCGGGTCCTGCGTTCTGTCCTCTGTCGGTTCGGTACGTGCCTCAGTGGCCACAGATTGTACTTGCTCCATCTTAGGCTGTGAATGACCCGGATCTGTGAGGTCAAAGAGTTGATGCAGCTTGAATCTGACGATGGATCCTTGAAGCAATTATGGCGGCATTTCAAAAACGGGGCGGTTATCGGCCAAACGAATTGCCTTATCGGTTTGCGAGAAGGAAAAAATCAAGAGGAGGTGGGACCAATGACTGCCCAGTGCTTGAAGCTGCTCATCCTTTTGGGGCGGGCCGGAAGGAAAAACTGGCAGGACCCACAGGCAGGTCTGTTCGATGCGTCACGAAGCTCCAATTACTAATGCCTGCAAGAGTCGCGAGTAGCCGGAATCGGCCATTAGGTCATTAGTTTCCTCACCAAACGGACGGCGACCGGCTTTCGACGATCCCCGATGGTTAATTCTTCCTTCCGCCATATGTGCATTGCTTGAATACGACGACATTACCTTTCTCCCTAATTTATACTAGGTTACACGTACTGTCTCTTTGCTCCGACCCAGGAACCAACAAATTCAACCCGGGCGCAAAATGCCTGCGCTGCCATCCTCTGCCGCGCCGAGGATCATATCCCGCGCCCTACGCTCATCACGACACTCGCCGCGCTGGACACGCCAGCTCAGCACACACACCGCACGAAGATCACCGTCTCTACTAAGACCAGGTTTTCACATCAATGTGCCCTCGCGACCGGTGGTCCCCCGGCGCAGCGCTCTACCAAGCCTTGGCATCGGCGGCACCCGGAGCATCTTCATCCAGACTGAAAACACGCCGAACCCAGACGCTCTCAAGTTCCTGCCCAACCACCGCGTTGTTCCCGAAGAGATCAACTCCCCGTTCATCGAATACCTGAACCCCCGATCGACCATCTCACCACCGTATCCGTCCCCCCTCGCCGCCAAGCTCATGAACATCGATGGCATCACATCCGTCTTCTATGGCGCAGACTTCATTACCGTCACCAAGGCAGGAGATGCGAACTGGGCCCATGTCCGACCGGAGATCTTTGCCTTGATTACCGAGGCAATTACCTCAGGCGAGACCATTGTCAGCATCGCCGAGCGGAAGGAGGGTGATGAGGACATCGAAGAGGATAGCTTGGCATACAACGAAAATGACAGTGAGGTTGTGGGTATGATCAAGGAGTTATTGGAGACGAGGATTAGACCTGCTATCCAGGAGGACGGCGGAGACATCGAGTTCAGAGGATTTGATGACGGTTATGTCAAGTTAAAGCTGCGTGGGGCGTGTAGAACCTGTGATTCGAGTACGGTTACGCTGAAGAATGGCATTGAGGGCATGTTGATGCACTACGTGAGTTCTATTCCCTTCAATCCCCGTCTACCTAATGGGTGGTTCTACTGGTGAAATAGGAGATGGCAAATAGCTAAAGCTTTTTCTTATCCCACAGATCGAGGAAGTAAAGGGCGTTCACCAAATTCTGGACCAAGAGGAAGAAATTGCCATGGAAGAGTTTGCCAAGTTTGAAGAGAAGCTGAAGCACCAAAAGGCTGCGCAATGAGAAGGGAGGAGTAGAGATTGTGGACAGGGTGTCTCATGTATATTAGAGCATACTAGCCTCGAGTGGCAAAAAACGGAGACATATACGGCGATAGGATGTATAATGACACGAAGTTTGAAGTACTAGTTGTAATCATATTCTCCATACGCTAGTATGTCTACGGTGTAGTGGTGCGTCGCTGACGACAACTTGACGCGCGACGTGACACGACCCTGTTTTGCACATGATAACCAGGCTTCACGTCCATGCAACTCCCTGATATCAAATGTGAATTGCGATAACATGGCGCGCCCATGCACGGGTACATGATGCAAATACACGTAGTCATGCGGCAGTTGTTCTCTGGGAGCGCGTAGTTGCAGACAACCTGAATAGGGGATGCGACCACCGAATGACTGCATGAAGACTCAGAACCTGCGGCTAGCTTTTTCTGGATCCCTTTTTGCGCGAAAGTACCGTTCCGCACGTGCCAGGCGTATGTATGAAGGAGTGGCTCTGGAAAATCCGGGGTAATGCGACAGTCCCGTTCGTTGGTCCTTTAAAATTACCCGACCCTGAAGAAAGCTGGTTCAAGGGATGGCGCCAAGCGATGTTACACTCTGTGGCAAGATATCTGCCTCGAGGTGCTCGGTAGGTATTCGGTAGTCCAATGTTCTACCCAAGTACGGAGTACATACTAGCATATTGCTGTTTATAGTGACAGCATGGGTCAATCAATCGCTGATAGTACCTGATTTTGCTGCTATTGTATCAGGACCCTTTTTTTCTTTGCCCCTGCCGGTTAAGCGTATCTACCTAAGTAATTAACTACTTAAGTACTTAGTACCTACCTACCAGGTAGGCAGTGTACCGACCAGGCGCTCAAAAAATATCAATGATAATTCTAACTTACTAGTCCTAGTACTAGGTACTTAGGCAAGAGGTTGTAGTAGTGGGCATGCTTAGTACTTAGTATGCGGGCACAATTGTTTCGGAATTGAATTCCCCTCGGTGTTGGTGTTTCTTCAATGAGGCGGCTACAAGATGCCCCTCGTCACGGCAATCAAACTTGCCGCAGCTCAGAATGTCCAAGCTCAAAAAGTCGTTCCAAACCCATGTCAACAGAGACATGCCCTCCGTACATACCAGGTATAGAAGACATATGTATGGTGTATTGTACTTGAGTAAGACTTAAGTATATATTAAGTCTTGGCGACACGGTCCTTGCGTCTCGAAACTGGCCTAATAGTCGACATACGCATCTCCCTCTCCAGACTGGCAGAAAACGACAAGTTGTCGCGACCCCAGCGTCCAGACAGCGCCATGATTGACGGTTGGGGGACTCCTGAATTGATTTCATGAATGATCTGGCCGTAGGATTGAGTCGCGATAGCAGTTCGCTTCTGACACGCGGATTCTACTTTTGTTCACCAGCAATCGACGGCACCGAACCGGTCCTCTGGCCTCTTTTGGTAGTAGTACTACATGAAACAATATGACGCTAAGGCGGCCCATTGTCTCAGTCCGTCTTGGTGCTTAGCAGACTCTCCATCCCCAATCATGAGTGGCACGAATCAAATGAGTTTGCTTCCAGAGTTCGCAGGACAATGCCCACCCACTTCCTCGAAGCCCCAGACACGGACACTAGTTGGCCTCAACGGGCGGTACAAAGTACACCAGGTGACTTCAAGCCACCAGACCGAGCGGGGTTGTGGAGTTGGTCAATTGCGGGGTGACGATCTCGACATGGAGTCGAGTCTGGTGTTGAAGCTCGGTGTTGAAGGTGCATCAGAGCAAATACGTAGTGTATATCGAGTACTCACTCACCCAAGAGATCAATGTGCTCACAGCTCTCTCTGTGGATGCGAAAAACTTCTGATAACAGCAACAATACGCTCAATTTCATTTTGCAATGCATTACTCGATAGATCACCCGCAGGTGTGGTACAGCAAGACGTCGTGTCGAGGAAGCAATATCGAGATGGAGGTTCAATGTTCAATGGAATACCAGTCAGGGGCCCGTGGAAGGTGTTGTGCAACGTCCCGAGTTCCCGTCAGCGTCTACCTACAAACGAGCTCTTCAGCAATGCAGGGCGATCGTCGATGGTTGTCAACTTGTGTGCACTCACCCAGCCGCACCCGGGCAACACATTCAACTGCATTTGACCAACCTTGGCTACGAAAGTGAACACCAAGACCAAGGGAAGGAGCTGTAAGGAGATGTGAAGCTGCTGTGGGTCATGATGCCCCGTCTGATTGCGACGTGGAAAAAATTCTGCGTGATATCCGAGTTGTCCTGCTCATAACAAAGTTAAAGACGGACCCCGCACAATAACCAGCTGGAGCGTGGAACTAACGGCCATGTAAAATCTGCTGCGAATGAGACTGATCTCTCAGGGTTCCTGTCAAAATCGCATTCCTATGCCATCATGATGCGCCCATCTGCACACCACAATAGTACCAATACGTATTAGTCCACATCACAGCATGCCACCGCTGAATAAGCACAACACATTGCTACAGGCATGCAGGTCCTGTCGCAGATGGCATTGTTTATCCTTTGTGGCTGGCGAACAACAGAGTTCAAGTACTCCGTGCCAGATCCTGATTCACTGGATGTCGATACAAGCAATATTTCCATGCCACCCATGACGGAGGTGTCGGGAGAGTTTGGATAATCAGTCTCGTGCCATGGGTGGACATGGATTTGCCACCATCCACCAAGAGGAGAGGGGATTTGCTGTTCAAAACACGGGCAGCTGTTATCGGAGAAAGCTGCCGCCTCACGACGACAAGTACATGTCAGAAAAGCAGGACAATTTCAGCCCAGCCGCCTTTATACTTCGGGCCCGGTGGTTTGTCCGGCTCGGTTCATAGCGCAAGCTATTTTTGACACGAAAAGGACTGCTGGGTTGCGTCAATAGTACTTGGCGGGACGTCCTCGCCTCGATACTACCTACCTCGGTACCTAGTTCCAGAGTCCGAACCTGTTGTCCATTGTAGAGTCCAAGGGTCTCGTGGGAGCTTTCGATGTTGTAGGTGCTTGGCTATGATGTATCTGCCTACTCCGTACTTCGTGGCTATTCAGGTCAAACGTAGTCTGGGAAGGCGCCACCCGGGATACGACATGGATGTTCATGCTCATCAGATCAGGTCCTAGACCGCGAGGCAAATCAATCTGATTCCTCCTCCCGTGCCATCATCACTGCAGTTGACCGCCTTGATTCTAACTACTAGAGATGCTCATAGACGGCGCTTGTTGGCGCACACTTGGTTCGATTTCCCGTCCGTACGGCACGCACAAAGGAGATATCAGACTAACGATTAGCTCCTCCCATCAAATAGACCTAAACTGCCTGACCGCCCATGCGCTACGACCTGACTGCCAGAGTAGCACATATTCCGATTGGCACATACGGAACAGAAAGCTTCTGGGGCTCTTTGCCGTGTTCTTCCAAGCCCGCCAAAACTAGCATTGGCCAATACAATGGCACAATTTGACGCAAGCTTGGAGGAGGGGGATTTGTATAGGATGGCCGCATAGGAGGAGTAGAGAGTTCCAGACTGCAACCCTCGAGCGAAATCTCGTCTCAAATCTCGCAAGTCCGTATATACACAATACGCACTGTTGTATACAGTGGCATGCTTGACAGCACAGACAAGGTAAAACGGGCATGGCTCCAAAACCCAGGCAAGCCAGGCTAAAGATAACCCCAGAAGCCAATCCGCTGTGCTTGACCAGGCGCCTCCAAGGCTGGGGGCGTTGAGTTGCAAGCCACCAATTGAGCTCCGAGTGGCTTTTGCAGACATGGAGACATGGTTGAGAACTCAAGGACGAGGACCTTCAAGCTGGGGGTTGGATGGTCCCCTGACATCCACTTGCCAGCGCCACATTTCCTCCACATCCACACCAGTCTGTCTTAACCCGATGCCAAGTCCTGGGATTCGTCAAAGAGATGGGAAGATTTAAGCGCAGCTCCCATTCTTCCTGGTTCTCAATTCTCATCGCCAGCTCCCAGTCCACAGCCCGGCCGGGCATATTGGAAAGCGTTGTGCCCGAGGATTGCGCGCGCAACTACCAGACTCCGTGGATACCTAGGTAGGTATGTACCTCAAGCACGACAGGAGCTCGGCAAGGCTAGGTACTCTCATCGATTCACGGGATATGAGCTGCAGCTCCTATGTGCTTTGCCATGTGCCGCACTTCATCGCTTCTTGGCCACCGGCATAGCTCGAGTTGAAGTGGCCTCCCGCGGCTGCCCACCATTTCACCCATGATCCAATTTCATTTGTGCGTCGTCGTACCCTCATGCTGGTGATTCGTTGGCAAACAGTCGTCAACTCCAAATAGCAGAAGGAGAGGCTGATCCACGTCCAGTTTGACAGTTCTACTATTTGCATCCACACTCGAGGTTGGGACCACACAAGCATCCACATTCACCGCGAGAGCCCCATACTACTGCCTGTCGGCCAAGTACCTGGGTACTCTCCGGTGCGTCTGATGTACTCGGCAGAGTGAGTGTTGCATGTGTTGCTGGACGGACATTGAGCTAGCGCAGGAATCTCCTAAAGAATGGAGAGTACCCAGTACTGGGTACATATTCCATCCCCACCCTCGCGGACGGCATCGTAGCGCCGCTGTCGACCTTGACCATTTGGGACAGCCTCCCCCGCGTCTGCATCTGTCTAATACCTGTCCCGTCCGCCTCCCATGCCATGCCATGCCATGCCATGTCAATGCCTTGCCTGCCTCGCTCGCCACTTGCCGCCTGCCTTGCCCTACCTGCTCGAGTGCCTTGCCTTGCCTGGCGCCCCCCTCCCCATGTTCCATGTCCCACGTCTCCTTTTCCTCGTCTTAATTTCCTGGCCACTTGCAGGGCCCGCCGTCTAAGCTGGTGCCTCCAGTTACATATTGCATCCCCCTCTTGGGACAGCTCCGAAAAGCATATCATACTCTGCTTCCCCACTGGTGCTGTTGGCCAGCTCACAGTTGCAGCTCACCTGCTTGCATTGATCATTCTGATCGCATTTGCCTGGTGCTCCAGTGGTGGTGTTTGCAAGCCGTTGACCCCATCCGATCGTGCCTCGAACCAGAATCACCCAACCAACGCTGAGCAAGACGCCGAAGCGCCCCTCCGCATGTAACTACGGAGGACACCCTGACTATTATACGATACTTGACTTGATCGACCCTACACCAGCAACCGGCAACTGGCACCAGCCGTACCAGACCCCCCCTTCTTCCCACCCGCCTGCGCACCTGAACTTTCGCCCTCCGTAGCGGCCAGTCTTACCGGATCGCCAAGCTCCCCGACTCAGCCTACCTACTCTCGTCAAGTTTGCTGTTGCTTCTTTATCAGGCACGGCAAGATTGCGAGACTGCGCGACTACGAGACTACAAGGTTGCCAGGTTACCGCGCAAAGGGCACAAAGGCTCACACGGCAGGCCTGCCAACACACGAGACCCCGCGCCACATTCAAACACACCACTCGATTCCAGGACCAAGGCCTCACGCTGCAACCATCGTAAGGGGCCTACTTCATACCTCTCCAACGCATCGCTCACGCCGCCAGGTGGAGAGCCCAGTTGCACCGTGTAGCCAGGTACGACTTTGCTCTTGTGCCTCCCCCACCGGTTAGGGACTGGCATTTCCTGTACGTGGTTCTGAGGCTTTGCGGAGAAGCTCAACAATAGCTCCAAAGTTACTGTGACTTGAAGCCCATCTCGCAACGAGCCAATTCTGTTGTCGATTGGGCCCTACAAATATTGGTGTCGTGAGAGATTTCGCACGCGGTCCAGAAAAAGAAGGCAGCCAAAAAAAAAGAGGGAGGAAAGGGAAAGAAAGAAGAAAAAACTGAGAGAGGGAGTGAGAAGACACAGTCCTCTTCTTGACACTAGACCACTGAGGCGTTCAAGTGCTGAGGCGCACCAGACCGCGCACGACTAACTGTACAAGTGTCTCGCGCTGTGGTCACCTGGTCACCTGCCACTTCCTCCACTTCTTGACCTGGATCATCACCACCTGCCAGCTTTGAGAGAACTGCTCAACTGTGGCGCTCAATTTCTGGCTCGGACTTCAGTACACTTCGAACACGAGTGCGATAGCGTCAGACCCGCGACCGACACTTACCCTTTTCCGTCTGCTCTTCTTTCTAGAGAAGAATCCTCTCATCCTGAATTTCGCCTTGGCCCTACGGACGTCTCGCTAGCGGTCCAGACAATACTCTCCATCATTTCCCGCTCGCCACTTGCCACCGCGTGCAAAATCTCAGAAGCCATACGCGTGTCTCTGCTGCCCGGAAGCCCAAAGCCTCAACTCTTCTCGAGAAGCTTATTGGGCCGTGCTCAATTGTCGTTGTCGATTCTTCGTGACTCGAGGCAGGCTTGACAGTCTCGCGACACCTGCTGCTTTTCGCGACAGCTGGAGCCGCATCGCACCTCTACTGTGTGCCTCCTGGCATCCCACCATGGGCACCAAGTAGGACCACATTCACGCAGCACCGAATCGCATCATATCCTGCGAATAAATCCTCCGCTGCGAATGGGTGCGCTCTCTTGCACTGGATTTCAAAATTACACTTATTCTTGAATTTGTTTTCCTTTTTGGGCTCTGGGTTAGACTCGCACTGGTTTAGATTTGTTATACCCTCTACATCTCATTCTTAATCTTCCTTGACGACATACCACAACCTGTATTACTTTCATCGACATCGAGGTGCCGATAGATACAACTCATCACTACCCGTTTGTACTGGAATTGGTCTCAAGACAAGACGCTTCTGAGTCCGGAATTTCATCAGACCATTGACGACCTAGAGCTTCTTGTCACGCATTAGATACAACAAAGATTTTCTTGTTTTATTATTATTGCCAACGTAAGTTTCTTGCATCCCAGCACCATTGTAATTCTATGTCGGCTCTGGTACTTTTGCGATTGAGACGGGGTACTCGTCAGAGAACGGCATGTTGCGCTGGTTACAAAGATGCTACATCTCGGAAACGTTTGCTAACTGTACAAGTCAAAGGCCTTCTTCTACATTGTTTGTCGCTCAATAACATACACACTTTTCTGCCCGTGTTTCAAATTTCGAGTGGCGGCTTTTGGATTGCGATATAGTGCTGTTTTGGGCATTCGGGGTGGCATATCCTGTGGGACGTGAGACATCATGAGCTCCAACCCCCTCAAAGCCGGGACCACATCGAAACTTGGCCAAGGATCGTTTCCTCCTGGGGCAACTACAACCCAGAGTCTGCTCTTGGAAAAAGTTCAAGCCCGGACATCAACTCCTGACTCAGAGGCGCTAGCAAGTTCGGATGACGAAGGAGAACACCGCAACGAAGCATCTCAGGCTGCCCCTGTTCAATCTCACAAGCCCGTCCGCCGATCCTCGTGGCTCAACGATACCTCTCAGCCATTGAATCGACCCCGTAAAGGCTCGTTTGCAAGCAGTTCCATGTCTCCAACAGGATCGCACCCCAGCACTCCATCAGCTGAGGCTGGCAGCGGCCCTTGGGGTTCTCATTCAACCTCTTCAGTTGGCCGCTCAGCCAACTCATCAGCATTTTCTTGGGGGGCCGGTATTTGGAATGCCGATCGAAAGGATGCGTCGTCAAGGCTAAGCGAAGTTCTTCCATCGCCAACCTCTATAATTCCACCAGGGGCAGGCAGTAATTCCTTTTTTGGATCCGACTCTGGCTTGAATCAAGTTTCTCCAGGCTCTCGAGATTCCATGTCTAATTCCCAAATCCCATTTGCTATTCCGTTACATCCCACTCCTAAAACTTACCGATCCCAGTCATATTCAGTTGGCCAGATGGACCCCGAGACGGCACCACCAGGTGGAATGAACTCATCTGCTATCCTGGGGCGAGCACGTCACCCGGCCTTGCAGCACCGACCCTCTCGACCCAGCATGCTGAGTGAGATGGCAAATGATGGCTCAATGCTCGGAAAGGTCAAGGAAGTGGAAGATGATGACGATGAAAGTACATCTGAATCGCTTCAAGGCTCCTATCACCAGATGTCCGAATCCAAAACTATCGAAATGCTCACCCGTGAAAATGCAATGCTGCGCCAACAACAATACAACAACTCTCGCATCCGGCCTCGTGCCTCTACTGGTGCATCCTTTCTTGGAAATGGATATGAGACTGTCCCAGAAGAGTCGGATTTTGCGGTTGATGAACTGGACGAGGCTACTGATTCAATCGATTCGCTCGGCAGGCGAGCCTCGGGTCGGCGTATGAGTGAATACGGAGCCAATGCTTTCCGCACTCCCCTGGGCCTGAACAACCAAAAAGCGGACAACTTGAACCTTAAAAAGGCTGCCCTGTGGTCAAGCTCTCCGGGATTCTTCGGTGGGGATATTTCACAGAGCCGACGCCATTCATTTGCCAATATGCCAACTCGACAAGGCTCTATCAGCTCCATTGCTGATTCAGTATCTGCTCTCGATGCTTCTGGGGTGGGCGAGGGACAGTCTTCCCATGGGTTTCCTGCTGGATTTGGGGATGGTACTGGGATGGCAAACATCAATAACCGTAAGTCACTCTTGTTAAAATCCCACGAGCAATTATTGAGTTCAGCGACAGAAATCTTGGCCGGCTTGCCAAGCACAATGCAGCCTGCCTTTAGCAATCCCTATGCACCACATTTTGGTCTTCAGAACCAGTTCACCAACCGTCCGCCTTCTCCTCACCGCAATGTTTTCGGTATGGCTCAGCCCAGGCACAACCAACTTCTTCACGTGGTCCTGTTCAAGTGTGTCAGAGCCGACGTGTTCTACATTCAAGAGGGTACGGGCCTCACAGTTAAGCCTGGTGACCTGGTCATTGTTGAAGCAGATCGAGGCACCGATCTGGGAACAGTCGCCAAGGTCAACGTTGACTGGCAAACTGCAAAGGAGCTGAAAGAGCACTACGCCGAGGAGCACTACAAGTGGCTCATGATGTATTCACAGGGTGCCGCTGCAGCTCAAGAGGGTTCCGGCGCAGGTTTGATGGCATCATCTAGTGTCCTTCAGGGCAGCGCTGTCGGCGGCATGGGACCGCCCACCCAACACCATCTGCAAGAGCCAAACGCCGGAGAGCTTCGACCAAAACTTATTAAGCGCCTTGCACAGCATCATGAGTTGCAAGCTCTATGCGATAAAGAAGGTCAGGAAGCCAAAGCAAAACGTGTTTGCATGCAGAAAGTGAAGGAGCACGGCCTCAACATGGAAATCCTTGATGCGGAATTTCAAATGTGAGTTTTTGACACCCTTCATCCTCGAAGGCAAAGGCTACAAGAAAGAAGGCTTGCTTACTAACCATTAAATTGCAGGGACTGGAAGAAGCTTACATTCTACTACTTCGCTGACTCTTACATCAACTTTAATTCTCTCGTTACAGACCTCTTCAAAATCTACAAAACCAGGATCTGGATGTCTGCTATCAACCCAGCTTCATTTGCCAGCCCAACGCTGGGCATTCAGGCACCAAGTGGAATTGGCCCTGGTGCTGTAGGTGTCGGGCGTGCCTCCGGAGGCGAAAGACGCCAGAATCCTCAAGTCCAGGAACAGCAGCAGCCACAAGCCTTCGGCCGGGGATACCGACCAACATTTTCACAGCCCTTTGGTAGTGATCGAAATGTTCCACCAACGTCAGCATACCCGCCGAACAACTATGCGTATGGGGGTGGTGTATTTGGTAATGCCCGCGGCACGTCTGCTCCATACGCTCCAAGCCTCTCTCCAGGTGCGGATGGATTCCCGACTGGATTTGGCCAGCAAGGAGACTTCCAGTCTCTTCGCCAGCGGTTTCCCGGAGCGCAGAATCTCCCGAGTCCGACTCCACACGCAGCAGGCGTGTCACCCATAACTGCACAAAACGACTGGAATACTGCATTCCAGGGTCTGTCCCTAAACACACATTGATCATTGCTCATAGAACTAAAAAGGGAAACAAAAGGAAGCAATGGCAAGGAATATATTACGCACACAGGCACCACTGGTGGCAGCTGATCGCCAAGAGTGCTCGGGAATTGTAACTGGCTGAATTGTGCGGTCAATTCTCTTGTTTACAATTGCCACATTTTCTTTTCATCAAATTTATTAGTCCTTTTTTTTTCCTTTTTACAGTATTCTGGGAATGTGATATTTGGCGTTTATATCAAGAAAGACGGGTGAACAGTGGCCCAGAGAGAGAAAAGGCAATGGTTCCTTGCTTGCACGCACCAGAAAGGCTGAGGTTCAAACATAGACAGAAAGATGCTTGAGTAAAAACAAAAAAAGGGTCACTCACGCTGTAACTAATATGCAACGAATAGGGGAGAGGCATGACTTGGGTAGGGCGGAGGTCATGTACGAACGAATTTGGGGCTCGTTGGGCGATATGTCTGTTCTTGATTCTCTTCGTCGTCCTCTTAACGAGTTTTTGTTACATCATATTTTGTCATTCTTCTGCTACCGCGGTTCTTGGGCATTAGGTGGCTTTTGGGCTTGTTTTAGAACTTAAGAGCAACTTCGATGATTTATGAGTATATACAAATTGGAAGGCGTTTCAATTTAGTTTCTTTCCCGTCATTCGCTCTAGAAATATTCATTCATGTTAGTTCAACTACTTGGTATAAAGTGTCTCTTTTCTAAGATTGTAGTGTGAGATGCGATTATTGCCAGCTGCCAGACCTCACCTGGACAGCTGTTGGGACGGCGAGGTAGCTCCTTCCGTGGACTCCCTGACTTCCCTCTATTCTCCTTTATCTGTCAGTCTTCCAAACTTCCTTTTTATGTTACAACCTACGCGGGCCCTAAGAAACCCTCAACTGCTACACTTTGATATGCTACGGGGGTAATTGGTACTGGAAACCCGCATCTTCCAGGACCGCAATGGCGCCTCTGACAAGAAAACGAAAGCTACTCAAGCATGGTGCGTCCCAGCTCAGCAGCGAGTTTGGACGAGAATGTCATTATATATACGAAATTTGAAGACTGATCCGTTTTTCAGACGAAATTGAAGACACTACTGTGGCAGACAGCGATTTGGAACATGATGCTTCAACCGCTCTTCCGTCATTGCTCAAGTGTACTGGGGGCAAGAACCCGCGCACAACGCTGTCGCAGGACGATGAAGCTTCGCTTCCATTGCAGACGAGGTTTTTCTAACAGCTATAAACGCTCCTGGTGTTTATCTCTTTGCTGAACTCTCCTATGATTTCTAGTGGAACTTATTCCCGGGTAGCAAAAAAGGCTAAAATAAATACCCAGGATGCGAGACGGGATTTGGAGAAGACAGCTCGCGACCTACAGGCACACATCAAGACACGCATTATTTGCCACACAGCGTAAGAGATTTATACCAACCAAATTCAAACACACGCTAATATTTTATAGTTCTTTGCATCAACTACCAACTATAAAAGAATTGGTGACCAAGAATCTCCCAGATAATATGCCTTCGATATTGCCTCATACTTGTAGCTCCTACCCGGGACAGACCGGGATTGCAAACGATTCTTACCATAAAGCAATCCGTACCTTGGACGGATTTCGTGTTTTAATGAAGGATTACGAAGAACTGAGCAAGCGTGAGAACGATATTAGGATGCCCTCCTGCGTACGGTGGAAGCAAGATGGTATGGATTTACAGTTGCTTAGCGCAAGTCTCATGGGACATTCGATGAAATATGCTGAACAGAATATTATTCCGAACGCCTCCAGGATCTCCACAAACATCGGGAATGATGACATTGACCACATTGCCGCAGAACTACTGCAGGAAACGTGGCAACAAAAGACGGGCGAAACTTGGGGGAATACTACTGAGGGCATTTTACAAGCCTTGTTTGGACTTGCTGTTTTTCTGCCATAAAGGGCCGAGCCTTGGCATTTACTCGTGAAAATTGGGATTCATGTTTTAATGGAAGAGTTCTACGATAATGTTAAAAAACAGCCCATGTCAACTTAGGGAGCCATCAAAGCTCCGGCTTGCCACACACTAGAAGACACGAAGATCACATCAATAAAGTCGAGATGGTTTCGTAGTAACGCACAACCCCCTTGTCCACTGCTGTGTGATCAATTACAGGCGGCAATTTTGTGGAACGTTGAGCCCCACTCGAGAAGCTGACTCATCAGCGTGCCAGTCAATCCGTGCATGTTAGAAACAGGGCCAGGGCATTACGGGGCAATTCGTGAACGGCTAAACCTGAAAGCAGACTAGCGCATCGCTTAGCCCACACAAACTTCCTCCCAATTTTCAATTCCGCCCAGCCCTGGGATAATGTGCAAGTTTCCTCGAACGAAATTTCGACTCTCTGCTCCCACCACTGCTAACCCACTACAGGAATCTCGCCTCACAAACCGGTTCGTCATCCCAATACTCTCCTGGTGGCAGCATTCCTTCTACACCAAAATACTCTCTGGGAGCAAGGACGAATTTAATTTGAGCTAACGTCGCTGCTACTCGAACAGCCAAGATGGGTGCCCTCAAATACGTTGAGGAACTTCAGAAGAAGAAGCAGTCCGATGTGATGCGCTTCCTCCTCCGAGTGCGCTGCTGGGAAGTACGTTAAGTCCAATTTACAGACACATTCAATGGCATATCGTGGACGAGCGAAACGGAGTCGAAGTCTCTATTCCTACTCGAACTTCATTCAGACATTTTTTTTGTCTCTCATCGAACCTTCCCGAGTTCCCCTTCGATAAGAAATCATCGAAACAAAGAATTGTGCATCTTTGATTGGCAACGAAGAGGAATAAAGGAGGTCCGATGGAGCTTCATCCCTTGCTTGAATGAGAGAAAGAAAGAGACTCGAAATATCCGGCCGCTCGGTCTGTGCTATACACTCGTTGAACTTTTGCTGAGAGTGCGTAATATAGTACCGTCAGTTGAACGTGATTCACCGCGCCTCTCGCCCTTCGCGTCCCGACAAGGCTCGACGCCTCGGATACAAGGCCAAGCAGGGCTATGTCATCTACCGCGTCCGCGTCCGCCGCGGCGGCCGCAAGCGCCCTGTTCCCAAGGGTGCCACCTATGGTACGTACAAACAAGGCCGGGGTCGAAGGAATTTGGGGGTCCGCACCGTGAGCTGCGCAGAGACAAAGATGCCATTCTCCCGAATGCCTTGTCTTGACCGCACTCTACGTGCCCGTCTCTACTTTCTCGGCAACCGCCGCTACGAATTCGATTCCACTCATGCTGACGATCCAAACAGGCAAGCCCACCAACCAGGGTGTGAACCAGCTCAAGTACCAGCGATCCCTCAAGGCCACCGCCGAGGAGCGTGTCGGCCGACGCTGCGCCAACTTGCGCGTCCTCAACTCGTACTGGATCAACCAGGACTCCACGTACAAGTACTACGAGATCATCCTCGTCGACCCCCAGCACAAGGCCATCCGCATCGACCCTCGCATCAACTGGATCGTCAACCCCGTTCACAAGCACCGCGAGGCCCGTGGTCTCACTGCTACCGGCAAGAAGTCCCGTGGCCTCAACAAGGGCCACCGTTACAACAAGACCCAGGCCGGCCGCAGAAAGACCTGGCTGCGTCACAACACCACTTCCCTGTGGCGCTACCGATAAACGTCTCGTCCGTGCGTCGCACAGTGTCGCTCAATGGAAAATTGACGTGCGTTACGGAACGAGGGAGCTTGGGAGGGTTGTTTGGGGCGTGGTTTTTGGCATTGCGTGGTTGCTATTGCTTGGAATCATCGGTCAACGGGGCTCAAGGATGAAAAAAAGGGCCATTATGACTTGGTAGCTTATTATACAAAACAATGCTGGAATGGAAATGATTCCCATAATGACGATAATTTCTTACCTTCTTCTGTGATGTTGATGCTGCTTGCCTAAGGCACTCTACTCTCAAGAGGATGCCAATCGACTGAGGCAACTAACAGGATAGCAGACCAAGATGTCCAAGATGAAAAAGAAATACGAAATTCCTGCCTTTGGCGCCGTTCCGAGTTCTCTATGATGTTCGTATGTCTCCACCGTGAAAAGACTTTTCTATAACCTACTTAAGTACATAAAGTGGCGGTAAAAGGTACGCTTTTATGCCTGCTGATCACGCCAATACACCCCGGAGGGCAATTCAAACAGGGTAGCAAGAGCAAAAGTCATGTATTTTATTTTCCGAAAGAGTCTCTCGAGATCATACAAAGGGTCATGCATAACAAACGAAGCAAAGCCTCCCCAACCATCCAACTGCCTATCCAGTTCCATGATCCCATTTCCCTCCCTCTCACCAATCCAGCCAAAGTCCCAGATCCGGCGATTCAAGAAAGTGAAGGGGAGAATGAAGCGGCTATACAATCATGAGGCAGTTATAAAAGCAATGCAAGAAACAAGGGGATATTCCCGTCTGCTCTCCTCTCGGTTCTGCATGTGCAATACGAGTAGTCATCACTCACTACGTCCGAATCGAAAAAAATCATCAGACGCAACTTGATGGTAGAAATCACAACAGAGGGCGAAAAAAAAAAGTGAAGTAGAATAACAAAAATGACAAGGGGGAAATGTGTAAAATAACCTCGAAATGTGACAGGTCCGCAGTAATTGGTAGTCATCTCTATCGATGAAGCTCTTTCGTCGTGGCGATCAGTGTACGCATACAGGATGTGACCTTCTGCTGTTGCCGATGCTGGCAAGGCTGGTCAGTGAGTTTTTTCTTCTCTTTCTCTTCTTTTCTTTTTTTCTGTAACACCCTTCCTTTGTAATGTACACACAGAGCACTACTGTATGTGCTGTGCAGATCGGAGGCTGAGCTAGTAATAAGGCAATGGCGTTCTCGTGCTGTATTTAAGACCATGAAACACGATGCACAATAAAAAGAGTCGTTAAGTCATGGCAGTTTCATAAGCGTGCTGCATGAGAGGCTGAGTGCCATCCAGGGACACGAACCAAAAAGAACTTTTGAGCGTGACGCGTGTTGGTA